CGCCGCAAATGCCCAGTCTGATGACACTCATAGCAGAGGCGACTAGGGGTGGAACTGCCACTGGGTCGTCGAGCAGGGCTGGCTGTCAGAGCAGCAACGGGTTCCTTGACTAAGCTGCCCGCAGCACAAAGGGCACGGGCCTGGGCTGCAACTGAGCTTACCGTAGCCCCAGCAGGTTGAGAGGCTGCATCCAAACGAAGCTGCACGGCGAAGTGAGGCGGAAGCCCCACCAGGAACTGCTCCAAGAGGATCGGGTCCTTGCCGTCCGCTGCCTCCTTGTGTCCACTCAGCCGTTGCAGCCGCCGAAGATCCGCCAAGTAGGCGTCGACAGTTTCGTCCGCACGCTTCCTCCGCTTGACAAACTGGTGGTAGGCATCGGCAGGGGTGACTGAAAATGACTCCACGAGCTGCTGCTTTACCTTGGCCTCGTCCTTCTGATCACCACTGGCCATCTCATACCAAACAGTGAATGCATCACCCGACAAATACAATGGGAGTACGGCCATCCGGGCTGCTGACGACTCAAGCTTCTGGATGCCTGCCACCACCTGGAACTTCTGCCAGAATTCATCCAGATTATCATCGCGCCCCCGAAAAGGTCGCAGCAAATTGTCCACGCGAGGACCCGACGCCATCACTATACAGGCCGTCGACCAAAAACACTGTCAGAAAAAACGAATAAGACTAGGTTCAGCAAACGGGTTTCGGCACCACTTGTGACTGAAAACTCTCCTCCCGGACTCCACAGCAACACAACCGGATAGGACGGGAATATTATAATTATTAGGACTGAACAAACATGAAACGGGAAGTACAAAAAGGAAAAGACTACATACCAGCCGCCATCAAAATCGGGCTCAACACAACAACAGGCACTACATCATTGCGCAACAACTTTGGAGCATGCGCATGCTTGGCCAAGTCCTGTTACCATGGGACCACTCTATCACATCCCTGGCACCGAAATTTTAATGGTCACTGTCCGTTTCCCGAAAATGGGTTCCCGGTATGAGGGTTACCCCTAGCTCTAGGCGGACCTACAGCCCGTGCGTTTTCAGCTACCCACTGAGGGCAGTGGTGCTTGATATGTCCCGGTTGGCCACAATGCCAACACACGATGGGGCGGCTTAGTCCGCTCCGAGGTGGACCCCGAGCACCCATAAGGTGTTCGACCTTAGTGGTAAGCTGTACCACCATCTTAGCCAAGTCAGAAACTTCGCTACGAGCGGGTGGCTTCGGTTCCACAGCCGGGGTGACGAGCTGTAACCGGTCTGCGTCATACGTCTGTAACAGACAATTTGTTTTGTCGAGCTCATCGCGCTCCCATACCCTCTCTAGGTGGGTAGCCAATTCGACAGCCCCCTGGACCGTCTGCGGTGCATTTTCGTGCAACCGTATACGCAACCTTTCTGGGGTTACGGCATCTAGGAACTGATCACGGACCAGTTCGTCCTGCAAGGCAGGTTGCATAGTTGGGTACGACCGGAGCAAAACGGTCCGTGAGGTCCGCCACCAGGTCGGCCCAAACGGCTCTCCTTGCAGCTGGGACAGAGCCCAGAAATTTTTGTGTCCCGTCGCGAAGGCGGACTGCCAAAATTGTGCGCGCTGCGCATCGTTCCATTGGTTGACCGTGGCACAAAGGTTGAAATACTCAAGGTACTCCAACCAATCACCTTGGCCTGTATAAGCCTCCGGCATGATGGAAGGCCTTGCATTTGGAGCATTCGGTGCTCCCCCAGCAGCGTTAGCTGCAGCAGCAACATTGGCACCAGCCGCGGGCCGGTTTTGAGCCATGTTAGTTGCAATTTATTGCAAGTTACGGATGCTAATAAGCACGAGAGGCAAGCAAAGCTTGAAGGAGAGGCTGTGAAGCTTCTTAGTGCAGACCCGAAGGTGGAATGATTTCTTAGCCCCACATCGGTCTCTTTTATCCCTGGGCTGCTGACGTGTCAGCGCCAGTTCGCATTCGGCACTGCGGTGCGGCCTGCGCAGAGCCTGCGCACACAATCTAAATACGGACTGTCGCCAGTCACTGTGTTAGTAGTACACTGTGTAATGTTGCTATCCCAAGTGACCGTACTGGTCCTCGAGTACCGCTCAGGTGTGACGAGTCACCCCTTATTCGCTTCCCGTAGAAGCTTAGCCTGAAACGTTCCTGCCGACCCCATGTGGCCAGGTTACGCTGTTTTCGTCTGACTATGAGTACAACTTCTAGTCGGACTTCTCCCATTCCTGACTCAAGAGTGCAGAGCTGTACACAACATGCTGGGGTGCGTCCCCGTTTGACTACCTTGTACATGCAGTCCTTGGAACTAGTTTATACCACTAGTCCAATATCAACCCTCATGCTTTGACACACAAAACCCAAGTTTGTTCAAGTTCGCGTCTCGGGCCATCTTTCAAGAATTGTTAATTAAGTTAATATTTCGGCTTCGGCCGAGGCCAAGCTGGCGGCGTCGTCGACGGCCGCGTCGGTGGTTGCCGTCAGGCGTTCGCGTTCGGCCTTTGCGGCGTCTCGGGCTGCAGTAACTGCATCTGTATGTGCACGATTGGGAGGCGTTGCCGCCGTTGCGGGTTTTTGCCGTTTCGGGGGAGGCCCCTCTTCGATTGCTGCAGAGAATTTCTTCAATGCCATCAAGATGGACGTCAGCCCGCCTGCAATACCCCGGAGCTTCTGAGCCTGTGAATGCCGATGCAAGGCCTCCAATGCTGAGGCACCTGCCTGCAAGGCAACGATCAGGTCTTGCTGATGCGCGGCATGTCGTGGGAGTCGCGCCTCGGGTGGGCCACGCTTTTGCTGTTTGTCAGCCATTCTCGACTCTGTTCAAGAAGGAGACACACATAACAATGTTTTAGCATTATCGCTTGATCCTGGTCACAGCACCAAATGTAATGGCTGGTGATCCATCTAGTGGCACCAGGTCGTCAACCAATCAATATAGTTGACTCAAGCAGATAAGTAGCTCACCTGTTTTCCGGCTCACACAAGGTAGTCGATGGTTGAAGGGGAGCGATCAAAGATACTTTATTCATTGGAGAAGGCGGCTTTTAGGCCAAGCTGGCGGAGTCCGCAGTGCGCGAAGCACTTGCAGGACTCTTTACGTCGTACGACGCGAGAAAAGGTGCCATTCTTGCTCGACTAACAAAGGTATCAGCTCCCTTGCAGGACTAAGCATGGTCCCCTCAAGCTCAACAGTGTAGTGAGCACAATGCTGACGACTTGTACTGAAGGTGTTGCCGACGTACGACAACACTTGCGACTCTAGGCCACGAGTTGTAAGCCATGATTGCTCAACTAACGAAAGTGCCAAATCCTTCGCAGGACTAATCATGGTTCTTACAGAACTCTAGAATATTTCGGAGCCCAGCTTTGGCTGCTGAATCTCAATGCGTGGTCGCTTTCACGACGAGTCGAATTCGGGTCATGACACACCTAAAATTACATGTTTTACAGTAGTACAATTCTACTTATAAACTACAGCCGAGAACCACGTAGTCGAAAGCTACAGAACATGGGTAAACCATTTTCACATGTACAGACAATTTGCAAAATGGTTCGAACGTTCAGGAAAAAACGTTGAGTATGAGTACTTCAGTACTGAGTATGGAGTAGCTCCATACTCAGTAATTTATAATGTCATGATGCTGTTGATACGTGTGCATGTGCATGACTGTATAAGCCTTTTGCGCGTTGTACAGATGTACGAAGTTCAGTACTGGGGCGTAGTGCTATGCATGCGCAATTGACCAATTTTAGCCTCATAATTAAGGGCAGACAATCCCTATTCCAGCTTCTTCACTTTGGTTAGAAATAATGACTACCTAGATCTTTGTCAGAAGGTTTTCGTTTGAAATGCCTTCAGGGCCCATTTCTTAGTGGAAATAGCAGAAAACACAATAGGGTCCTGCACATTCAACACCCATTAGGTTCTACGGTATTCTACAGGATTTCGTGCATCTGTACAACGTGCAAAAGGCTTATTGTTTTGAATGCTTGCGCAAAGCGCTGCTGGGCTCAGCTACATCAGCTCCAATGATTATAAGATGTGCGACGTTAATGGCGAGCCTGTCCAATTGACACGATTTGTTCATCGATCTATTTTCTCGGATGGAGAGCCAAGGATAATTTATAGTGAAGAAAAAGAACCAAGAGACTACAAGTTACGCTATAATGTCCACTAACACCACCAGTTACTAAACAATCAGCTCATGCGATAACATTGCACGACACTGACCGACGGTACTGACGTAACTTGTAGTTCCTTGGTCCTTTTTCTTACTATAAAATCTATTTTCTCCTCAACTTCTCAAGAAAATCTTTGAGTTAGTAAAAAATTATAAAACCGAAGTACATACATGCCATGTAATCATCAGGCCACTTGAGGATTTTATAATTTTACGCGAAAAAACCAAATTTCGGTATTTTGTAAACATTTGATTCTTACGTGAGTGGGGGGTGTGTGTGTGTGTGTGTGTGTGTGTGTGTGTGTGAGTGTGTGAGTGAGTGAGGGGGGGGGGGGGGGCAGTATCAAACTCACTCAGTGACTCTTGGCTGTACATTCGTTTATTTTTCATCATACTTCTTTGCAATGTCCGAGTCACGGCTGCAGTTCTGTCACACGAGGTACTGACAATTGTGTACATGTATATGATTGATTGAGTTCTGGTACGGAAAGTGCGGCCGACATCGTGCCAGTTTCTCACAGTTTCAGTTCCCGTGGAATGCCATATTGATCATATTCTGTCGCGCATGCAAGTTGCAACTGACTGATTTTAAAGCACCTTTCGTATCCTGCTTGCATTACGCACATCACCACTAGAGTATCAACTGCAGCTTTGTGCAGAGCTTTATGCTTTTGATATCTGCTAAGTTATCAGTGGAATGTGTAGCCGAACAATTAGAGACAGAAGGCATACAGTGTGCGCGTGATGTGCGGAGGTGCTCTGGCGGTGCTGAGATTGGACTCGGGTAATGACCCATGCCTGCCTGTGTGTTGTAGGAAACGCTTGGAGCGGAGCCTCTGAAGAAAGTTCTCGAGGAGCGCGACCTGAAGGTCTACTGGGGCACTGCTACCACAGGCCGACCGCATGTTGCCTACTTTGTGCCCATGTGCAAGATTGCGGACTTTCTCCGTGCCGGATGCAAGGTCAGTGCGGTGTTGTGCTTTGTTCATTGGTTCAAGCGATCACTTTTACTCGAAGCACTCACCTCTGCTGTTGGGAACTAAATGCCGAAAAACATTATAATCTTGAGGCAAGCTGGCCAACTTTTATGTACTCTGTTCTGTTTTGTGAGGTTGCTTTCTCATTTCATTGTTTGTGTGCTGCTATGAATTTAACATGGCTTTTCTGAAAGCTGATCAGTAATGTTGTGTTAGGCTAGTAGGGTGTTGTGTTTGTTTGTTTGCATTATTGGGCCCAAGTACCTATAGGCTGCAAGTAGTGATCTGTTGGAATAGACACCGGTGTCTAATCGTATCTTGGTGCTGCAAAACATACTGCTAGTAGAGCAATGCTGGTTGTGTTATTTGGACTTTTTATCTTGTTGTTCATGCGTACCTTTCCTGTGCTGGCTACCATCAACTGTGTGCGCGTGTGTGTGTGTGTGTGTGTGTGTGTGTGTGTGTGTGTGTGTGTGTGTGTATGTGTGTGTTTGCATGCGTGTGTGTGTGTGTGTGTGTGTGTGTGTGTGTGTGTGTGCGTGTGGGTGTGCATGTGTGTGTGTGTGTGTGTGTGTGTGTGTGTGTGTGTGTGTGTGTGTGTGTGTGTGTGTGTGTGTGTGTGTGTGTGTTGTAACAGGTGACAATATTGTTTGCTGATCTTCATGCCTATCTGGACAATCAGAAAGCACCCTGGGAGCTGCTGAAGTTGCGTGTACAGTACTACGAAGTGATCATCAAGGTGAGTGTGTTACCTTGATACGCCGATATTTTCAGTGTCCTGGATTGGAAAGGATCTTTGAGAAGCCCTACATTGCCATGGAAAGATCTTGAGCGTAGCATGACATGTGTTTTTGTGTGCTACTCCTCACTACAGTCCATGTTGGAGTCCATCGGTGTTAGCACTGACAAGTTGGAGTTCATCCGAGGTACTTCCTACCAGCTATCAGAGTGAGTGCAATGACATTCGTGAAGCACGTGAACACATGCAGGTGTGCCAGGGAGCGATCTTTTAGTTTTACTTGTACCCATGCCCTGGTGACATGCCTGTCATTTGTACCCCTGCCCTGGTGACATGCCCATCATTTGTACCCTGCCCTGGTGACATGCCCTTCATTTGTACCCTTGCCCTGGTGGCATGCCTGTCAGTTGTACCCCTGCCCTGGTGACATGCCAGTCATGTGACACGCCAAACAGCAGGAACTGTGCCGCTGTCAATGGGGCCTTACGAGTGGGAATTTCAAGGTCGAAAGCAATGTACTCGTACTGCTGTCAGGATTAGTCCTGTCTACATGTATTCTCCTCATCCCATGTTGGCGCTCGAGGCTGTGTTTTCCGGATGAGGCACCGCTGCTTATAGACGTTTCTAATTCTGCAATTCTTCAACAGTACCTTTTTCTTGATATAATGTGTGTGCTGTGTTGTGTTGTGTAGGAAATACATCCTAGATGTCTTCCGCCTGTCAACGACGGTCACTCAGGTCAGTTTCTCCCTGCATGCGTGTGTGTGTACGTGTGTGTGTGTGTACGTGTGTATGTGTGTGTGTTCTTGCGCGCGCATGTGCGTGCGCTTACGTGGTGTGTCTTGTGTGTGTGTGTATGTGTGTGTGTACGTGTGTGTGTGTGTGTGTGTGTGTGTGTGTGTGTGTGTGTGTGTGTGTGTGTGTGTGTGTGTGTGTGTGTGTGTGTGTGTAGGGATTCACTGGCCAGAAAAAGTCACTTCAAAATAGCTGTATGGTGTAGACCAGGCTGAATTGTGACGGTCAATTCTTCAGCCTTGCAAGCTGTTGAATGGTGCAATCCCAGCACAAGTTGGTATGGCTTCTGCCGTAGCATTGCTATCATCGCCTCCGGCGATGGGCGTCAAAGGTGTGTGTGTGTGCATGTGCATGCGTGTGTGTGTGTGTGCACATGTATTAGACTGTATGCAGGCATGATTTTCACTGTACAGTACTCTAGGCGAGTTCTGCTCTGCTGGGTGCTACTGCTATCGGCTGAGCACTGTGATCCTGGACTTGGACGGGCTGTGACGTGTCCTGCAGCTCACTTGGCAAATTCACTGTACATTGCTTGTTGGATACGTGTCATCCCACGTGATCTATTTCTGTTGAAGGGCATACTGACAGCACTCCACTTGTTTGCACCACACACCATCACCCCGGAGCAGAATATTGGTCATGCTTTCGACCGAGGTATGATCAAGAGTATGTCCTCTTGGTATGACGTATTGGGATAATCTCTAATGGATGTATGCTAAGCAAGAGAACTACCGATGTATGTGTATGATTCTGTTGTACCTTTGGTTTCTGCTGCTGCTGCTTAGCATGATGCCAAGAAGGCCGGTGCAGAAGTAGTGAAGCAAGTGGAGCATCCACTGCTTAGCGGTCTCTTGTACCCCGGTCTACAGGTAAGCAGTGCAGGCACAGCACCCGCGATGAGCAGTAGTGCTTGAACCCTGTTGTCAGGTACATTTTGTTTTTCGAAACAAGCAAAAAATCACAACCCACCCACTCGTAAAGAGATCCTTTTGTTTGATGACGGAACTGACGATTACAGACATCTCCCTTGAATTGGGGGAGGTGGAGTTCTCCGACACAAGTTCTGTTGAGAACGTTCAGAAATATCGAGAGCGCCGTGCGGGAGTTCTCAGGTAGGATCAGAATTGGGGGAGATGGAGGTCTCCAACACCAGTTCTTCTACAACAACAACAACACAGAGGTTTCTTTTTGACTGACCAGTTTCTGGCTATTGTGATTTAAATTTTCTTCTTCTCTTCTTTCTTTTTTCCTTTCCTTGTTCAGGCTTTAGATGAGGAGTACTTGGATGTAGACGCACAATTCGGCGGTGTTGATCAGCGTAAGATCTTCACCTATGCTGAGAAGTACTTGCCTCAGCTTGGCTACAAGAAGCGCATCCACATGATGAACCCAATGGGTGAGTCCATGGGTACTTGTAGTCCCACATGAACAGTGGTGCTTGTGTAAGGTCTTGTTGTGCTGGCATACCGGGAGATAAATCGACCGGTTAGGCCGTCATCACACTACGTTCTCTGACTTCCGTTTACGTCTATGTCTACTATGAAAATCCAAAACGGGTGGGTGTGTCATCAAACAACCACAGTTCTTGACCCGTACACGCTGTCACGTTTTTGGAGAAATTTGAATTTCAAGCGCACGTGCAAGGTCGCTTGGAAAATACTGGAGGAGATATGCACGCTCATCTAAAAAAAAGTTGCATACCCCCTCTCCCCACCACGTCTACGTTTCGCGTTTCCTCTGCTCCCGTTTTCATTCCGTGCACAGACCATCATGACAACCGACCAAAAACTCCTTACGTGGACGTAGGCGCAGCGCTTTGTACCGTAGTGTGATGACAGCCTTACATTACACATCATGTATATACGTATACCAGTGGTGAAACTCTTAGTTCGTGGTTTCACGCTATTGGTGTTATGAATAAATCCATTCTAGTGAAACTTTTAGTTACGCAAACGTAATAGGGCTTGAAAGTGCTACGTCACAGCATAGCAATGGCATAGCAACAATTTGAAAAATTCAAAAACTGGATCCACCTGGATCCAGTTTTTGTATGGATCCAAGCACATTTCAAGCGGTCTTACAAGGTGATGTAGCCAGTGAAACTGACTGATTTGGCTAGTGGGCGCGGGGTGACAACTGTTGGCGAAGTAAAAGTCGCACCTGCATACGACATGAGCAGGTTGCTATGGACCCACATACTGAGGCAATAGCAAAGTCACACCTTAGTGGATCCAAAATAGAAATCTGATGTCAACTTACTACTCCCAGGCCGTTTTTGACGTCATCACTTTCAAGCCCTATTGTTCGCCCTTCTGTTTGTGGGCTTTACTTTGTACGTTCCTGATTTCCGCTGCTCAACATCATTCACTGTTTTAACTTTTATTGTGTTCTCTGTGTTGTGTGTGTGTGTGTTTGTTAGTTCCTGGTTTGACTGGTGGAAAGATGAGCTCATCTGATGCTGATTCCAAGATTGATATGCTGGACACTGCAGAAGATGTCAAGAAGAAGATCAGAAAGGTAGCTTTGCCGCGCTGGTGTATGCGTATGTGTCCGTGTGTTCGTGTGTGTGCCTTCGTCCTGGTCTGTGTATGTGCGTACGTGCGTGCACGCGCGCGTATGCCTAGTTGTGCCCGTACCTGTCTGCATGCACTTCTCTGTCTACATACCCAACACTGCTATTTAAATGTATGGTTGCTTTTCTTGTTTGTACAGGCCTTCTGCGAGGAGGGCAATGTGGCTGAAAACGGAGTGCTTATGTTCGTCAAATATGTCCTTATTCCCATTTCTGGCCGTGAAGGTACGAGATGAGGTCTAGCTTTTCAATATCATGTGGGCTAGAAGTGTGGCAATTCTTCACTGTCGAGCACCTTCACTCTGGCATCATGTACTTGTACAGTTAGTTAAGTGCGTTCACTGATAAGCAACACAGACACGTCATGCCTGTACCGATGTGGATCACGCACGACAATGCACATCCGCCTTTGGTATTTATTTCACCCTTTTTTGTGCATGATAGAATTTGTCATTGAGCGTCAAGAGAAGCATGGTGGAAACATGACATTCGAGAACTACCAAGCACTAGAAGATGCGTTTGCCAAGAAAGAGGTCTACCCTCTGGATCTGAAGAATGCTGTTACCATTGCATTGAACAAGGTAAGATGGTGCCCCTTACTGTTAAACTTTTAGTGGGTGCTTGTGGTTTTGGCGTACCATTATGGTGCCTCTGGGCTTGTACGAGATAACTGTTAGTTGTCATCTGACCTATTATCACTGCTAAAAGGCAATAAAAAAATTGTGTCGGTGATGCATTGATGGATGTCTGTAACTGCAATCTCCCCCGTTGCTGTGAATGTCAGTGAGCATCTTCACATCATTTGTTCCATACTTGCACGTTCCGAATCTTGTGATCGCGTGATCTACAAACATGGTGAAAGTATCACAATCTTCATGGCGACTACTATCCGGTTTCCCAGTGGTAATTGTCTGGCTGCATGGTTTCTGTATAGTCTTCCGCGGTTTGTAATTGGTATTGACCATGGATGTCTGTTTGCGTGCACACAGCTGATGGATCCTATCCGTGCAAAGTTTGATAACAGTGCTGAGCTGACGGAGCTCCTGCACAGCGCCTACCCAGAGTCAAAGAGTAAGTGCATTGCTTTGTGAACAGATTCACAATCACAGCTATCATTTGGGAACTGCTAATCGCGATACTTCTTCCGACTTAGCTTCATTCTTATGACTTACGTGTGTTGCTGCTTTTGTCCATTTTGACTCCATTGCCCTAGCATCATAGCTTGGTTATGCCTATGATCACCAGATCCCTGATGAGATTTCTTCCATCACATCAGCACATTGCCCCTACATCCCTTAGCTTTCTCCATCCATGGTGTATTTCTATTGTCCATTCTCTGTGAGTTGTAGTAATTCTGTGTTTTTGCTAGTGAAATAACCCGATGGTATTTTCCGGTATTGTGTGTGCTGCATTGTGTTGTGCTGTGCAGAAGCTGCTCCTGCTGAGGCAAAGGCAGCAGCTAAATCGGCCAAGGCGCCTAAGCAGCAGGCAGCCAAGGCGGCAGATAGGGCCGTGGACGTCTCGCGTCTGGACTTCCGCGTTGGCCGTATTGTATCGGCAGCCATGGTGAGTAGTGAGTACGTACAGTGGGTGTAGTACTGCTCGCCTTGTTACTGCCTGGCCTGGTGTTCTCGGCATGTGTGTACTGGACCGCTGAGGTGTTTATCTGCGTTTTGCCGCAAGCAATGAACGGCGTTTACGTTATTGAATTTCGTGCACCAGTGTCCATCTCCGGGGGAGTGCGATTCGTTGTACATGTATTCTGGTTTTTATTTCTTTGTTTGGCTTGTGTGTGATATTTTGTTTATGCAGCATCCAGAAGCAGACAAGTTGTATGTCGAGTCTGTTGACGTCGGCGAAGCAGGTGAGTTTGAAGCATGGCCACTGAGAGCAAGTATTAATGCACGTAGTTTACATTTCGAAATTTCAACCAACTCAGCTGTGATCTGCTTTTTTATGCCCATGGGACATTTTTGCGAAGTTTTTCTATTATTAAATTCCGGGTGTTTTCTTGTGTTGTTGCAGAGCCGCGTACGGTTGTGAGTGGTCTTGCTGGCAAGGTACCACTTGAGGAGATGCAGGGAAGGCTGGCAGTATTGCTGTGCAATCTAAAGCCTGTCAACATGCGCGGAGTCAAATCGCATGCCATGGTCATGTGCGCTGTCAGGTATGTTGTGTGATCTGCCTTATTGTGTCCTTGAGTTGAGTTGTTGTCCTTGTTGTCCTTGTGTATTCACATGTCCATGCCAGCGTATCTGTTCCAGCCTTTACAATGATCTTCCGTGCTTTACTGCTCTTTTGCTGTTGGTTTACTGTTGTTATGTTGTGTTGTCTTTATTTTACTTCACCATAGGTACATACACAGGCATTGCTGCCTTCTTGCTGTGGATTATGAAAGATGCCACATCTGTATTGTTGATTTGTTGCTGTCTTGTGTTCTGTGTTGTTCAGTGAGGATGGCACAACAGATGTGCTGACTCCGCCAGCAGACTGCGCTCCCGGTGATCGTGTCTTCGTTCCAGGCTTTGAGCATGAGAAGTGTGGAGGTAGGCAATGTCTCGGTGCAGCCAAGCTCCCCTGCCTTTCACTACTTTGCTGCTGAGAATGTTGCACTGGTATCAGACCTGATGACCTAAATTTGAAATATGATTAGTTCTGAATCATATAACGAGCAGTCTGTGTCCTTTGCAGCCGCTTCATCCTGCGAAGAAAGTACTGTGAGTTACATAGTTACATTGCATGTCTCTAAGTTCTAATGCCTGTGTGTGTCTGTTCTTCCCTACAGAGCCCGACCAGGTTCTGAACCCAAAGAAGAAGGTATTCGAACAGATCCAGGTAGGGAATATCGCTAGCACTGTAAATTTATGATGGAGCTACGGTTGCGCAAGGTGTGCCTTCTTGTGGCAGCATGCACTGGGCGCGTTCTATTGCACACAGCTAGGTCTACTCTAGAATTCGTCATGCTGTATGCATCGTTTGATTACACAATCCATCGTCAGTATCCACCGTAGCAAAGTCCACCAATTCTGAAGTGAAGGTAGAATTGGCAGATTTTGCATACGCTCTCTCAACCCACGCATCCATGTACAGAATTTACTGCTATAATATTCCAGGCGTTAATTTGTATGGCCGTAATCCGGTCATTTTGGAATTTTCAAGCCTGGTCCAGAATGTGTAATTGAACGTTGAACGCGCCCTTTCAGTGTAGCCAGAGGCCATAGTGTCCTTAGGTTTGGTTTCTTGGTGGAATTGGTGATGACATCTTCCTCTGGCCTTCTACTTCCATGATCCTGCAACTTGCGTAGTGAGCGAAGGAGAGGGAGGAAGAGATGGAGAGAGAGAGAGAGAGAGAGAGGAGGTTGTTGTTGTTATCATATGCTTGAATTGGGAATACAGGTTGCTTCTAGCTCCATTCATTCTTCTTCTACTTGTGTGTTGACATGCAGCCTGACCTTCGCACACTCGAGGACAAGACAGCTGGCTACAAGGGCATTCCGTGGCAGACAGCGAAGGGCCCAGTTGTGTCATTATCCTTATCGGATGCCGTCATTCGGTAGGCTGCTCCATCGCCTATTTACACCCGTGCTTAGGCCCGAATCAATACTTCTTTTCCCAGTTGGGCCATGTTCTTTCTCCCAGTGCACCAAGTACGAGGAGTCACTTGAACATTTACCATGACAGTCTGATTTTATTTTTATATTTTAGGAAATTTACCCTCTTCTCCGTTAGTTGTAGCTTTCAGGCACTAGTCCTCTGACGATTTCTTCCAGCCTTCATTCATGCAGTTTTCTATCACCTGTTGAAGCAGCTGATTTCACCAGATTTTCTGTGACATATAATTTTATGAGCGAATGGCTCCGTGAGTGAGGTGGACAGAGAACTGCATTGTGTGCTGGTCTATGTGGGGACTACAGAGTTTCATGATGGTACATGTACATGTGTCACCATGAGTATTACGAAGCATGGTCACTTCCATGCCCCTCCCCGTACTGTATCTTGCGCATACTACAGTGGTGACAACTGAAATGCGACCCTTGGGTTCCTAAGCGAATCGTAGCGAGTAGTGGGCATGCCAGCGAAGTGTGAAGATCAGTTTCATCAAGAGTTCACAACCCGGGGGTTGTGTACATGTATTCGGGCCGGTGCAGTTACAGTTACAGTATACTGCAGTCTGCAGTGGTAGATACATGTACCAGTATGCATGATTTGAGGATAGTGTGGTCACGTGCTGTGTTGGTGTAGAGTACATAATTTCAATAGTGTCAACTCACAGCTCCTACATGTGATCAGACTTCACTTGCCACCACTGTGGTAATTGTACTTCTCCGCATCCCGCTGGGACGGGTGGAGAGGTTATGTACTCTTGCTAGTAGTAGTGCGCACCGAGGAGTATTTTTTAGTACTCCCTGGTATGTACTTTGCCCTACTTCATGCTCGACATCCTTGCATGTGCACTGTACGACTCTGAAGTCCGAATATGAACATAATTATGCAGTATCAAGCGTACATAACCCTGGAAATGAGTAACTAGATACTATACAGTCAGAAAGTGCAACTAGGCACCAAACTGACAGAGTACTGAGACATTCGACGTCCTGACACCTAGCTTCAACACATCTCCGTAGCGCTCGTTTCCATATGTCCTTTTCCTTTCTACTTTTATTATTGGCTCAATACCCGAGTTTCAAATTAATAATTTGTAAAAGAGAAAAAAGAAGAATGAGGAAGAAAGGTAGCAGCTTGAGTAAGATTGGCTAGAACATAAGAAGCTCAACTTGAGCAGCATCTAACAACTCGTAGCACAGAAAATGGTCACCAAGCAAGAAAATGTCATAGCTCATTCTTGCAATTAATTTAGATTGCTGTGCAGAAACATCCAAACTAATTCTGTTCTTTTTCTGTATTTTAAAGACAATCTAAACCAAGCCAGACCGGATCCTACTGGTCTCCTTGTAGTTTACAAAATGGCACCCTACTTGTAGATACTGCGCACTGGCCACGCAACAAAACAGTACCGCTGTGATAATCCCACCACGAAAGATGTTCAGTCCAAAATAAATACCTGGTCTTGCGATGGGCAAGCTCGAAGGCACAGCCGGGTCTTCATGATTCTAGCCTTCTCTGACACAGGGGGTAACAATAATTTTTTTTAAAGAATGGAAAAAGGGACAGTTCTGTCGACTTGGTGACCATTCTAACCAGTGGCGTTTCTAAAACAATTGACGCCATAACAAACTTCCTATTCGGAGTACATCCGGTAGCGATGAATAGCTTGGTACGGCGTCTTGTCATGTAGCACATACCAATGCACATTCAATGTCCTCCTACGCTGCATCATCTCTTGCAAGTGGCGCATTGTACTTGGCCACTGAGATCATCTCCTTGGCTACGTTCTCCGAACACGTTGCAAGGCATCGTCGGGACATGACGTCCAGCTCCGTGCCATCGGGATCGCACACGTAACCTCCGGCCTCACGCAGGATGACAGTGCCAGCGGCAACATCCCAGCAGTGCATGCCGGTCTCACAATACGCTTCACCCTCCCCGCTGGCAACCGCACACATGTTCAGTGCGGCAGAGCCCAGCGAGCGAATGCTGCGCACCGGGTGCTTTGCCAGGTTGTGATAGTTGCGCACTTTCTCATCCAAATGCTCTGCCTCCCGGCTGGACCCAATCTCCAGAAGGACAAGTGACTGATTGAGCTGTTGCACGCCTGATGCACTTATTGCCTCACCATTACGGAAGGCACCCTTGCCAGTTCGCCCGGTGTACATTATGTCTTGTGGTGCATTGTAAATAACACCAAACACAAACTCCTTCTTCGCCAGAAACCCGATAGACACTGCCACATATGGGAATCTGTGAACGAAATTAGTTGTACCATCAACAGGATCTATCATCCATGTAGGTCGTTCGTCAAACACACAGCGAGCTCCAGCCGCTGTGGATTCCTCCCCAATAAAATTGTGATCTGGGAAGCGTTCTCTCAAGTGCCCAATGATCATTTTCTCCACGGCTTCGTCAGTTTCAGTCACCAAATCTGTTGCACAGCCTTTTGCAGTTATGCATTTGGGCTTGTGAAAAGCCTCTCGAATCATCTCGCCAGCCTTGCGGGCTATTTCCACAGCGGCATCGAAACAAGCATCATATTGGTCTTCCATTCTGGAGACACAGCTTCTTACTTGCAAGCTAGCACTTCAGTTAGAAAAGGTACAAGGTCAAGCTGCAAATGGCATAAGAAATATTCTTCGAAAGCAGGTGTTTTGTTTTCGCAATTTGAAATGTTGGCGAGATGTATCATGTACGCATCATGTACATGATGTACAACGTGGCCGAATCGATCAGCTGAACATGAACAGCTGATAGAGTCTCCATGGCGACTAAAATGGTGAGAGGACGCCACACAAAATTTCCCCACGCTTTCGAAAGGCTGCTAGCTCTGCAGATCTCTAGCTCTGATCGATGAAACGTCAGACTACAAAAACTCAGATTTGATTTTTTCCTCCAAGATCCAAACTGTTTTCTGTACAAAGTACAAGACATGTAAGTTAGTTACAACATTTTCGCGACGATATCGCAGTGTGAATACCCATTTGTGTAGACCAAGACTATTAGTTTGAGTATGTTTGGAACACAAAGAAAGCAGATTTTGCTGGCCATGTAGCCGTTTTCTAGCCAAGCTGTCGAGTTGTCGTTGGAGCAGCTGTCATTGACATGAGGTCCTACGATTTGTTCGAGCTGGTTCGCCTGCTAGATGTTCACCCGAGCAGTCAGTATCGAAGTAAGTGTGTCTCGTTCATGTGGTAGTTTGTCCAAGGAACAGAACGTGCAGGGCTGAAGCTCCAGATCTCACAGGGATTTTTATTTTGTTTCTTTCCTTTTTTAAGTACCGAAAACGTCTGTATATGTACACGACTAGCGACTGTACATTCGGGCTCGAAAAAATAATAATAAATCATCCTCGCACAAATCAAGAGGCAACAGTGACGACCACAACTACTACTTCTGAAGGTCCACTATTCTAGCACACAAACACATGAGTGTACTTCGAAGTACAAGAAGAGAGCTAGCTCAGGACCCTTCGCTATGCTTGTCACCATCATGATCATTTCCCTGAGCTAACCATTCAGTGAGCTCATGCTTAGTCATGTGTCACGGGTGAATGCCCGTGCACGCCTGGTGCCCCGCCGGCCCGTTTCGCTCTGTCATGTGATGGCGGGCGTACGGAACACACATGCAAAACGAGAGAGCTTGACAGCGTCTTTGCAATACAAAAGCATGTACCCGATATTCGTATAGCAAAGACGATCACCTTGACAACTTTCACAGAACTTTCACATTGTAGCTCACAGAGTTGGGATAGTGATATGAATTGGCAGACCAAATGAAGATGACATCAAGCCTTCAGCAAAGTATAACTTTCACAGAAGCGTTTACTTGTATGCACTTTTTCCAGTAATTTGCACCAGGCCTTACTTTCTGTGTGCTTATCGACTCTCTCTCTCTCTCTCTCTCTCTCTCTCTCTCTCTCTCTCTCTCTCTCTCTCTCTCTCTCTCTCTCTCTCTCTCTCTCTCTCTCTCTCTCTCTCTCTCTCTCTCTCTCTCTCTCTCTCTCTCTCTCTCTCTCTCTCTCTCTCTCTCTCTCTCTCTCTCTCTCTCTCTCTCTCTCGCTCTCGCTCTCAGCTGGTTTGAGTGAGAGCAGCTCCAGCAGCAAGCGGCGCGGCGCCCCCATCTGTGATGCTGTGTGGTGTGAATCCAGTAACGCTGCCCATCAGCTACTGGTCTTGAGATGCAGCGATGGAAATCTCCTGCTCAGGTTTGACCCAAGCTCAGGGGGTGAGTGTTTTGCTTTGTGTGTCTACATGTACTGGTGTGCCAGGCATGTCCAGCCTGGCTAGTCACTGCAGGGTGGCCTGGCAGCCAGCTGGAGTGAACGCTGCCTTCGCAATGACCTTTGTATGGCCGACAGCTTGTCAACTTACCCACCCAAAGCTATGTTGAAGAATTGAAATGCGGCCAGTAGCATCGAGATGGACATGTAAAAAAGTGCATGTAAAGGGGCAATTTATTCGATTGAATTTATTTATTTTTTGCTGTGCTTTCAGTGATGGAAGGTGACTGCCAAGAAAGTGTCAAGCTGAAGCAACTGAAGTGGTTTGTGTCACCACAGCGGGCTATCTGCTGTATGGTCCTCGACCCCAGTGCCGAGTGGCTGGCATGCGGCTGTCGTGATGCCAGCATCGCCCTTGTGCCCGTTTTCTCACTAGTGACGGTATGTAATAGCGTGCTGCCTTGTGAAACACGAGCCCATGTAAAGTTTCTGCTCCGCCGCCCGGTTTTGATGACTCTTTGCATGTGTGCTGGGGAGAGAGAGAGAGAGAGAGAGAGAGAGAGAGAGAGAGAGAGAGAGAGAGAGAGAGGAGAGAGAGAGAGAGAGAGAGAGGGAGAGAGAGAGCTCAGGACATCGAAGCTGAATGGCCATTTGCTACTACAGTCAACTTCGCGAATAACGACATTCGGCGGGGCATCAGAAAAGTGTCCTTATTCGCGAAGTGTCCTTATAACCGAAGTCCCATTTGAATGTATGTGAACCCATATGTTGTATAGTATGACACGCATATCAAAATCAAGCTCTTTTCTTGCTCTATGTCAATGTGTACTTTATTTTCATGTTACAGTTGAAAGGAACTAAAAATTCAATATGCAAGGGAAATCAATTGAAAAATATGCCTTTTTGAGCCATCTACAGGGCCGGAGACATGTACATGTATGATGATTACTGTACAATCATGTACATGCATGTAGGTGTGCTGGTAAATCCAACACTTTTGAAGCAAAATAAAAAGGAAGAAAAAGCCCCCCCCCCCCCCCTTGGCTGCATTTTCTTTTCTTTATCCATCACCATAGCTATAGCCAGATAATAGGTTCTGGTACTTCTGCATGACAGGTACAGTGTACATGTACATGTACATGTACACTGTACACTGTACATGTACTTGAATGACAGGTACTTGAAATACAATGTACATGTAGCTGTCAAAAGCCCAAAAAGTCGTTATTCAAGCAGTGAATATGACCTCGGGGCACTAAAAGCATGTCGCTATACGCGAATTGTCGTTATTCAGATAGTCGTTATATCCGAAGTTGAATGTATACAGTTAGATGGGACTTTGCTCCGGGCATGGAAATTCGGTCGTTATTCGCAAATTGTCGTTATATCCGCAGTCGTTATTAGCGAAGTTCACTGTACACATGTAGCTTTATCCGAATTTCGCTTCCCGCAGCCTTTAATACCTTTGTAAATTGTAATGCAGTGCAATGACTTGGAGGTCCACGACACCAGTCTTCTTCTTGCTGAGAATGGGAGCTTTTCTTTGTGTCTCTGGCATTCAGCTTGTGTGTTGGCACACAAACATGTAGCAGTGGCCAGTTGCCATGTAGCACACACTACTATACATGCACCCATCACTAGCAGAGCATACAGGCCTGTGTCTGTGCTGGCTTTTCAGCCCCTGCTTTCTCTCTCCGTGTGCTTTGTCTTGCTTCTATATGCCTTTGTGGTGACAGGGTCGTTCAGCTCACTTATCTCAACTACCAACTGATGACATCACCATGATCATGCCCATGGATGAGAGAGGTCAGTTCAGCATTTTGCCCATGCTCTCCATGATATGCAATGGCATGCTGACTGTTTTGGAAGTTGTCGATATTCACACAAGAAAACCAAACCTATGAGAGCAGAAACAGAACTCATTCACCCCCAGGGTGTCCGGTGGGACATCCACACATCTCTAGTTCGGTTCTTTTGTCGTCTACTAAAATTGTTTCACAAATTCACAATGCGTATCACGCTGATCACACCTCTTCACACATATATCACTAGTGTATAACTGCAGAACTGTAGGATGTGCGCGGGAATCTTCACTTTGCTCCTTTTTCTGCATTTGTTCTCGCAAATCTACCTATTGAACGCTACTGCTGCATGTATCACCTATCATCAGGCTATGGGTTGTTTTAAGAGCATTGTAGTGGTTAGTTTCTTCTTTTGCCTGTATCCACCTGAAGAGAAGGCAATACAAGTGCTAGTGGAAACTTTCGAATGTTCATTGTAAAGAGCCTGGCGCTTGTCTTATTCCTTAGTTTGATTATATTACAATTTTGAAAGGACTGGGAGAACTTCACAATCAGAGGAGCAGTCAGAGAAATGAACTGCCTGAAAGAGAAAAAATGCCAGGCCCACCAGGACTTGGGAGTGACAAAAATTGTTAGCGCCTTCTAGGTTCAGCCTGGTCCCATAGCTCAGATGGTTTAGAGCTCATGTAGTAGAATTGGATATTTAGGTACACTCATGACAAGCAAGGTTCCGGGTTCGAGTCCTGGTGGATCAATCTTTTTGCCCTGCTTTCAAAATCCAGGGAATTAGTGGGTAGCCTTTGTATTCTAAGGCTGCGTTTACACGACAACGCACGGCCAGTTTTCCGTTTTCAGTCCCGCATTTCTTTTTTCGTTTTCGTACGTTTACACGATCAAAGCCGATCCGAGGTGGTCTCCGTTTGTTCCGTTTTCAAGCGTCTACACGAGAGCAAAGGATCCGCCAAAGTTCGTCATGTGCCAAGTGTTGCCGTGGAAGCACCAATCACACTCAAGTAATGGTTGAAAACAGGCACACGACAACACACGTCACATGACGAAAATTGTAAAAACAATTTTTTGGATTGTCGGATCCGTGTAAACGGCCGAAAACGAAACAAACGTGACGGAAAACGAGGCCAGCACACCGTTTCGACTGTTTACACACCCAAATTTATCCGGCAGAACATTTCCGTTTTCAAATTCTTCCACCTTGGCCAGCGTTTTGGTTTTCTTCCGTTTTGGTGTACAACTTTTACGTTTTGCTCCGCGTACCGTGTAAATGAACCATGGATCCGAAAAGATTTCGTTGCGTTTTCGCCCCCAGCGTTGTCGTGTAAACGCAGCCTTAGTCACATCTTGCCTTTGCTGGCTGTACCCAGCTCCAAGCCAAGCATTGTGTGTTGTTGGTGATGGATTGGTGTTCTTTCTTGCCTTTGCTGGCTGTACCCAGCTCCAAGCGAAGCATTGTGTGTTGTTGGTGATGGATTGGTGTTCTTTCTTGCCGTCGTTGGCTTCTTGTCTCCAGGATAATGGAGTTCTGGCTTGTTCTTTCTTTCGTTCTTGTATTGTTTATGTTTTAGCTGCACCGACATGCATGATCTGGTGGCGTACGATGGGTGGTAGATCAGTGGTTATCAGTGCATCGGCTGGTGGCGATCTGGTCTTCACTGACATCATACTGCGCCGTGATGTCACTAAGACCAATATCAGCTGCGTAGTCAAGTCCATGCAGCTGATCATCAACTCCAGACTAAACACCACACATTTACTGGTAAGTGATGAGGAAAGGGGGGAGATTCAGCATTAGGTCTTGAATCAAGAATCCCCTGTTGGCAAGCACCATATTATCGCCAGGAGATGTGGCTCCTCGACGATTTGTTTGTCCCTGTGGGAGCCAGGGTACAACTCACCACAGAATATCACACCCCCACGGAGACTCCCTCGATTTAGGCTAAGGCCTGTGGAGAATCCGTAAATACAAATACAAATACAAAAACCACTTGGGGCAACTCCCACAAGCACCTTGAATGTGTTCCGCTGTGTGTAATGAGAGAACGTTGAACAGTGCAGGGACATCTGTTTGTGGCTTCACAATCTTCACTTTTGTGGCAGTTGAGTACAATTTGGCAGTTGGGGAAGGGCCAAGAGTATTCTTACATGTTCACCTTTATCTTCTTGAGGCTGGGTAGTCCGCCGTTCTTAACAACCAGTTAGACTATTTTGGGACATGCCGAAGGAAAGCGGAAGCCGGTGTATGGATTCTCTGTACATACCAGTGGATCTCATATTGGTTGCCTAGGAGGTATTGAACAATGATGATGAATAACGCTTAACCCTATCCACCACTCTGTGGGTGAACCGTTTGTGCTCGTACTAGATTGGATCGTCCGATGGCCGCTGGTTTAGAATGCTGCTGGAGAGCGACTCTACAGAGCTAGTGGTAGCGCACGGCTTTGACATCATCTCCGGTGTGACCGACACGGGTGAGGTAGTCAGCATGGACCCCGGCCAGTCCATCAACAACATCCTACATCGAGACGAGGTGCAGATGCCATTCCTACCCAAGCTTATGCAAGTAAGTGAAATACTAGTACTACTCCCAAGTACAGTGTACATGTAGTAACACCGATTCCATGTAGTCCATGTACAGTAGGTATCGGTTATAGCGTGGGTGTTTGAAAAATGATCTACTGGACGCTGGAAGGCTGGTTGTGACTGCTTTCAATGGGTCAAGCAGTTCAGTCAGTGCTTCTGCAGCATCCCTGCTACGATCCACAAACACTCACTCACTGGCATTGGCTATAGACATATCCGAAGGAAATGGTTCTTGACAACTCCCTGCGAAAAGGACTTCAACATCACAAAGACCAGTCTCAAATGTTACACTTCTGCCTGCTTCCATTTGTCTGTATCCTTGTTGAGGCTCTGATCAGATGGTTTTGGTAAGTGAGGACTCCTGCTAACTTTTAGGTGCACACAGCGTGACCAGGCGAGCTAGCATGTCACAAGTGGAATTCTATCTGGTGGCCACTTCTTAGATGGGAGTTAATGTCCTGGACATGCCCTCCTGCACCTGGCGCTCACGTAATGCATGGGAAGCTGCCTTGCTGTGCTTGAAGTGCCCAACTAGTTTCCTGCACTGGGCCAGCAGCTTGGAGATGGCAGGGATATCCAGTGTATGTCTTATTGCAGTTGGGAGACGGTGGTATGTACAAGCTACAGTGTACATGCTTGGCAAACACTTCTCCAGCTCGCAACATGCAGCCACCATATTGGCTGCTTGGTCGTTGACAATACCAGCCAGCTGCTTGTTACGGATGTAGAGTCGCTGTAAGAGTGCCTTAGTTCGCTGCACTACATAACTTGCTGTGTGACGGTTTCCCAAATGTCCTGTTTCATTCTAATCCGAGTTGGTACTCTTTACTTGGCAGTGGTTTCGTTGTCGTCCAGACTGCTCACCATTGTTATTTGTGTGTGTGTGTGTGTGTGTGTGTGTGTGTACGTGTGTGTGTGTGTGTGCATGTGTGTGGCTGTAGCTCCCTCTTGGTGTGGCTGTGACAGTACAGCACCGTGGCAGTCAAACCTTCATGGCTGTTCATAACAGCTCCAACAACACTCTGCAGGTATGGAATGGCATCAGCACTGTATGCACTGTATTTGCCACAGTGGTTGTTGTACATTGATGTATTTTGATGTGAGCGTATTTCTTGTGCCTTCGTTCATGTTCAGATGTTTCCACTCCCGAACCATTTAGAGTATATTGTCCAGTAAAGTGCACTGTCGTTTTTTGGGCCGTTTTGCTTTTTATCAATGCCGAGTCCTGCATGTATCTGTTGTCTTGTACAGTTGTTTGACGCCGACGTGGAGTTGCAAGGCAAAGCTCTGTACACGTACAACCTGCTATCGGCCACTCGCAAGCTGTGCATCACCGACCTGATGATGTTTGCCGTCCAGCTGCAGTCGCAGTCGGCTAGTTCGGACAGCGTCAGCGCAGCGTCCGAAATGTCCGAGTCCCAGCGAGGCCTGAGCGGTTCCTGGAGTAGTGTCCAGCTGTCCGAAGCTGAGCCAGAACCTGAGGTCAGTGGTGTTTTGGGTAACCGGCTGAATACCTACATATACAGAACATACCGGTCCATTCATATACTGGAAAGCGTGTAATTTTCGCGGCGTTTTTAGTTCGCGTTTTCAGAATCCGGACAGGTTTGCGAGGTTTTAATTTTGCGATTGCTGAATGGCATTCTTGCTATTAAAACCTGTGGCATTCTTGCTAAACCTTTCATGGATCTCCTTTTCGCGCTGTCTAATTTTCGCGATTTCCACGCGGTCGCGAATTTCGCAGAAATTAGACCATGGCAATAATTTTAGGGGTCACACCCGGGATGCGTCACCGGTGATCATCTCGCGGCCATCTTGGATTTCGGAGCGTGCTCACCTCGTGGGTTATCCTCGCGTGCCAAGCCGCCAAGGAGGCGCGGGCCTCGCTTTTTTTTTCAAATCGTGGATCGATCTGACTCCTGCGATCGAGCTCCGCAAGGCAAAATCTCCTCCAACTACTTCCAAGTCAAACAACATCAGACATACAAGTACATCGTAACACGGTGTCTTTCTCTTTCGACTCGACAGTCGGCTGCTTCTTGTATTCGATTCTCTCCTGGAAGGAGCTGATAGGTCTTGTCTCGACCTCCTTTTTCCAACTTTCTGTCTGGTGTCTGTCTACAGGAAGTCGGCCTGGAGCAGCAACGCCGAGACATTTTGTCTCCCCTTTTTGTCTTTAGTAGCCTAGATGTCTCCCGGAGGTGGAGAGCCAGCACGACGACGACGATGTCGGGTTCAGCTGACCCGTTTTCCCGCCTCGATTGCAGCTGAATCAACTCTTTCTTCCTTCTTTCTTCCGATAGCCTTCATCTTCTTGTTGGTGTTAGTGAATGCGGAACTCTTTTCGGAGCTATTTTTACGAGTTGCACTATGCCTGCGAACAGGAAAAAGGACAGGTCGGGAGTGAACTACCCGAAACGCCGCAAGAGGAAGCATTCTGGCCAATACAGTAGTACGAAAAAGCGTCGTGCAGCCAGTCCCGAGAGAAACGAACACGTACATATAGATAGCCAGGTGTACGTACAGGATGATGAACCAGCAACCAAAGAGACATCTCAGGTAATTTTTTCTTCTTCAAATACTTAGTTATTCACCTGCATACATCATCTACGTCATGGGAATAGATCCCTTGCTTGTACTTCCCTTCAACAGCAATGTAATACTCAATGACACATTATGTATGCATTCACAAGCACACGTGCATGCACACACAATGTGTGTGCATGTCATAATACTGATGTGGAACTTTGGTAATCAGTACTAATCACACAGATATCGTACCGTGTCAAGCATACGTAATTTTTTGGACTGCACACAATTCAGTCGTGTTGGATGAATACAATACCGGTAATGGTAGACTAGCGTATTCTAATTATAATATGTGCATGTTGTACGCGATATGAAGCACAAGAGGAGAAGAAATATGAAAGTCTTCTAATTATAACAGTTTGAAGAGTTATGTTCTGTTGTATAAACAAAATTATTTGCACAATGTTGTTTTGTGCTAGGTTGTGTCTGAAGACCAAACTGAGCATGCGGATGAAGAGGAGATACAAGTGGTGCCACCAGTGCCAAGTCCTGTCAAGACAGTTGGCGAATCGACGCAGAACGTGCCTACAGACGATCCATCATGCGCAGCCCGGATAACGACTTGCAGTGATGAGAAGAATGAGTCATTGGAGAAACGACTGGCTGCACTGGAGAAGAAATGTGAGATGCACGAGCTCCGAATTCAGCAGCAGCAACTGGAAATCCGGGGTCTGCGAATTTCGCAAGTAAAACAGAAGAGTAAAAGACAGCAAACACCAACGTCAACAGGGGAGCCATGCATAATTTCTGCCAAGACACAAGGCAGTAACGCCCATTGCCCGCGTTTCATGGCACAGATGCGGTTTCTCAAGATTGCATGCATATTGTCAAACCAGAAGGCAGCATTGGCAATACATCTAAGCCACCATGTACTGACTGGCCAAGCTCCCTGTAGCCATCTCGGCACAACATGTTCCCCATCGTCACTGGCCAAATGGAACTTGCTTCTAGGAGAGGTTGACAAGGCTATCCTCCGCGACACCCTCTCCTCAACGCCATACGACATAGCTGTGTTCGCCGATGACTCGAACAAAAAAGGAGAAGACCGGCACATGGTGGGGGTGCACACCTGGTCAGCAAAACGAAATTGCCCCGCAGGCTATCTATTAGCGGACACACTTGTTGCAAGTGGACGAGGAGCAGACCAGGCAAAGGCAGACCATCACATCCTGAAGAATGTTTATGGAATCAGAACAGTGTGTGGAGTGGTGGGAGACAATGCATCTACCCAGTCCGGAGACAAGAAGGGGCATGCCGTCGCACTGGGTGGCCTATTCAAGAATAAAACCCATTTCATAGGCTGCTACCCGCACGTGTTGAACATTGCGTTGAAAACGGCAATGGTCGACGGATTCGGCCATCGAGGTCCAATGGCAAGTTTCAACATGTGCCAAATGCAGTACAAAATCGCGTATCTGCATCACCAGAAGCCTACGTACTACAAATCGTTATACGTTTCACTCAAGATCCTCGCAAAGCCACCTCCCTTGCCCCAAGAGTTCATCGACACCCGCTGGTCATATATACATGAAAATTTGAAATGGTTTCAAAAGTACGGCACGGCATGCATCCAGCTGGGCAAATGTATGCTCGAGTATCTTCCCAAGAAGGAAACGCACTACGTCATTTGGGAAGAAGTGGTGAGAATGTCAGCCAATCCCATCATCGCTACAGAACGTGTTACATTACTGGAGATACTGGACAGGCTGATTATGCCATCTCTTCGGGCCAGCCAGCTCCCCGACACAGAACTCGGCTTTTCAAGCGGCTACTTAGCGCGGAAATGGCCAGTTCAGGTATTACGGGACATACAGCTAGCTATCCTAATGGATGTAGAGCCAGATTTCGCAATGCCACTGACAGCTCGTGCTATGAGCTCTAATCTAACAGCAGAAAGAGCAGAGCACTACCAGAATAATGTCGTCAAGCCACTTACCAGTGCCATTGTAACTGTCTTGCAGAAGCATGGCGTGCGTTGGTTCAAGTTTCCGTTGGCATTCGGCATGGGGGCGGACTCCAAGTGCCGTCATCATTTCTGGCGAGCGTATGGACGCGTGACAGGCTCCAGCGCAGCATTCCCCTGTCCGGCGGAGTTTCCCTCAATCCTGGCGTCCCCGTTGAAGGAGCAGCTCTGGGCCGAGCTGATCAGTGCAGCCACCACCATCAAGTGTCCGTTCACACTTGCCAAAATATGTTACCAGAACGGGTTGCTTCAGCGCCAACAACATCTCTTGCTGCATCCGAGCACGCACTGGTTTCATGAGCTGGAAATCTTGGCAATCGTGGCTGCAGATAAACCGGGCCTCCAGCAATGGGCAGAAAGGTGGCCAATACCAGATGAAATGCTGGCAGAGGTTGAGCTGATAGCGCAACGCACTAGCCCCTCAGTGCCCAACGAGAACAAGGAGCCACATGCGTGGAAGTGGTTCGCGACACATGTGTTTGCTCTACCAGTGAACAACGTGATGGCAGAGCGGCAGTTCAACCTGGCAGGAATCCACCTGACGAACTCTGATTCCGAGATGACGAAACAGGCAACACACCTGTTCGTGGAAAACGTCATCCACGGCAATGACGCCACAGCCGGTTCATCAGGCAAAAGGACAAGGATGACAGGTAAGAAAATGATCCAACAGCACACGTATCTTGCACGGTAGAGACGCGCTTATCACCATTACAAACGTGAAGTATTCGACCTGGCAGCGATTTGGTCATATGCATACAGATGATGTGTCGAAGATTGTTTACAATGATTCAAGTTGTAGACAAGTTGTATACTACGCAGCACACTCTGTTCACCAACATGCGTACGTACATAGAAGCCAGCAATGGTGCCCAGCCTGGCCCAGGGTGACTTGAACAGACTGCTTACAATAGCTATCCTCACACGCGTGTGATTTTCTGCTGGTCATTCTCTTTGTGTTTACTGATAGGTGCTACAACACAACAGCTGGCCACAGCAATGCAGGATTACGCGTCCACCATTACTCCAGAGCGGCTGAAGAAAGCCAAGAAGCAGCTGAAACTACTGAGGCAGGGCACATCTCAGGCCAGGTCGTTGACTGCCTCAGAGACGTACCAGGACGTGCTGAAGCGCCACCGCGCGAGAGCTGATCATGACAAAACTCTTGCTCGGCTGGAAAGGGAGGGTAGGAGCCACGGTGTGCAGCACAATCCAGGCACCCGTGCATCCACCCAAGACAGGGCCAACACAAGGTCGTTCAGTCCAGTACGTGAGGCAGGTGCAGTCGAGCCAGGTACATCGGGGTGAGAACGTCCATGGCTACGAAAAAGTCCAGTGCAGCCATTCCTTCATCGATTTGGACAAACTATGGCTTATTTTTTTTATTGTGGACTTGTCTTCCTTTCTATCGAGACGATTCATAGATTTCTATTTTTCTTCTCCCCCAAAATTCTCTTCGAAGCGAAGAGAAATCTTGAGAAACTACTCCGAAATCGTATCTTGCTCCGTGATTTGGGTATTGTTGGCCTTTCTCAAAAATTCTTTCGATAGAAGTCTGCGGAATAGGGGTAGGATCCAGCATGTCAAATTTCAGGCTGATCAGAAAAACAGTCGCTGCCCTGGAATCAAATACACATTACAGTCGTTTTTTCAAAAATTTAAAAATTCACGTACCGTGATTGGTCCGTACGGTGCGGTTTTCACGTGTTTGGCACGTGCGAAATTCAAAATGGCCGCGAGATGGTTGTACAGAAGTGTGACCCCTAAATTTCACGATTTACAGTAGTGGTAAATACACGCCTGGCAATATGGCGGTAAATACATGCCTGCCCACACACGCTCTCTAAGCTTCAACGTTACTCTGGCACACACAGGCAGGACAGGCAGGGCACACAGGTATGGAATAAAATGAAAGGATAGGAGAGACAAATGCAGGTGATTGTTCGTTCATGACTGAGTCACTTTAAGGCTACCTTCACAGACTTGAATAGGCTTCGATGGCAACGCATAGGTTATCATCAACTCTAGGCATTTGACTAGAGTGTGGGGTGTGAAGATAGATTGGCCTCTGGAAGTGGCTGTTTCGACGTTGTCAAAAAGAGAAAAATAACTCCTCGATTGTTGGATGTTGTGCCGGCCACAAGGCTGGATGTTTGGCAATGTACGGCAGCTCACTCTATTCCAGTCTATTGTCACCTCTCAGGGCACCACGCTTGTTTTCATGTACCAGACGCACTTCTTTGGATAGAGCCTTTCTATCACGATGGATTCTGGTGCTTACATTTGCCATTGTTTGGCTGCGTTTTGGCCTTATCCAAGTGGTGTGTTTGTGTGTGTGTGTGTGTGTGTGTGTGTGTGTGTGTGTGTGTGTGTGTGCGTGCGTGCGTGCGTGCGTGCGTGCGTGCGTGCGTGCGTGCGTGCGTGCGTGCGTGCGTGTGTGTGCGTGTGTGTCCCATATGGTGCAGTGGTATGTGCAGTCGATTTCCAATCGAGAGGTTGCGGGTTCAATTCCCGACGATTGTGGTCGCACACGTCTTTCTTCTCTTTCTCGGACTCTTCCTGACTTTTCTTTCATTCTCCTGGGTGGTTACCAACAGCCAGTGCATGCCGGAGTATGGTGTGGTGTGTGTGTGTGTAGAAAAAAATGGAAAAAATGAAAAATAGGGATTCACTGGCCAGAAAAAGTCACTTCAAACAGCTGTGTGGTGGATACCAGGCTAAAAATAGTGGCGGTCAATTCATCAGCCTTGCAAGCTGTTGAATGGTGTAATCCCAGCACAAGTTGCTATGTCTAACATAGCTGTTCGCTATCATCGCTTCCGCGATGGGCATGTCTGAGGTCTGAGGTGTGCGTGTGTGCATGCGTGCGTGCGTGCGCGTGTGTGTATGCCCTTCATTGATGTTCTTACAGCCAGAGACTCCGTCAGCTGCTGTACTCAATGTGCTGTCCATGCAGTTTGCTTCTCCGGGTGTTCGGCTAAGCCCACCAGTACGTGTAAGTATGCGCGTACTGGTATGCATTACCCACTTGAACAGGAGTAATGCTTCTTTGTTAACATGTGTGGTGCCATTGGCAATGCTTTCGGGATTTGGTTACTAGACTACTAGTACCCGGTTCCCACAAAACCGGAAAGTTCGAGTAAAACCAGGCTGAGTTATCACACTAACACCACGCAGGACTCTGCATTGTCTTTTCTAACATAATTCTAAAAACAGAATGGCAAGAACCTCTGTGACTTATCTCAAGCAAGAAGAACACATCCTGGACAAGAAAGGAATTTTCTCAAAACTAACTACCACACTGCTTTCTTCACCAGCAGCCAGAACGCTAAAAGTGGGAAACTAGAAATCAGTTGTATCCACTTGTATGATTGTTGTACAGATAGTGTACTCGTACGGTGAGAATCTGAATATAGAAGAATGCGTTACATGGCGGAAAACAAGGCTAAGGATAATCAAATAAGGGTACTAGCCGCAAAAGGCAAAGAATATAATCTACACTGTAAAAAGTTACAGAGCCACGGTATACGCTGAAATCTAGCAGATTTATAGTGAATTTCTAAAGGCAAAAGTGAAAATTCCAAGCAAAGTGCCACACTGCTACTCATTCCCATTATGGTAGAGAAGCTTCAATGGAGCCTCCTGATTTTTAACATGTCCTTCCAATTGAACTGAGTGATAGTACATACATCTTGTGTATTGTACTTCAAATTACATGTATGTGTGTTTTAACTGTTTTGGTGTACTTGTGTCTGATGTTGTATACAATCATGTACATGTACGTATGTGTGCGCGTGTGTTTGGTTGGCGTATTCTTCAGTCTGTGTCAAGCGGTGATCTTGCCGTGCAGCGTTTCTCATTTCCGGACGGGGAACATCCTCTCGGCGTGTATGCCTGCTCGCCGCAGCCCAACAGTGACGAATCTCCTCTCCTGTCGGTCAGCGGAGGAGGGCTGGCATCAACACCATCGCTGTCTGCTCGGCCATCGTTTCGCCTGCCTGGCTGCGTGATTGTCACCACGCATGGGCTCTACCACTGCATGCAGACGTGAGTGGTGTGCAATCAAAATCAGCCTCTACTGGCCATTACAGGTGCATGGCCGTCCGTCAAGTGTATTGGCGTTATTTCATATCAATACTGTGTATGCACCATGCAATCATAATATTCAATCGCATTGTGTTGCGTGCACCCACTGTGTGGCGTATCTGTGCTGTTAGGAACGACCCGGAGGCCATGTTCCTGGATCTGCTAAGCAGTCACAACTGTGACACGACTGACGCGGACTGTCTGGGTGTGATGATGAAACTGGACGTGTGCAAACTCTACCAGGTAGGTGGTACACATCATCAGGGACTGTATGCTAAGCTTGATTCATACAGTACTATGGTGGAAATTCGGTCTCCACCCGCCTCACTAAGGGGCCGTCCGGGGTTACCGATTGTTTTTACGAAACGAAAAGTTTTAGTATTTTTCAGCCCCACCCACCCACCCACCTTTTCTGCAGGTAATACGAATTCCAGTAAAATATTGATGTCAATTTTCGGTACCCAGAAGTTACTGGGCATTCTCCATCTGCAATCAATAATTATTTTCAAAACGAAACTCCATTAAACCCACCCACCCCCAAACGAAAACTTTTCGTTTTGAAAATATGATTGGTAACCTTGGACGGCCCCTAAGGGGCCTTCCGTAAACACCGATATTTATTTAGAAACGAAAACTAGTCGTTTCTCTTCAACCCCCTCCCCCCCCCCCCCTCCCTGAGAAACGAACACATGCAAAATGGTACGTAGTATCGATATTTTTGGTCTTTTTTCTGGGCATGCTCACGCATGCAAAATGTACATCGATATTTTTCGAGAAACGAACAGGCGCTGAACCCCCTCCCCCCTAAACGACTAGTTTTCTTTTCTAAATAAATATCTATATTTACGGATGGTCCCTAAACCGACCAGCAGTCATGATAATACGAGAGAGCTTGCTCAGGGCCCTACGCTATGCTTTTTTGCCTTGATGACCTAGACAAAAAAAGCATAGGGATGTTATAAATTCTTTAAAAATTCCTTACATAACCTGGGATTCGAACCCGCACTATCGCGCGCCCTGCATGCATCCCCCGATACACTTCGCATACATACTAATTCTTCCAGGTTGCTTCACATTGTGATCTTGCATTTGAAAGCCCTATTTGAATATGCATTATGGCCAGCCGTCTTTGATGGCACGGTACGGTAGGGGATATGTACGGGACAGGTACGATCGAGGGTAATACGACACCGTCTCCCGTACCGTACCGTACCATCAAACACAGCTGGCCACATACAGCTGGCCGCAATATTCAAATAGGGCTTTCAAACGCATGATCATAACGTGAAGCAACTTGGAAGAATGGGTATGAATGCGAAGTGTATGGGAAATGCATGTAGGGCGATGGTGCGGGTTCGAATCCCAGCATAGGCCTGAAAAAATAGGAGAATTGAAAAATTTATAACATCCCTATGCTTTTTTTGCCGTCAGATACGGATAGCGCCAGGCGTGACACAAACAAACAAACAAACAAACACACAAATACCAAATTAAAGCTGTGTGGACCCTGGCTAACGCCAGACGTTACTGAAGTAACGTCTTCTGCATAGCTACGGGAATAATATTGAAGTCACTTCATGTTGTTCAATGCTCCAACATTCTCTCTCTTGTGGTGTATCCACTGAGTCCTGCATATGAAGAGTCTATATGACACAGTACGCTTGGAGTCCAGAGACCTTGTACCAAGTTGCAGTTGCTTTGTGAATGTTATTGGCGTGTACGCGTGTGTGTGTATGTGTGTGTGTGTGTGTGTGTGTGTGTGTGTGTGTGTGTGTGTGTGTGTGTGTGTGTGTGTGTGTGTGTGTGTGTGTGTGTGTGTGTGTGTGTGTGTGTGTGTGTGTGTGTGTGTGTTGTGTGTCACTGTGTGTGTGTGTGTTTGTGTGTGTGTGTGTGTGTGTGTGTGTGTGTGTGTGTGTGTGTGTGTGTGTGTATGTGTGTGTGTATGTGTGTATCTAGATTGCAGCTGATGAGAAGTTGCAAGACGGCCTGGTCAGCGAGGCAATGAAGTACTATCACCTCTCAAAGGTCAGTTTGCTGTCCAGTGTCTGGTGTATGTGTACATGTATACTGCATCGTCAGCTGTATACTGATGATTGCTCACGATTGTGCAGTGCGATAGACCCGTTTCTTAACTTCATGTTCCTAATATATCTCGTACAGTCTGGAGGAATGCTCTTCTGCAGTGGCCCAGCTGATTTGGAGGCGAGTTTGTTCTCTAGGTTCTGCTCATGCAGCACAGGAAATGAAACTGATGTAAATCGAGCGGATTCATGGCAAGAACCTCCTATACATAGCAAAATGTGACTGAACGCCATGGCTCTACTGTCACAGGGAAATTCGTTGCCGGCACAATAGAGTTCTGTGTAGATGGACGCCATTCCGGGACACGTTATTCTGATTAGAAGCTCATCTTCTGCTTGAAGCTACTATATGCTGGCTTGCCATTCTGTGCTGTGCTTCTTACATGCATGTTGGTGCACTGGTGTTGTGTGATGTTGTGTGATGTTGTGTGATGTTGTGTGATGTTGTGTGATGTTGTGTGATGTGGCTGCTTGCAGTGTTCCCATGTTAGTTTGGTGAACCGCCTAGCATCATCGCAGCACATGGAGGCTGCCTTGGCCTACCTGCAGAAGGTCAGTGGGTCTCCAGGACAGTTGAGAGTGCAGCTGTTGCGTGTGTGTCGCTGCTTCAAGCATGCATGGTTACATGACTGCAGGGTTCCATGACTTCTGCGTGTGCGTGGGATATGTATATGTCTACCGTATTTCGGAAATTAGAGCCGATCTTTATTACTGCCTGTCTGAAATAAGCGCTTCATTATTTCAGGGCTTTTGTGTGGATTTTTGTCAAAATTGGGTGAAATTTTAAAGCTCCCAAAGTACTATTAATATAAAGTGCCTCAGCCAGTATTGCCGAAAATACAGTATATGCGTGTATTGGGGCTAAAGGCTAACGGCATGATCTGCCTGCTGTAGCAATACATACTACAGCGCAGTCTTGCTGTTTTCACGAGTATGGCATCTGCCCGGACAGTGTAATACGGCTTACGTCGTAACTACGGCACACACACACAGCATTGCATCTATTGTATGTGCACATTACTCTGCATATTGGTGCATTGTCCAGTCTATGCGGACTGACCCAGCTGTCCTTTACTGGCTTTAGCATTCGTGAGTGTCAGCTCTCGTCTTATGCGTACTTCCCGGTCGCTAATGTTAATTTTACTCAATATGAATCAAACTACATGTACTCCCTGATATGAATGCTCCTCGGTTGTGTTGTTCTCTGCATTTGTTTCCCTCTCTGGCTGCTGTGGCTTTCGTGTCTTCTTGTAAGGTTATGAAAGCTGATACAAGTGGGCCTGAAAGCAAGCAACTCTCTGACATTCTCTTCCAAGTCTTTCTTCAGCAGGTAAGGCACCCTGCATGCGTGCATGGCTGTGTGTGGGTTTGTGTGTGTGTGTGTGTGTGTGTGTGTGTGTGTGTGTGTGTGAGTGTGTTAAAATGGATTTATTGTGCAGCTATACCATGTGGGTTTTGACGTTGTGGGAAGAGCCACTGCATTTCCAAAATACCCTAAATTGGCTCATTCTAGCCACAACTCTATGTACTGTATACAGTATACATGTACATGTACCGTAAAATACCGTTGATCCCCCCCCCCCCCCCCCCCCTCCTCCCACGCCATGTCGCTTCCCAGCTGGTTTTTCGGCAGAGGGCGGGAATTAGATCAAGGCAGTGAAGCGCAGTACGATGTACAACAACGTGGAGGATCAGACTCGATGTGCTGGATTGTGCACATTTTCATCCTGGATTGGCACGTATTGTGTACAGCAGTGCAAGCGTCGTTTCAACATCGTATTTCGTTGTATACGCCGAAATCGCGTCACAGGTAGAAAATCGACAGGGGGCGGGAATTAGAGAGGGGCGGGAATTAGAGAGGGGGCGGGAATTAGAGAGGGGGCGGGAATTAGAGAGGGGGCGGGAATTAGAGAGGGGGCGGATCAACGGTACTTTACGGTATATGTTCATGTACTACGTTCTGTGGTTTGCTGTGTGCTCTAGCTGCTGTCCTGCCCGGACCAAGGTGGCCAACGTACCAAATTGCTCTCACGCCTCCAGTAAGCATGCGGTGTGTGTGCTGTACAGTTTACCTGTGTGCATCCATCCATGCATGCATGCATGCAGGTGTGCATATCCATGGTCGTGTTGCTTGTGTGCATATCCATGGTCGTGTTGCTTGTGTACTGTATTGAACTGTTTGAGTAGGTGCCTTACCGTTCTGCTCTCTTTGTGTTTGGCCATACATGTATTTGCTGTGCAACCCTGATACATGTTTGTAGCGATATCTGGCAGCCCTGCACATTTACGGCACCCTTTTGCACGTGTGTTTTTTGTGTGTGTCCTTTGTTGTCCTATCTTTCCTCTCAGGGCAACATATTAGATTCAAACTTTTCGTTAAGCTCGCGGTGGACTGATCTCTGTGTGTTCAACATGTGCTGTGTTGTGTGTAGGCGGTTTGTCACGGATGATTTCAACTACGACCCAATGGAAGCCATGACGCAGCTGGCGGACCATGGTTTTGCTGGCCTGGTCCTGGACATCGCACACGTACGTTTGAACTCTGTTTAGTATCCATGCATGTACAATTGTACACGGTGCATCTTAGTAGGGTGCATTGAGTGTTGTGTTTCCATGCCAAACAGTACATTGTACTATGGGAAGGCCGTGGCAGCAGGTGAATGTGCAGCAGCAGCAGCAGCAGTCTGCTAGTACAGGTGTTTCACTTGCCACACCTGTACTGTGTTGGTTGGACTATTGTTGGGCACAACTACCCTGCTGCAACTGTGGACCTCTGTCAGTGCATTTGAGATCTTACTGCGGATAAAGTGAACAAGCATAGCGAACGTGTCCGTATTCCGGCTTCTTGTTTGTGCAGACGCGCGGACTGGCTTCTGATGGCTTCCAGCTGCTCTTACAACGTGGGCATGCAGAGATCCCTAGCTCGTCCTGTGACACTATCATCAGTCGGGGTGGTGCCCGCGGCTTATCCTCCTACAGGGATGGTAAGTTTGCTTTGAAGTGTTGTGAATGGCCACATGTGTTTTACCTACCAAAGGCACATGTGTATGCGCATGTGTTCGTATGTGTTTGCATGTGTGCATGGTATGTGTGTGCGTGTATGTGCATGTGTGTGTGCATGTGTGTGTGCGTGTGTGGAGGGGGGGGGGGGGGGTGTCTTTCAGTCAGCCAGCAGCCATTTGCCATTTGGAAATCTCTAGATCTAGTTCATCTAGTTGTCGATGAGCTGCAAGAGAGGTGTTGCTCCCCAACCTGACTTTTGTCTGTTTTTGCTGTGTCTTTTTCCTGTGGCTAGGTGTGTTCTTGCGCTGTCTGCAACCTGCATCTGTTATTCAGTTTGTCCTGGCTGATGTACGTATCTAAGACAGTGCTTTCATCCATCACTGGCGTGCCAGTCTAGTGTATTGTTGTAGTGTAGGAAATCAGTAGTCCATGTTGTCGTGTGGTATTGTTCGGGGCCCCGCAATATATTATAATCAGTTGTGTTACTATGGTGCTGAGCTTCCCTCTGCTTACTGCTTGCTTGTGTCCACACTCCACAACCTTTTTTGAAGAGCTGGGCTTTCACACAAATATGCAGACAGTACTGCATGCTATGTTGACTACTGGTATCTTTGTTAGTTGGTTTCCACCTAACCTGTCAGCATCAGCTAGTCAGCTACAGATACTACTTGTAGTCCCACCTGTGTGGACAGGGATAGTCTGGGAGGGGGGTACTAGTAGTGACAAATACCTAAAGGTATGTACCAATAGCTCCCTGGCCCAGTCTTTTCCATTTTTCCAGTGTGTGTGTGTTTTGCCTTTCTTAATAGTTTGGTCCCTGTTCTCTACTGTGCATGATTCTACATTGTAAGTCCATTTTATTTTGGTATGCCAATGGCTGGCGCTACCATCATGATGATCTTCCACTCTTGTTTATTTGTTGTCTGCCACTGCTGCAGCTGGACAAGTTGTCCTCACATCTTCCTCTCCTCCGTCAGCTCTTGCCGCAGCTGGAGCATTCCTCTCTGCTGCGTCTGGCCAGGGTGTTTGACCCGAGTCGCTCCATCATACGCCCACGGCTGGCCAAGTCCAAGCGCAAACATGCACGGTATGTGGCTGTCTGCGCTTATCCGGTATACATGTCTGCTACTGGGGGCGATGCGAATAGTGTTCAGAGGACTTTTGCTTAAATTTGTAACCAAGGGGCTTTGATTCAATCTTCAAACGAGGGTGTACATGTACATGTATGCCAGAGTAGTTCCATGTATGCTGGCTGTACCTTGTTCATGCTGGGTATTATCACTATTATGCATCGTGCTACCGGTATATGTAATGCTCTTTTTCTTGCATGCCCCAGAACTAAACTGTAGCATGCATAGCCCCATCCATTGTGCACCAACACTGCCAGGTTTCTGTAGGGGTGGTGATTACCAACCATGAACTGAACATGTTGAGATTGTTGTTGTTTGTTGGTGTGTTCAGACGTGGATCGAATGTGTCAGTAGCGTCTCTGTCATCGTTGAATTCTGTGCTGAGTGATTCATCATTCACACAGGTAAGTATGCTGGGCATCACCACTGCGTTGTCTGGTGTCCCTGTACCTTCTGATTGTTCTCATTGTTCATAGATCAGTCAGTCAGTGTGTCTGTGTTACATGTACTTGCAGCCTTGTCAGACTGGAGTGCATAGAGTAGATCCAGCTGCAGCCAAGGCATGCGCCTGTTTGCAGCCAAGGCATGCGCCTGTTTTGTTTCTAAGTCTTTTAAACAAAGGTGCTTATCAGTCTTGTCAAGCGCAAGAAGCTAGTGTCCAGCAATTGTATGGAGTTCCTTGTCTCCATGAGCATTCTTGGTGTACTTCAAAGTAGTTATACTTGAGTGAGAGTTCTCATGTGTGTGAGCATGGTCAGCAAAGAGAGGTTCGATGTGCGAAAGCTCTCTCATTTTGAAGGTCAAGTACTTGTCTAGTTGTTGAGTGTGTGTTTGTGTGTGTCTTATTTCTACTCATGACTTGTAGCAAGAACTTCGGAGAACCACTGGTGAAGCGTATGTTGAGTTCTTTCTCGCTGTCCTGCTACTTCTGCGACAGCGAAGATCCGTCAGCAGCGTGTCTGAAACGTATGTTACCAGCATGCTAGCAGCTAGCTGTCTTATTCTCTCTAACCCTGCGCTTGTAAACTTTCACGCTCTCTATGTGTTCATGTCTGTGTTGACTTAGGATATTGCTGTATTTACAAGTACACATGTGTGTGTGTTTGTGTGTGCATGTGTGCGTATGTGCATATGTGTTTGTTTGATTCTGCGTGCACTGTGCATCCACAGAGCCTTCATCATGTCGGGCATTGATGAGGAAATCTCTCGCCACCTGGCAAGGCAGCGCAGCGATTCGGTATGTACACGTACCTGCAGGATACCTTTAAATGCAATTCGTAGGTGCTAGTTCCAATCAGTCTGTACTCCGCAGTGACAGCACTTGACCAGCAAATTATTGGCTGTGATTCGTTCATCTTCTGTTTTTAACTTTTACTGTCATCAAGTCTCAGGAATCTCTACTGGTCTGGAGTGGGCAAGGACAAATGTATGTGTGCGTGTGTGTGTGTGTGTGTGTGTGCGCACACGCGCGTGTGTGTGTACGTGTGTGTGTGTGTGTGTGTATCCGTGCTTGCGTGTGTTTTGTGCTCGTGCTTTCTCCACTTGTAGATCCATGGCACGAGGCGGAAGCGTCACACTCAGCTGCCCATGACGCACTCAAAGCGCCCCTCACAGCTTGTGGCGTGTGGAGAACTGCACGCCGCTGCCGTGTCCAGTGGTGCCCTGCACACATGGGGTAAAACCAGGGATGGCAGGTGAGAGACCTGTGCAAGCAATGTCCACTCGGTCCACAACTGTACACGCACACCTCTGTCTGCCAACTAACCTATACCTGAGCATGCTATTGACTGTTCAGTAGTTCAGGAACTACGATCATTTCGTTCTCCTGCTTTGGATATAGTGACTGGTTCTGATAGGACAGGCTTGTGGGGTGAATCTGGTTAAGAGTGCACTGGGAGTCACAGTAACATCCGTTTCTTTTTCACCGTGACCCTTGTTTTGGCACCATTCCTCTTTCACTGTGACCATCGTTTGGCAGTGACACCGTTCCTACTTCACTATGATCATTGTTTTATGCTACTACTCTAAAGAGGTCATGTGAATGACATAGCTCTGTATGCTTTGTATGGAGTGACAAACTGGTGTTTATGGTGCCACTCCATACTAGGCATAGCAAACTATGATGTACTATAGTAATCACATACCGGTACTAGAAGTAGTAATCTCTGTAGGTTGTATGGTTGAGGTCTAAGTCATGGCTATTTTCAGGCTTCACCTCACTCTGCCAAAGTGTACAACAAACGGTTCATGTACTCTTGATTGCACCAGCATTGTATGGTGTGATTGTGTTTGCCATGTCATCCCATACAGTTATGCTATGTGCTGTGTGCTGTGTACGTGTGTACGTGTCTGTGTGTACATGTGCGTATGTACATGTGCGTGTGTACGTGTGTGCGTGTCTGTGTGTACATGTGCGTGTGTACATGTGCGTGTGTACATGTGCGTGTGTACATGTGCGTATTCGTACGTGTGTATTGCTGCTTCTTTTTTTTCCGATCATCACCGGCATCACCAGACTTGGCCACGGTGACATCATTGAAGAGGAAGGCTGCACCCTGCCACTGCGCGTTGAGATCCTGCACATGCACGGCATCCAGGTGCTGGCCGTGGACTGCGGCTGTGAGCACACGCTAGCGTTGTGCCAGGACGGCGTGTACGCCTGGGGCTCGTCCAAGTACGGTCAGCTGGGCCTGGGCGACAGGGACCGGCGTACACGGCCGTCCATCATCACCGAGCTGAGCGACAAGAACATCATGACGGTGGTGTGCGGCCAGTACCACAGCATGGCGCTGTCGCGTGACCAGCGCGTCTACAGCTGGGGCTGGGGCGTGCACGGCCAGTTGGGGCTGAGCAGCTGCGAGGACAGCATGTTCCCCATGCGCATCACCGCCGTCGGCAATCTGCGTATCAAGGCCGTCTCGGCTGGCTACTGCCATTCGGCGCTGCTGTCTCGCGACGGTGCAGTGCTGACGTTCGGTAATAACCAGTATGGCCAGCTGGGACTCGGCAACAACATGAAGCAGTCAGCGCCGCAACTTGTCAAGTCACTGGAAAAGGAGCGCGTCACGCACATCGCGTGTGGCAACTTCTTCACGGTAAGCCACTTGCTTCTAATCGTAAATAGATCGGCTAACCCGGTGGCTATGCTAAAGGATGGGTATTTTCTACTATTTTGTGATGGGAGGATTTCTGTGCATTAGTCCTTTTCTCCCCGGTCTCTGCGAGTTATACCTTGGCTGCCGTTGCTTAGTAGTCCTATCTACCTTTTGAGCGCTAACAGTGCATTCAGTATAGTTTGTTGTGCGTGAATGTGTGTGTATGTGTGTGTTTTTGTGCGTGTGTGCGTGCACGTGCATGCATGTTTGAAGGGGGTATTGTGGATCGGCTATCTGTGTGGCAATGCATTCTATTCACATGCCATGTATATGCATGCATGATATGATGTACAGGTGGCTATTACAGAAGGTGGTGACATCTACCAGTGGGGCCGTAATCTGCAAGCAACACACGTGAGTTGATGATTGCATGCGTGTGGCGGTGTTGGGCATCGCTACTACATCAGTAACACGAGCAGGCAGTCCAGCATTGCGAGCAAGATGGGCTCTGTTTGACTGCTAGGGTGTTGTAGATAGTTAACTAGGATCAAAGTCCAGGGCTTGAGGAGCATAATGGGACCTGAGTGGAACATCAATAGGCGTAGTGAACGGCAACAGAGTGGCTGCAGGAACAGGATCTTCCAGAGGCATTGATGCGAAAGGCAAAGGCATGCAGGCAGGCTTCAGGTGGTTGAAGTGAAGTGCCTTGCTGAGGCCATCAACATCAGCAACATAGGATGTAGACTCGAAAAGTAGGCAAGAACATAAATCCACCGGGCACATCCGAAAAGTCAGGATACGCAAGCACTGGTGCTGTAGAAAGTTACCGCTTCGGAGCATTGGGTGTCACGTCACAGCTCTTGGTCCGTGTGGATGACACGTTCTTGTCGAATTTGACAGTCAGCGGGGCTGACCGCAGGGCCATTCCACGAACGAAGTGACGGCATTACCTGATGTGTCCCAGACAGACACGCACATCTCGCACGGACTTGGGTACGGCCCACTTCTCAATAGCTACGATCTTGGCAAGACACACCTACACTGCACGCATTTGTTCTTTGACATGTTCTGGCAATAGTGTTTATGTCCAAGAACAACTGACTTGTAATTTTGTTATAATCTTCCACGCAGGCCTGGCTTGCTTCTAAAAACATCTCTCTCTCCCCCCCCCCCCCCTCTCTCTCTCTCTCTCTCTCTCTCTTTTGCTCTCTTCTTTCCATTGCTCTTCCTGCCCCTTGTCTGTTCTGTCTCCATCTCTACCTTTGCTGTGCAGAGAGGACAGCTTCGAGGGTATATCCGATCTCGTCAGAACATCACTGAACTGGTCAACTGCAATCTGAATGTTCCACAGATGATCCAGTGTGGCTTTGAAGGCAAGGTTAAGCAGGTACGAGCATAGATTATTTCTTATCCTCCTGCATTTCTGGACCATACTCACACTCACATGATCTATCTGTACATGTTTATTTTCAGCAGGTTCCACTTTTTCGTGTGTCTTGGCAAGGGTCAATTCTTCTAGGAACTCTGCAAATGGCAATGCTCAATCTCCTTGTGTGTGCGTGCTTGTGTGTGTGTGTGTGTGTCTGTGTCTGTGTCTCTGTGTGTGTGTGTGTGTGTGTGTGTGTGTGTGTGTGTATGTGTGTATGTGTGTATGTGTGTGTGTGTGTGTGTGTGTGTGTGTGTGTGTGTGTGTGTGTGTGTATGTGTGTGGGTGGGTGTGTGTGTGTCTGTGTCTGTGTATCCATGCTGATGTTGTGTTTGTCCGTGTGCATGTGTCCCATCATACAGATATCCTGTGGTAGCTGCCATGGCTTACTACTCACTGACTCGTGTCATCTCTATGCTTGGGGTGCTAATGACTATGGCGAACTAGGCCAAGGCGCAAGGAATTTTCAGGTATGTATCAACCCAGAGCAGATGCACACCATGCTGTATACACTGGGCAGGCTAAGACTTAACAGATGACGGCAAATAACGTTATATAAATGGGACAGTGTGTTGTGTTCTGCCTGGATATACTTTTTCTGGTGTGTAGTTGACTAAAGTCTTGCTTCACAGTGTTTGAGACTGGTAACCTTTACGGTTTCACGCAATTGGCTTTGTGTATAAACCTGTTCTCAAAGTTAGAAGTCGGTAGACGTCGGTGAAGGTACGACATTTCTGTACGCATAATGACCGTGAGAGCTGTTTTCTACAAATATTCCGTACGCCGCACTGTAAATGTTGCAGAGTTGGGTAATATACAGGTTTTACATCGATGATCTGCCGACATGGGTAGATTTGCGTTCACTAACTTCCATCTACTGCCAAAGCCTGTTCCACTCCACTCTATCAAGTGCTGTAAAACCAGTAATTTTCGGTGGTGTAATATTTTCGGTATTTCCCAAAATCAATGGTTTGGTAGCGCGAAAATCTCGGTAAACCGGTTTTCCAGATCCAAAAATGCATTTTGCACACTGTGTGGCGCATGGAATGGCATGGTTGAATAATTTTAGGTCGTGTTTTATTTTAGGTAAAAATTACCAGTACCGAAGGTACCGGAAATATATCTCCACCGGAATTTTCCGGTTTTACAGTGGACAGAAACCAACGCAGCCTGAAATGCTAACCGTGTCCACTCTTTCTATTTATCCATCAGTGTCACAAACTGAGGCGAATGGCAAGTTACGCTTTCCTGCGAACAATTCTGGTTGCACACTGTGGTCGACACAGCATGTGTTTTTCTTTCATCTGTCTATATCATTGCCTCAGATCACGCCCAAACTGATAAGCTCTCTGAAGGACCGGCGCATCATCTCTATGGCAACTGGTGATCAGTTCTCTGTGGCACTGGACCACTATGGTGAAGTCTGGGTGTGGGGTCGGGGTGACGGCGGACAGGTACGTATAGTGTGTACTTTGTGTGTTCCAGCATGTCTCTCCGTGTGTCTGTCTGTCTGCATGTCTGTTTGTCTGTATGCATGTATGTCCGTCCGTTCGTCCATCTGTCTGCCTGCCTGTCTGTCTGTCTGTCTGTCTGTCTGTGTGCCCATATCTTTTTACATTGGTTTGTGAAGTCAACAACCCTGTGTGCGAATGGCACCCTGGACCCTGCTACTCTCAACTTTATTCTTTGTGTATGCATACACTTGCCACTTTTTGCAGGAGATTTGCATTTGTAGGTACATGTACATAATATGAACCATATTCTGATATGTGAATATTCGGGCACGCACAACACCTACATCTATGTATTTGTGAGTGCACATGCGCTCGCATGCGTATCTTCAGCACTGTGTACAATTATTCTGATATGTGTGCCTTCTCCCTTCGTCTCAGCTTGGTATGGACAAACGTCACTTTGCGGTGAACAGCAGTGACTTGGAGGAGCCAACACCATTGCAAGGTTTATCTCAGTCCACTGGTCTGGTATCTCCTGGTTCACAGCAGTTAGGTGTGCCATCATCATTTGGTGTGAATCCTTCCGATACGGAAGATGACCTGGACATCGACTTTGACTTGCCAGAGCTGGCTTCTTTTGGAGGTGGGTGCAGTTGCGCTGCTTGTGTGTCCTGCATACACACGTCTGTTGCAACAAACTCTCGTCAAGAACCTCTTCACATTACTCGGTTGTGTTGTGATTTCTTTCCGTAGGGTACAGCAAACGCTGCAGCTGTTCACGCTTGTTTCTTCTACCGTTATCAGCGGTGGCACGTGGAGCAAGTTTTGTAACCTGCAGTATCAGTAAAGTGTGTTCTTTGGAGTAAAGAGAGAGGTTCCGCACTACGTAAAGTTGAGCAACTTTACGTTGGTGGGCGGGAAAAACCGTGAATTCGCGAGTTTGCACTCCACTTGCGGAAAGTTGTCTACGTAGAGTATGTAGATAGGGCTCTGATAACGTAGGTGCTCCATAAGTGGTTTGGAGTACAAATTTTGACTCTCTCCCCAGATCGACCCGGTCGTACACTGCCTCGTTCCGAGTTGCCAAGGGCAGCTACGTGATTTGAAATGTCTGTATGGGTCTTCAGCTCTGTGTGATCATGAACACAGCAGGTGCTAACATGCAGTTGGTGTTAGGCGTGCGTGTATGCAATACATCTGAATGCCATATTTGTGCGCTTGTGCCCACACGCGTGTCCTGTCAGGTGTACCGTATGGTGATCAGGCGTTGAGAATCTGCCTGGAGCACTTGCAAGGCTACTACAGCATTCTGCGGTTTCTTCGGTGAGTTGCTGCCGCTGCCCGCCGCCCACTAGCAGCCGATACTGTACTCACTGTACTACTACCTTTGAGGGAAGGAATTTGTAGTTAGCATGAAGAGAGTTGCTATACACCTGCTGGAATTGTTAGCATTCATTCTACTGTGTACAGATTACCACCACAAGACATTCTACTGTAATGAGTTGCTAAAAAAGTATTTTAAGTTTTCAACTTAACGAATATCTTAAATCTGTAGGTTAGCAATAGATTATAACAAGAGTACATAACCCCCCAGAGTGTGCAACGCCTGATCCAGCTCTGCATAGGGTCTTGGTCGAGCGAAATCGGATCTTTGCGTCATAATACCGTACACATCTGAGGGGAACCCGGGGAGTCGCGGGTACTCTTGGATCAAAAACAATGGTGCCCTGCCTCAAGACCGGTCTTGCGCTGGTGTGAAGTGTACGCATGACATCAGAAGATCCGATTCCGCTCGACCAACACCCTACACAGAGCTGGATCGGCGTTGCACACTCTGGGGGGTTATGTACTCTTGATTATAACAATCTGGGAGTTTACAGATATATCCCCACTTAACACATACTGCATGGCCCTAATGACATGTATCCAACAATGAAAGAAACAACGAAATTTCACTAGTTGAAGATTAGATTAGGAATGTCTTGCTAGGAATCAGACGTGTGTATGTAATGCATACAGGTAAGTGAAGTTACTGTGTGGAGTGAGTGTATCCACAGGCACAGTGCATGCATGCATGCACTGTGCGCACCTGCTACATGCTGCGGCACAATGCTTTCACTCGCTAGCTTTTGCACGCACCTTAGTGTGTATCCCATTGTTGTTGTTGCTGCTGCTGCTGCTGCTCCTTGTCTGACCTAGGTTATGTATGGACTGGGAACAATGGCAGAGTGCAGCTGACATGTGTGATCAACTACAGCTGTGGCCACTGGTATGTACTGTACACTGGTATACATGTAACTGTATGCTAGTGCAGCATGCCTCTGGTGGAGATATCCGACTCACCATGATGTATTGTAGGCAATCTCCTAATACATGGTTTACAGTACTAAGAAGAACAGTAGACTGTAGTGGATAACCGACTACCAGACAGTTTTGTTGTGGCTTGTCAAGCCGTGAATGCTTATGCCTTGACTCTTGAGTACTCTTGCGGAACAATGTACCAAGAAGTACCGCGAGAGCGCCCCACCAACTCGTCCTTTCGTGGTCGTGCTGTGGAGGTGGTGTCCTGTCTGAAAGTCATATGACACGTACCTTGTACATACATCACACGCTGTGCAGTCAATCCGTACTCAGTTTACCTTTGAGCTCCACACAAAAACATGCTAAGCATGACCTTAGTACACTAAGGTTCTCACACCGTACAAACTTTGTTACGCTCTGCCATACGAATTCCCTTTCCCTGGCTGTAAAATCTGGTGGGGTGCTCTCGCCGTACTTTACGGTACTGGTATTGACCCCAGTCGAACAGGATCCACGGAAATCTGTGACATGTCCTCTGCCGGGTTTAACGTTATGTGACTAGCTGGTCAGAGAGCATCGGCCGTTCCACGGCTTTCACTCAAGCACTAACCTGCTATACTGTTGCTCTTGTATTCCCATGCAACTTCAGGCTTTGGAAAGCCGCCTGGAGCACTTGGCAGTGTGCAAGCTGTCATCCAATGAGACGTTGAATGAAGTGCAAATCCTGTTTGAGAAGTACCTCAGGTATGTTTTCACGGTCGTAATTATTGTATTGTTCATGGTGTTGTTGCTGCATGCGCCTGTGCGTGTACATTGCTGTGTGTGCGGGGGTATGATTGCTATGCTGAGAAGATGATGGGGAGCATGTATCAAGCCTTTCCTCTTGCATGTGCTTCTCTGCTTTTGTGTGCTCCTTAGCTATATCCTTGGAGATGCTGTTGACACTGCTCTGGACACTGGCCAATTGACAAAGCTGATATTAGCTGTGAGTAGAGACTTCATAGCTAGATATCTTCTGCTTCCACTTGTCCAGCTGATTTCAACTGACTTCACCTTGTTCCTGCTCTAATATCACACACATTCGTTCTAGAGCACAGTTCACCTCAAAACATACAGTTTCTCGAGCACAGTTCAACACCCTTGGTCTAAGGGACCCACACAAGAAAGTGAATTTAGTCCTTATGCTGGCAAGTATACACAAGCAATAGCACATAGTTTTAAAAGGTAATTGTATGGTGCCTTGTGAAATACTTTTCCTCAGCTGGTCAGCTTCTGGAAGCGCGTCTCGCTGCCACTGAGCAACCTGGAAGCTGCACTGCGTCGACATCTTTCTGTCCTCGCAGAGCCGCTCAGTAATCTCATTGTCCAGTAAGTTGGGTATGGTATTATGGGTATAGAACAACATGTTCTTAGCAGGGAAATGTCAGTGGACCGTGCTTCAATGTTGCTGCATGCCTGGCTTGGTCTTGCATTGAGAGTCATGAACTGTTCTGAGTGTCCCTGGTTTTAGATGAATCCCAGGGTGACCTGAGCCAGAGTTTTTTTTTTTTTTTTTTTTTTTTTTTTTTTTTTAGTTGGTCCAGTTATCACCGGACCGGTTCCGGCGGCCCTGGTGTATTGTGTCCACGATACAGTGCCATGACTACATGTATGCAGTGCTGGGAGCATTCACGCCTGCACACACCTCACGCTAGTCCCATGCAGAGACCAAATGCTGTGTACTTCTAAATAAATTGTGTACACTGGGCTGTGCTGGTCCAGGCACAAGATCCAGGGTTAGGCTGCCACGCACACTCTAGAGCTTGGTAGGCCTGCTAGCAACACAACCAGAAATCAGATTAACATGGTTATACTATTCGTAGTATGGAGTTTTTACTGCAGTCCTGGCCAGTGAAATCCGACCATGGGTGCACTTTCAGCCGCCCCTGAGGCCCTGCAGCTCGGTAGTCCAGCTCAGTTCACAAGGCCACCATGCACCGCGGAACTTCGGTGCACATTTCTAGCAATGAACGGATTTCACTGGCCAGCTCTGTGGATTTTTGCTTTCGATTGCTTTTGGGTTTTTTTGCTTCAGTTCAGGCCCTTCAGGGCATTGATTTTATGTTGTTTGTTCTGTGTGGTTCGCTTCTTCTCCAGTAGTTCCAAATCACCACCGAGTGCTTACAAAGGTGGAGGTGGAGATGAGAAGACAGCAAAGGCACGTGCTGATTCAGCGGTCAGGTTGCTTGGTGAACTTAGCTCGTCATTCCATCTTCAAGTGGTGGCACAGACAGTCAAGCAGGTCACGGCATTGGGGCCAGCGAACGTTGCGCCGGCATCTTCTCTACCAAGAGGTGGCAGATCCAGTGCAGATGTTAGTATGCAGGGAGAGGGGGGGGGCAGTGATAGAGGCATCCATTTTTGTCTCAATGTTTCATCTTACACCTAGTCCATGTCAGTTTCCACTCCGTCTCACGCGATCTATTGCAGAGATTTTCCTGATCGCACGTGCACTAGTGTAAAGCATACACAAATGAACGTTGCAGACTACTGTGACTTGAAGCATACATGGAGGGCTATTTCAAATTTTCAATGGTAGTTGCCGTGAACATCTAACGTTGTTGATTGTGTGGATTGTATGTTTCTCCAGCTGGCAGCCAGTGGTCGCAACGTGGAGCAATCATTATGGAGTGATATTCTCCAACATCTCAGCAAAAACCTCCACCAGAACCACAGCATCACAGTACCGCAGTCTGCTCTCGACATGGCCACCATATCACCATCATCATCACTGACGCCAGCCCCATCATCCTCGTCTCAATCGACAGCAACAGCAGCAAAGGTAACTTCTTCAGCATCGCTTGCTGTTAGTCAAGTGCATCTGGTGATAGTGTTCTTCTGCCTGCGATGTTCCAGCTTGGTGATAGTGTTCTGCCTGCAATATAATGTTCCTGCTTGGTGATTGTTTTTGTTTCTTTGGCCGATAGTGTTCTGCCTGCAATGTTCCTGCTTGGAATAGCCAAGCTGGCTAGTACAGTGCTGTTAGCCTGTTACAGTACTGCTTGATGAAATCCGATCGCGTGAGTCAAGTACTCGTCGGCGCCGGGCACAGTGCGTGACTAGACCTGACACTAACACTGGGGGATGTTCATCAGTGCGGGGCGCAACGTTGACTCACTCCAGCGGATTTCATTGAGCAGCACTGTAGAAGCTTTTATTAGCAATTAGTTTGGTTGCAGTCGTAACCTTGACATACATCTTCTTGTTCAAACTACCAAAGCACCCGGGTGTACACACCATTCAGCAAGTGTTTTGTGTATGTGTTTGTTATGCTTCCTTGCCATACACAGGAATTTTCAACATCGCCTCCTCGTCGACTGTCCGGCATTGGGGGCAATGCTGCTAGCAAGAGCACTAATGATCTAGTCGTGTTTAGCTGTGGACACTCCTTCACTAGAAAAGTAAGAGGGAGCACAGTGCGCGTCGATGTTGTCATACAGGATATGCCATGCCAGTCATGAAGTAAAGGGGGTGATGTTTGCGCCTGCCAAGTATTGACATGGGAACTTCGTCACCCTCTTTTAAAAATCAAACAAAGTGTGTGTGTGTGTGTGTGCGTGTGTGTGTGTACAACTTTTCATCAGAATAGAGTTATTGTCTTATCAGATGTGATTGCAGTCTTCATAGACAGAGAGACTCTGTGTATATGACAAGCCACACCTGACCTCCTGGAAATGTTGTGTTCTGCGAAATATTCCTCTTTCGTTGCTCTCAGAACTTTGATGACAGCGTTGTGCCGGAGTTCCGTGACCTGCTGTCCAACCTACCTGTGTCACTATCCAACACAGCGTATCAACTGCAGGGCCACTACTTGCACTCACCATGCCTGGCTGCTGCCTGCCCGCTGTGCGTGTACGACTACCTGCGGCAAGTGCAGCATGACAGTTTGGCTGTACAGTAGTAGTAGGAATGTTTACAATTTTAGGGAGTGCTCAATAGTAGCTTGCAGTGCACTGGAATAGTCTGTACATAACAGTTATTATACCTCCTTCCCTTAGTTATCCTACTGTCTGGCTGCGTACATTGCTCTGTGCCATTGATATGGTACAGCCGTGGTGTCTTAGTCTCCCCCTCTAGTGTGTATTGTTGTGTAGCTTCGACCGTTTTCTATGTAGGGTTGTTCTCTCTCTCTCTCTCTCTCTCTCTCTCTCTCTCTCTCTCTCTCTCTCTCTCTCTCTCTCTCTCTCTCACACACACACACACACACACACACACACACACACACACACACACACACACACACACACACATACACACACACACACACACACACACACACACACACACACACACACACAAAGCTTGGCATGCCCTGCCTTGCTCTTTTTAGTTTGATCCCAGTGCACCTGGTACTGCACCACCAATCGCATCATAGTAAATCATAGATCCTGGCGAGGCGGTCAGTATATTGAATATTCCTTCTATCCACAAAAAGATATACCACCACGCAAACTAGAACCCAACGAAACATTAACCACTCATGTATCCCTCATATCATGCATATCGTATACTATTCTTGATATGACACCATTTACCTCCATGTCTATTTAGGTCGTTGAAGAAGCCTCGAAATCAGGTGAAGGCTCATTTTATATTTCAAAGATTTTTGATAATTTTTACAATTTTTTAAGCAATTGTTACTTTCTACTTCTGAAGTAGAAGACGGCGAGTAATAAAAGGTGTGAAACACAGCCTTGCTTGATCTTGTGTTCCTCTATTACCGTCATGAGGCATGAGAACGTGCAGAAAGTTTAACGATGGCTACTACTACAGTCTGTCCCCGGGGAAAATTGCGGAAAAAATCGCAAAAAACGCGGGGGAAAACGCGGCATTATAATGGCATAATTTGCGGTGAATTTGCGGTAAATATGCGGTGAATAATATTGATGTGCGGCAATTTTCAGTGAGTATGCAGTGAAATCAATCAGTTACAAGTCTCTGGTGTAAGCACTCGTCATAATTATATTATTTTTTTTTAGTAAAAAGCCGCCACGATGAGACGTTGCTGACCGAACAGTGCACTGTGTGCACGTGTAGTACAACAAAAAAGTTCAAAAAACGCGGGAAAATCGCGGTCTTTTAAAAAATCGCAAAAAACGCGGAAAAAAACGCGGCCGCGGAATCGCAATTTTCCCCGGGGACAGTACTACCTGGCCACCCAGAACATGCATCAATACCGGTATGCGCATCTTACACAGACATCTCGAACCGGGTTCGCGATAACGTTTCTTCAAATAACGAAAAACAATTGGGGGTTAAAACGTCAGACTTTCCGGTTTTACAGTAAACTGATTGACACGTGCAGTGCATAACAGTGGGTAGTAGAAGAATTTACTTGTGTGGTGGTTTCACTGGGAAAGTTCCAACAAACAAGGGATGACTTACTACAGGGAACCCTACATGTCTTCAATATTCGGAGGCTCCATTCAGCAAATATCCCCTTTAAAAGGGATGAATTCTAGTACGAGCAAAGAAAGGCAGGAGATTGTGCCCGGCGACAGACAATCCGAAGGGAGAGCATTCCCTGATTCCATCAATCTGCCACCACAAAAGAAACTGAGCTGATCTGTGTGGTTTACAATGCCCCCCTCTTTCCCTCCTTATATCAACAGCCGCCTCATTTCAAGGGAGATGATCAGTGCAGCTACTACAGCGTACCAGGGAGCTCAACTCCCTGGCTTCCAATGGCTACAGATCCGCATTCCTAAGCACTGCCGCTCACCGTTGCGGGACATCAATATCCTCACCATCTTCACAGCTCAGTCATGTAATGAAAATTCAAAAATATTCACCACTGGGTTTGCCTGAGGACAGCATCTACGGTCGGTTTGACTGCTGGTTCTGTCGATCTGCACTCCAGTAAGCTGCTTGCGGACAGCAGCGGAGTCGTAGGGAAGTGTTTCATCCTCACCCAAGACAGAATGACTCGAGCAAGGACATGCACAGACTGCTGCATGATGATCTGAGCAACCAAACTCTTCACCAGCCAAGAAAGTAAAAACCCTTGCTTGTTGACCCGGGGAGGCCGAGGGTATAGCCAGGTGAGAACAACGACAACGGGAAAAAACGAAAAAAAACACCCACCGGTTCCCAAAGCATTGATGAAGCCCCCAAGGCGCCAAGGGTTGCCAGTTTAGTCGTAAGATTACAACTCTTTTGCTCGCAAGATGACGTCAACATCATTTTGAAAGTGACTTCACTGTCAGTGCGCATGCTCTGGGGCTTCTTGTTCCTGGTGAAATGGCTTCTGTACTGTGTCGCTGTGTCCGCTCGTCGGGCCTTCGGGCCGGGTAAGGGCATTCTGGAGAGCTTGGGATGTAGCTGAATTGTGCCTAAGGAGGTTTTTGATGCTGTTTTGTTGGACAGACAACCGGCCAGGGAGATGGCCACCCTGAAAGAAAGTAAGAAAGAAATAATACAATTCTCAAGAGAATTTTTAGGTGACTGAGTGACAAGCACATTTGAAAATGTTTGTTATGCACAGTTTCAAACCGCTTGAAGAGTGTTAAGAACATTCAGAAAATCACAAAGTCTATGAAGATGGTGTCAGCGGCTAAGTTCGCCAGAGCAGAGCGTGACCTCAAGCCAGCTCGTGCCTTTGGTGCTGGTGCAAATGGTGAGATTTTCGAAATTGTCTGTACTTTACAATACTGTGCATTGAGTAATGCCTTGTGAACTAGTAATGTTCTCTCAAGTAATTTCATATTGTACTTAGTAATGACTCTACTCATGAGTACGTTGAAGGGGAGTATAAGTGAAGGAAGGTGAACTTTTGAGCTGCACACAACAACAAGGATGTTGCAACACGTGATGCTGGTCGTGGTGTCCAGGGATCTGTTACATTTTGTGCTTTAGTTCACATTCTATTGTGGGTAGCAGGGTCTCATAATTCACGGACCAGAGCATGCGAAACTGTCCATATGGCAGATTCACTAGTCATTCGTGTAGCATAACTCCCATGTAGCTGTGCTCTTGATAGCACACATCACGCGCGAGCACGCTTATATCTATATAAATCATTGCATGTGTTTATAGGGTACACACATGCCACATCAAGGTTCCATCAAAGTCACAGCTGAGTAGCTTTACTGTGTGTGCCACATACATGCTGCACCCTGTTTCCGAATACAATACAAAGTATGAACCAGACTCATCCCTGAGGCCTGTTTTCCAGTTCAGGGGTTTAGATATTGTGCTTTCACTGGCTGTTACGTGTGTGGTCATGCAATAACTTCTCGAATTCGTGTGCATGTCTGTGAGCCCCGCAAGGACGTTGAGATCAGGGGCGTTGTGCTATGCTTGTCTGCCATGGTGGTTTGCGACATTATGCAGCTCCACACATAATCACATAACTGGCCTTTCCCAGCTTACTGTCAAGCTCCGCAAAATGAACACATGGTCGCTCAACTGTGGGTGTGTTCGCCAGAGTTTTCTCATATCGACCTGCACGTTTTTGCGTAACTTGGCACTCCAGGATTTTCGGTGTGACCCACTAAAATGCTCTACATGTATTCTGACCCGATCATGGGGCAAACTGTCACCGTCCGTCTGTTTTGGGCAATCTGTAGTCAAATAATTATGCTGTTTTCAAACTTGTTAGCGCTATCTGAAGGCGTACATCACCCTATACCACGAAGTGTCAGACTTATTGGTTAAAAGTTTCCTGTTGCTGTATTTCTTTGTGTGCTATTCACAACATGGGTGATGATATGTCATGTCCCCATTTTTGTATTGTTACACATGTGTTGCTCGGTGGAGTTTGTGCTGGCGCGCGCGTGCGTGTGTGTGCGCTTCGCGCTGGAATTGTGTGGTGCATGCAAGTGAGAGCATGTGTTGACTGTAAACCCCAGTGCTGTCTTTCTTTTATCAGTAGTGCTCTTAGGCTACTTTGATAATTTCTCAGTAGTATTCGGTTGTGTGGGTATGCTTTCGCCATCCAAGAAAGATTCTTTCCTTTGGTGTGTGCTGGCATGCATATGTTCGCATGTTGATTTGAACCACATGGTAACATCACATAGTGATACCCTGTTACGTTCACTTCAAGTCGGACAGTTTTTACTAGTTGATGGAGCATCTGTCTGGTTATTCTGAACTTTTCTTGTCTTCTCTTTTCAGTGCTGTATGACCGTGTGCAGCCAGAGGAGAGTGACAGGGTGGACCCTGAAGCACAGAATATTATGTTGGTGCTGTCCTCCGACCGTGGTCTGTGCGGTGCCATTCACAGCAGCGTGGTCAAGTCTGTCCGTGCCGAGCTTGCTGAGACTAAGGAGAAGACCTCCTTGATGGTGCTCGGAGATAAGGCGCGCCAGATGCTCCAGGTATGTTGTGCTAGTGTTTCTTGGTGCTCTCAGTGCCAATGTCATTCACAGTATGAGAGGTTTCTGTATACATGTACTTTGCTGTAGTTGTACAGTAAAACCTGGTTTAAGCGACCACCCCACGGTGCAAGCATAAGTGGTCGTTACAGCCAGGTGGTCTTTAGAACCAGGTCCCATACATTCTTGGCATATCGGATCTTAAGTACCAGTGCTTTGGCACCCCACCGTGCAAGCATAAGTGGTCGTTACAGCCAGGTGGTCTTTAGAACCAGGTCCCATACATTCTTGGCATATCGGATCTTAAGTACCAGTGCTTTGGCCGGGTGGTTGTGGGCTTGCCTGCGAATCACAAGTTCGAGACCCGCGCTGGGAGCAGGGAGCGTGTACTGTGCTAACAAATGCGGTGATGCATGCATGAACCACTATACGTGCAAGGAACTTCGCCGACACCCACAGTCAACTGGATACTCACTACTCGGAGTGAGGGTACTGTATAAGCAGAAATATTGGTCTGGAATTTAATTTCGTCTGTTTCGTCCAAGGAGCTTTTGGACTAAATTAAATGTAGGACTAATGTCGATTTGTCCAGCTTTTCTATACACTCTAATGATCCATGGACGAAATTTTCAACCGGACGAACTCCTTTTCTTTGGATAATTATTGACCGACGAAATTTTCTGCCTCTACAGTGACATGGATGCAGCTAACGAGGTTCGCCCCCTTGTCGGGGCATTGGTTGTGAGAGTTACCACCTCACCCTCACCGCCAGGCGCTGCATCTGCCACCCTGGTACAGTCAGACCTCGCTTAACCGCACACATCCGTTTTCCAAAAAAATATCCAGATAGGCGAGGGAACCGGATAACCGAACACCGTTTATGTTAGATGCATCACGTATGCTGTAAATATGTAACCAGCTTTTTTCTTCCGGATGGCGAGGGATCCGGATAAGCGAGGTCTGACTGCATTACAGGCATGGTGGTGGCCTGGTAGGAGCGAAACTTCCTAAGCTGGTTGTGTTTCTCAACGCAATTGTATAGCGGGTTGCAACGTGGACGTGCAAAGTTTACTTTTACATGCATGTGCATGGTTGTAATTCCGTGTATTCATATTGACAGGTGTGGAGCACAGAATACTTTTGTGCGTGCAGCGAATCCTGCACTGCCACTTGTCACTTCTGTTGACTGCATGCACTTGCTTCAGAGCGCACTTCAACCCTATCAGCCAAGATGGCACTTTTGGCTAGTTTTGGTCACTGTATGCAGGTCCAATATGGCACTTGGTACACTAAAAGTCGGTCGATTGTTGCGCAATGCAGGTAGTCGGTGCAGTTTCTGTGCAGAACTATCTGTGCATGGGCGATGCAGCGTTTGGCCCTTATTCCCAATCGAACATGGTTGAATAAACGTTCACGGGCTCAGCATGTCCAATTATTGTGCATAAAAGACTTGTCTTACTGATGGTCCGTGTTTTTTGTTCATTTTGCTGTCCCATCATGCTGTGCTTTGCAGAAGCAACACTCTGACAAGTTCATTGTCACCTTCAACGAGTACGGCCGCATGCCACCCACTTTCAGCGACGCCTCGTTTGTTGCACAACAGCTTCTTGAGAGCGAAATGCCCTTCACCAAGGGAACAATCTTCTACAACCGCTTCAAGTCTGTTGTTGCTTTCCAGGCTTCGCAGATGGGCTTCATCTCACCCGGCGCTTTGTCGAAGGCTGGTGAGTTCCTTTGCTTTGTTTTCATCATCATGTCCTGTTCTCAAGCACTTTTGTGGTAGGTTGGTGGATATCATATTACAGTACCTTGCGTTCCCGCTCCTGCGCGCACTGCAGGATGTGTGTTGCCCTGATTTTAAAAGGTACTTGCCACTGATGTTTATTAGTGGTGAAACGAATATTCGAACATTCGTTCGGTTTGTCACATTCGAATATTCGTTAAGTCACATTCAAGTATTCGTTACGTCACTTCGAATGCAGTGCCTGTACATACATGCACGCCGAACACGGTACAGTGCAGTGCGTACAGCCTGCCGGTGACTTTGTACTGCATGTTCGCACATGTATGTCCATACTGGACTGCCAATGTTGCACATAACATTTATGAACTTCGAAGTAGCCTTATGTGGCAGTATATTGTACGTGGCACTACCGCTTGTCATACCTAATAATATATTAGTATTGACAATATCCATCAAATGACTGAGAGGAGGGCATGTGATGTCATCTGTGTTACCAAAAGAATATTCGTTCATTCGTTTGTTAAGCTGAAGAATATTCGACTAGTAGGTTTTGACATTCGTTTCACCACTAGTGTTTATGAAGCTTTTCAATGGATCATCTACAGTGCTGCTCAATGATATCTGATCTTGTGAGTCAATGTCATGCCGTGTTCTGTGCAGTCCCAGACCTGTGAACACTGGGATGTGCATTGGTGCAGGGCGCGTACCTGACCCACGCGATCGGATTTCATTGCACAGCACGTGGGTGTTGCCCAAGTGTAGTATGATCCTTGCTTTCCTCTCTTTCCGCAACCACCCGAGAGCTACATACTATAGTTGTGCTAAGCCCACACCCAGGCTGCCCCTTTCTAAATTAAATGGGCCACTGTTCTTTGACTGGATATATTGCAGGCTTGGTGTATGCTAATTTGCTGCTCCAGTACACAGGTTTGTAAACAATATCAGTTTTAGAAAGGAATGTGATTTGTTCAAATCAAGCCTTGCTTTGTGTTCTGTGTTTGTCGTTGTTCTTGTTCGAATGTGGTGTGTGTGCGTGTGCAGACTCTCTGTCCGTGTACGACAGTGTTGATGCGTCTGTTCTGGAGAACTACACAGAGTTCTCACTCGCTGCGCTGGTGTACGGTGCTATGAAGGACGGTGCTGCAGCTGAGCAGTCATCTCGTATGACTGCTATGGAGGGTGCAAGCAAGAACGCTGGTAAGTTTTCATCCTCTTTACTAGGTCTACTATTCCTGTCTTTAGGCCAGTTTGGAGTTGTAATTCTGGTGCTGTGTACTTTCTTGTTGCGTGGAAATGATGGATTGTAGTCTACTTTGAAGTAAGTATACGTAACTACAGGGACCATAAAACTGCAACTAAGCACCCACCCTGGTGTGCACAGCCTATTTGGAACAGAACGCACGTTTCGTACTCGGCACTTGTACAAGCTTCTCACACTAGTATGAGCATGCAGTGAATTTTCTACTGAAGAATATGTTCAAAGTAGGACTGCCCATGGATTGCTGGGTAACACATTGTCAAAAAACATTATGCACGTGCATGTGTACAAGACTAAAATTTCTACCATAGCTTTGGCTCTGGGCTCGTTGGAGTGCTCTTGAAGAGAGGATTACAATGCTTGCAGTTTGTACCATAAGTGATAGGAGACATGGTGTTTCCATAGTAATGTTTCCGTATAGGGCACCCGTGTTTTCGTAGAAAACTACCCAAACGCGATACCCGAAGGAAACACTACCTGGCATGTACCGAGTTCGAAGCATGCAGATATCGAAACTTCAGCGCACTATGTAGGTGCTTATTCATGATGGGCGTTCATGATAGACGCTTGCTCGCAATGTTCACATTATGTACCGCATTCCCACTAACTAATCTAGTACTCTAATCCAGTACTGGTTTTTTCACATCCTTGAGGAAAAGGCCAAAATATTTGCGCAGTTTTCCTGCTTTTGAGCTTGTTGTGAACTGGAGCCATACAGCTATTTCTCAGGGGAAGACATGTTTAAAAACTGGCCTGAATATTGCGCACAATACCATCTTACGTAAGCGCCCATCCTGGGTTACCGATTGTTTTTACAGAACGAAAAGTTTTAGTATTTTTCAGCCCCCACCCACCTACATAAGGCTGCATTCGATTGTGGAAACTGGATCCCGATCCCCGCGCACAACCGATAATCTGTTTCAAGGCCTTAGCAACCGCGTTGCTACAGCTCATCCCATAGTATCTGTACGCATATTGGGAGTTTTGAGTAGATACGAGTCGTGCCATGGAAATGAATCCGTCGAATCCGTCTCTGGGAGGTGGGTTGACTGGATCCGAATCCGTGCTCTCTGGATCCGGATTCGTACAATCGAACATGTACGAATTTGGCGAATCCGGGTCTGGGGCTGATGGATTTGTACAATCGAACATGCCCTATTTAAAGGTAGCTAACAAAGCTAACTAACGATTCAGTGCAAAACTTTGCATGTTCACTCGATCCTGGTTTTCCGAGCGAGCATCCGATTATTTGAACTACCGGTAATTGTTTGACCCCTAATTTTGAATTTCTGTGCAAGTTACTGTATAACACCTTTATTTCGGTGTAATTTAAACTTCGGTAACTTCGGTGCTGGTCCTGGATCACCTAATTTAACATTACACCTAAATTTTCCGAATTACCAAAAATATGTAAAAATCATGAAAACCACTGTCAAGTTAAAAAAATCAACTACTGGTATACCGGTACATGTACTATGATGTAGTACATTGTACATACATAACATGTACCGGTATACATATGTGGAGCCTTTTGGCCTTGGCGGAGATAAGTGCAAGAGCGTTTTTTTTTTTTTTTTTTTTTTGGTGCCATGCATACCGAATTTATCCTTACACCGAAAGGTCAGGGGTTGGCTTTTACCGAAATTTTACAACACCGAAAATAAGGTGATATACAGTATGACGGTCAAGAATTCTGATTCATTGCATGTATGCATAGGCTGCGGCGTAAACATGTTTTGGATCTCGTGCAAAATGCTCACTCTGGCTTCTTATTGTGTTTCTTCGCCTCTGTTCTTCCAGGTGAAATGATCAGCACATTGACATTGAAATTCAACCGTACTCGACAGGCTGTCATCACTCGCGAACTCATTGAAATCATTTCTGGTGCATCTGCTCTCGAATAAACAGAGGTGATTTCTCCTGTAGTCACTCGTCATTGTTGTCATTATTTTAAAATTGTCTTTCTTTCCCATTAGGATACTTGCATTTCAGCATGATACATGCCTTATTATTATTTTATACAGTTGATGCATGCGCACACACATGTACAATTGTCAGACATTTTGTGTGCTGAGTTTTAGAACGGAAGAAAAAATATGACAAGAACTACATAAAGTTTCATTTTGTACTTTTGCACAGTTGGGATCACTTTGACTGGCAGGGTCGAAAATTGGTACTCGAGGGCGTTGCGTGGCCTATTTATTGCTCCTTGTGAAAGCTTGATCGTTTGGGGACGCATGAAATGCAAGCGTACCGCATCCACACACCAGTCACCCCATGTTGTCACTGTGTACACGCTATACGACAGACACTCTCTACACGAAAAACAAAAGAAAAAACTTCATCAACCTGACTGACTTGATTCTACACGCGACGAAAAATTATTTTACTCGAAATGTCCAGAAATGTCCAATGTCCAGAAATAGCAATTCACCTCGTAGTTGACAGCTGGGCTGTTGTAGTTTCTCCTCGTGTCGGTGCCTTGTTGATAGTCTTTTCTTGGGAGGCATTTCAACGAGTTTTGTGGTACTATGTCGCATGAGAATTTTGAATTTTGAGTAAAATAAGAAGTAATGGACGAATTGTTGGCTTCCCCATGTGCACCTCACTTCAGACTCTGTATAGTCTTGGACCTGTTAGCTGGAAGTGTGAAGAGGCCAACTGCAGTCCACCAATAGAAAAAATAACAAAAATGGTGCAGTATAGGATGCCTATTGACGCTATTTTATTTTCATGTCCAGAATTCGAAACACTGAAATTTAGGCCAAAAAATTGGCCTGTCGAAAACATCCTGCTATAAAGTCTCTGGGGGATCACAGCATGAGCAATTGTCACATATTTGGAAAGATGAAGGATTAGGCCATACAATAGATACAAAAAGATATGAAAAATGTAAAACACACAGCCAGTGGGCCTCTATTTTATTTTCATGTCCAGAAATTGCTATTCACCTCGTATTATTAAGAGTACATAACCCCCAAGAGTGTGCAACTGCCTGCACAACCTCTATGCTGTGCTGCGACGGCAGAACTTCACATCACATGACATGGTTCAAAAGGTTATGCTGGCAAACAGTGCAAAGTGACCACAAGAGAGTTGTACCCAAAGCTGGGCTGCGTACAACCCTGTATCTATCATGCACAGAGTGCAAAATATTAATAATGTGTGATGTGAAGTTCTGCCGTCGCAGACCCCATAGCTGGAGTTGCACACTCTTGGGGGTTATGACTGTACTCTTGATATTATCAAGAGTACATAAACCGTTTATGTACTCTTGATATTATTGATATGCGGCAAGTTTGCAGTTGATATGAGGCAATTTTCAGTGAGTATGTAGTGAAATCAATCAGTTACAAGTCTCTGGTGTAAGCACTCGTCATAATTATTTGAGTGGAAAGCTGCCACGATGAGACGTTGCTGACCGAACAGTGCACTGTGTGTACGTTGTAGTGCAACAAAAAAGTTAAAAAAAACGCGGGAAAATCGCGGTCTTTTAAAAAATGGCAAAAAAACGCGGCCGCGAAATCGCGATTTTCCCCGGGGCCAGACATACAGTCAGGAGTACATAACCCCCAGCCCAGGGTGTACTCTACAGTGCATAGTCCAGTGCCATTATAGGCATAATCTACATTTAGGTGCCTGGTTTCTCTACCGAAGTTGCCGAAATTTTTAAAGTTACACCGAAAATAACTTGTTTGCATGGGTATACATGTAGTAGTACCGAGAGTACGTAACCAAGAGTGTGTCGAGCTGCGATGGGTCACCCACGGCGGAATTTTATTATTGCGTCATTCTTCGGCTGAAGTATGATCAAGTGCGTATGCTTTCCCGCGCATTTTTTGTAGATACGGTGAGAGTTCACCAGGTTCAGGACACATCGATCTATCGTCCGTTGTTCTGCTTCGCCTACTGTAGCTGTGATGTACAAATTCTTTGTACTTTGATCTCTGGCTACGCATGATGGCATCAGCGAGCCAAACAGCCGCCAAAGACTGATGTCATAAAAAAATTCCGCTGGGGTATCGTCGAGTTGCACTCTTGGTAGTACCAAGAGTCCATAACCCCCAGAGTGTGCAACGCCACACAAATCTCTGTCACGACTCGTTTTCAACATTACGTCATTTTTATGTAGCGAATGTCGCGGCCTGCACGCGCAGCTACATGAAAATGACGTAATGTTGAAAACGAGTCGTGACAGAGATTTGTGTGGCGTTGCACACTCTGGGGGCTATTAACTTATGGACTCTTGGTAGTACAGATAAACGAAATCCCATAGAATCCTGGTCGAATGTACAGGACCCTATCCTGGTTTGGGCCTGATTAGTGGTTACTGCTATTTCCACGGCAAAACATGCCCAGAAGGGTTTTCGACTGACTGCTCTTTTCGGAAGAAGATACAGTTAGGCATTTGCTCCATTCAAAGTGGTGAAGGCAGAAGGTGGAAAAGCGATTATATTCCTTTGAATATTGGGCTACATTGGTCAAATACTTACAAGAACACGGTTACACCCAACCGGGCATATGCACACCTATGGGACTTCACACATCCGTACAGCGTGCATAAGGACCATTGCACACGTCCACTCCAGAATTCCATATATTACACGTGCAGTTCGATTTCGGTTACACAAACCTATCCCCTTGTGGTTTGCGTGGACAATTATCTCGAACTACATGTACCGTATTCTCTCTAGTAAGAGCCCGGGGTTCTTATGTCAGTGACAGCTCTACATGCACTACTATTAGAGACTGTGCTAATATTTTTTCAATGCTCCACTATCAACTTGAGCCAACTCCAGTTTATGTGGAGCCGAAGGATTTATTGCAATTACATACTAATACATGTATAAAAACCGAGGCGAAGCTGAGGTTTTATACCTGGTATGTAATTGCAATAAATCCTGAGGCTACTACATTTGTTGTATACTCCAACTGTGGCCCCCGCTACTATTAGATACTGTGCTCTTATTATTTCAAACAGGCCTCACCCTGGGTCATTATTGGAGACCTGGGACAGACAGAGCGTGCTTGATTTGATTTCTTACAGCGCGAAGCAACATATTAGGGAAGGTCAAAGGTCGAAAAATTATTCTCGAGATGGCGTCAAACGGTCCTAACATTCCCGAAATGACGTTCAAACGGTCCTGATGGCCTGATTATGCCCGCGGCGGGAAGATCGCCTATTGGCCATGGCCCCGGCAACGATCACGTGTCATGTAAGAAGATAATAGAGAGGTTCCGGGTACGAGTTTCCGTGCCAAAATCCGTAGGGGCGCTACGGATTTTTTCCAGGCGTGCTCCATACGATTTTTCGGCACGGAGAATCCGTGTGGACTGGCTTTCACACGAACCATGTTTCGTATGGAGATTTTGCGTCATCGGGTGCAGAAAGATTTTTCGCGTACAAATTTGGCACGAGAAACATCGATTTTCGGCAGGAAGTTTTGATTTCGGTACAAATTTTCAAAATAAAAAGGCATAGCGCGGGAATGTGACGTGTTTGCGATCGTAACCTAGGCAATGACGGCAAACACATAAGTTCCGTACTCCGGAACATTTCACTGCTCGAAAACGACGTATATAAAATCCGTACCGCCTCTACGGATTTTGGCACGAAAAATCGTACTCCGGAACCTCCCTATTATCATCTTTATGCTTATTATGCCAAACTAATAACGTGCAACTAGACTTGGGAGGGCATTGCACACCAGTTGCATACAAACTGTGCTACAATGTGTACATGGTAGGCTCTGAGCTCTGCAGGGCCTAGGAGCAAAAGTCACAGGTACCTCTACAACTTGAAATTTGTATGCAACTACTCTGCAATGCCCTACCAAGTCTAGTTGCACGTTATTGGGCATATCATCTATTGGATTCCAAGAATTGTACGCAACAAAACAGCTCTTCAGACAGATGAATGATTAGGGGCTGTCGCAATTGTTTTGTAGTCCCTGAAGCGAACATCGTTCATTGTACTCGGAACGCCTCCGAAAAGAGTGAAGCTTGCTATGCTAGACGACGCAAATTGCATGCATGTCCATAAACATGAACGTAATACAGGGTATTCACTGGTTTGAGGGAAAGACACAAACGGCAAAAGTCTGAAGAAAAAATTGACTGTTACCACCAGGACTCGAACCAGGGTCGGTCAACTTCCTGTTTTGGCTCACACCCCTCCCGGAGTCTACTGATTTACCGAACTGCATGCTCAATGAAATCGATCAAGCGAATCAAATTCAATCAATGCCTTGCCGGGCGCTGTGCTGTCCTAGACCAGGTTGTGAACACTGGAATGGTGAACTGGTGCAGGGCATACATGCAATCGAATTTCACTGAGCAGCACTGTAGTCTTCGCACATCATCTACGTACAGTAGGCATTGGCATTACCATGACAGCCGCTAGCAAGAGTGCACAAAACCCATCTTGCAGTGGACACATGCCAGCTAAACATCAAGGATTATGCATCATCAAAGCGGAAGTTGTAAGAACATGCGATTCTTGTTCGATTACGCAAACAATTGTGCGACTCTATAATCGCGGAATCCACGGAGGACAGACAAAATTGTGTTGTCGAAATCCATTTCCATTGATTCTGAAGTGAAAGCAGAATTTCTAGCACTCCTGTCTCGGAAGTCACGTTTGCCTTTGGGGTGCACTCTTGATTCCAAGCATGTGCTGAATGTACACAGGTGCAACTTGTACACAAAGTCACACGTGTGGTCGCTTTCCACGGTTTTGCCCCGAGTAGATCGTTTCTGGAATTCACGACCAATTCCAGTTGTTTGCTTTATACATGATCGAAGCAGAGTGTGCAATTCCGTACCGCCTATGCTGCATACACTTCACTCATGTACGCGGCGAAGTCTTTTTTGTTTGGTCAGCATGCATGAATCCTAGGATATCTGTCACATAGTAGCCGAGTGTAAGTTCAGGGTTCTAGCCAGGTCAAACTAGTAGGGGGGGGGGGGGGGGGGCATGAGAAACAGTCACCCTGTATCCCATTTTTCCAATTTCCAAAATTGTCTTGCCATGCTAAGTGCAACAACGTATGGGGCGAATCCCCAACTTCGCTCCAGACAAATGTGCCTTTATGAACCATCTACTAATGACTGTCGACTGCAGTTTCGTTGGATTGCATGAAAAACACGAAAAGCGGAAAATGAGTAGGGGGCGCTGGCGGCACTTTTTCACAAGGGGGGGGGGGGGGGCGCAAACAGAGTAGGGGGCGCTGTGCCCCCCTTTCCGCATCCGTAGGAATGCCAGCACCCTTCAAGGATCAAGGCGCAGATGCAGCTCCTAAAGCGGTGGGAGGTGAGTAGATCAGCTCACCAGGAAGTGGTCAAAGACCGAAAATCCCATTCACGTTTTCCTCGGGAAAGGACCTGAACAAAAAAACCTCACCATGTGCTATTTCTCTGGGAGTTGTACACTCTTATCTGACTTAGGCCGTGCTCGTTTGGTTGGATCCAGATCCATGGATGCACTCGATCTGCAGTGATTGATTGGTTGGATCCCGATCCCTCGGATTTGGATCCCAGCAACCCTGCCCCGGGAGCAGGGTTGACCGGATCCAACGGATTCATTTTTGCCAAACAAGATGTTTGTATATGTTTGGCAGGTAACAATCATTGTTATACGCATTTTGTACACATACACGTGGAAAAGCGGTGCACCATGCAGACTAGTCGGAGTACGAAGAGTGACGAACCCGGAGTATCTTCTTGATTGTGGTTTTCTACCTCAACATGGCCATGGTAGCAGCTAGTATGTACCTAATCTGTTCGATAGATTCTGATGGATCCAGTGAATCTGGGACCTGGATCTGGATCTTGATGTGGATCCGACGAAATGATCACAGCCTTCTGTACTCCAGTACTTTTGCCAAAATCCACTCTTTCTGGCGTGTTCCCTGTATAAGCATGATTCTTGTATGTCACGTGATTGTCGCCTTGGAGTCGACCAATGGCAGATCAAACTGCGCGGGCTGGAAAGCGCGGTCCTGCCTGCTCAAAGGTGATGGAACTGGATCCACTGCCCGTCGTCAAGTGACGACGGGCAAGAACGGATTCCACTGCCCGTCGTCAAGTGACGGGCAGGAACGGAATCCACTGCGTTCATTGGCTCACGGACTTGGCGAAATACAAAGACAACGGAAAGAGCGAGTTATGTAGATCTACATGATTGTATGGTGTGCGCGCGCATGCATGCTCGGTCTTTGGCTTGGGTGCACACAGGAGACACGTTCCAGTCACTCATACTCGGCCAGTACCGCTGTTCATGCAGCCCTTGCCGCTATCGCGGTGCGGGCTGGATTCCGCGGTACTGCCCTCGTACTCGTGCAGGAACCTGTACTTCTGCGAACACAGTTTTTTTCTTAGAAACTCACAAAACCCACAACCCTGCACTAAAGTGCAGGTACTACAGCAGTGAAATCCGATCATGCGAGTCGAGACTCGAGTTTGCACCCTGCATCAGTGCATGCACCAGTTCGCATCGCAGTGCTCGCAGGTCTAGGGCTGCACCGTCACCATGGTGACCGGTGCTTGGCTCACTGCATAGGATTGCATTGAGTAGCACTGCACTGTACGGACTGCACAAAAGCAGCTATGCACATCACTGATACCAGGCATACATGTCTATTATCAGGCCTGCCAGAACTCGGTCCGTTTGGTCAGGTTATCACCGTACCAACTTGTCGGCCGCCAACAGTGTGTTTACTACAGTGGAGGTTATTTATACCCGCCGTATCACACACAAGGTATGACAGGCCATGATACTACCGGACCAATCAAAAACTGCTTCCGGTGGTCCTGATTATAATTATGCTCAAGATACCCAGCTTGTTGAATGTTGTACAGCAGGAGTGCAGGAGTGCAGGCGTGCAGGAGTGCAGGAGTGCAGGAGTGCAGGCGTGCAGGAGTGCAGGAGTGCAGGAGTGCAGGCGTGGGCGTCTTACTTGTCTTTGGAGTGGGCTACATGTAGTAAGGTCACTGGTGTATGGCCCGTGTGCATCACTTTGGACTTAGGCCACCATATACATACACACAGAACACACATGCGCACATACCATGTACCATGTATACCATGTACCATGTATACGCCCGTCGCAAGAGACGCACGCAAATCTACAAATGCACTGGATGTGCACCCACATACCTACACACACGCACACACATAATTATGCACACACATGCACACAGACACGCACACACACACACACACACACATGAACACACACACATGAACACACACACACACATGAACACACACACACACACACACACACACACACATGAACACACACACACACACACACACACACATGAACACACACACACATGAACACACACACATGAACACACACGCACAACACACACACACACACACACAAGGTACTTTTGAAGTACGCAACTTGTAGAATGCATTATGACAACACAGCGCCTACCCAGTTCGCGAGCTTGTCCGCTGGGTGACGTTGTGCTTGGCCTTCTCGCTTCTTCCTTGAGCTCAGCCGCCGGAACCGCCACAAAAGCCAATGCCGGGTACTAGTGCTCAGAAAGGAATAGAGGAGAAGAGCAGAGCAAAGGTGCATGAAAGTAGCCATACGGCGTTCTGGCTTGCAATACCGACGGCGACGCCTGTAGCTGCCCACCGCATGCAGTCGGTAAGTCTAAACATCGCAATAGGATTCCACGGGTCCTACCGAGCGTTTCGGCATTAGCCGCCTGTGTGGTGTGCGGACAAAGGTGACCGTTTAGAAAGGACACCGCCGACTGCCAGAAAGCCTGGGAAAGACGCTCACAAGAAACTATTCTACAAACAAGCTTACCAAGCTTGGGCACAGAATGCAGTTTGGCGGGATGCGCGGTGGTAAATCTGCAAGATACTGTAGTATCTAGCAGCAACGCCAACAGGCGGCTTCGTGCCAGTGCCAGCCCATGCCCATGCCTGGCGATCTGTGAAATCTTCCCAGGCTTTCATCAGCTCATCTCACACCTTTTCCGGCAACTTGCATCGCACTTCGTGCGCTTCGGAATCCTTCGCACCCGTAGGCGCGATTTTGCATGCAGGCGGCCATTACCAAGAGTCAAGACTTGGTAAGCACAAAATAGGCTAATAATTATTCCTCTTGATTGCAAGTCTACAGACTGTCAAGTGTCAGTCAGTGGTCACTCGAATGGATATTGTACAGCCTCGTTCTTTGCAGATCGACGACGCAAAAGGTAGTGGGTAGCGTCGTCTAACTGTCTTTGAACTTGATACCGGAAGTAGCGTTGTCCGTACTGATAACGGAAGGTTATTTTTGACCTCGCCGAGCCGCCGGATGTGCCGGGACCGTTAGCCGTGTACACAATACCAAGAGTCCATAACCCGGTGGGTTATGGACTCTTGACAATACGAATAGACCTACTCGTGCATATTTAGCGGATGACGTGACACACATAATCATTGAACGTCCTTTGAAGATGTACTATTGCTACCAATTCAGTATTGAGACGACCAACACACGATTGATGTCGAAGGAGCACAATATTGCCAGTATAATACTATTACTATACCCAATGCTCAATCTCCGGACAGCTACTGTATAGCTAGCTTTTAGACCCTGTGTTTTGTGTGTATAGTACTCTCGGTATTACTGTTCAAGTGGTGCGTGCACACACTAATCTACATAGTCATTGCAGACAGCAATGGGCACTAAGCTCGTAACAATAGCTATGTAAACATTTGAAAACAACACACACACTGCTGCGGCGCAGTCAGGGGCTCCGGAAAATGACCCAGGAAAATTGTCGGGTTGGGTGGCATACTTCTAGATACAGCAAGACCTTGTGTACTCTTGGTTACAGGTTGAAGTATGTGCATCAGGCATCAGTGCAGGCCTTCCAGGTGACTCGCAAGCAAATGAGTGGATAGGTCAGACTCCACAACACGGATAGGCATGGAAACTGGATAACCAAAAATGTGCTATATTGAATGGTGTTTATTCATTTTGCTCCAATCAAGTGCTAGCTGCCGATCGGTAACCGAGGAACTGGATAAGCGGGTCTGATTAACTGTATAAGTATGTTTGTGGTAGGGGGCTCGTGCAATAAATAGAATTGAAGAAATGATGGACTCAATCAGGTAGACATCACTAGTGCTACTAAGGTCACAAATGCAAAAACCTGCAATATATCATCAGCCTGAGCAGCCGCAATGGATTGTTCGTGGTACTACCATCACGTGACATGGCATTGTTAAGTGTAAATGCACTAGGGAAATAACACACACACCCATCAATTGATAAAATTTGACAAGTCAGTGGCAAGACTAGACGGTTGGAAATGAAATCAACAGGCATCATCATAATTATCAGATAAATCACAATATAAGTCGACGATGATGTGGACAGTCACATGATCTGTCTGCCATTCATACAGTATAGCTATGCTCAACAAACCTTACACAGAAGGCAGACCAAGATTCTTAACTTGGTCAGTTTTGCGTTGTGCATAAGTCAATGTGCACACATTTGGTTCCTAAACATTCCCAGTTTGACAATCCACTGGAAAGATACGTACGTATAACTGAGTAGTTAGCTAGAGGCAAGTTGGACCCACCAGTACCCACCAGTACGCCAGTACACAAGTACCCACCAAGACACCAGTACCCACCAGTATGCTGTTGCTAGAGAACGTCAAAACCCTGCTCTGCATCACGTGTCACTCTGTAGTTGAAGGTCTTGTAGGTCATGAGCTCGCTGCGGCGCTTCCTGTTGACATGCTCCAGGATTCTCCTTCGGTGTGCTGGCAGGTCTGGGACGCTGGCAGATGCAGCCAAGTCTGCGTTATAGCTCCACTGCTTGGGGCCAAGGAAGTGAGAGTACTTCAACGTGAAGCCCTCTTCTTCCCGGACTTTCAGGTCGTCCGCTTGCCATTGCAGCATGCGTTCAGTCGATGGAAGGGTATGTTGACCGCTGAGCACTGCCGTTATGTAGTGTGCCTGCCGGTCGATCAGGGGGAATTCGGACACCGTGTACGGTATGCCGACAAAGAACATGCTGGGATGGATGGCATGCACGAGGTGCTTGTACAGAGGGCGAATACGCCGGTACCCGTCCACGGCAACATTGCACGAAGAGTGCAGGAATGGGAAGGAGAATGCGTATCTGCAAAAGGAGAATTATTGGTAACACAGAATACAAACACAGGTTAGTATTGTAGTTTGTATGGTGTGTACAGTACAGCAGCTATGCCACTAATATACGGGGCAAATGAAACTTTCAGTCTTCACATTGTGCAATCCATGAATGGGGCTGAAAGCTAGAGCAGCACAAGCGAGGCCAAGTGGAACTAACACTCCATATCAGTTCCGATGATGATCACGATCTTTGTTCTACAGACAACTTGATACTGCATCTATGCCACAGAGATATGGCAGTTCACCTTTGACTGAGCTACCAGGTGCATGATTTCAACTGCACTACCATCACATGACACGGGTCATGAAATCTGTATGTTGTACCCACATGCACTGAGGACGGCAAAATGGAACGAGTTGTTGGTTGTTAATCCGAGTTTCATGCCAAAGGGTGCAATCATCAAAAACACACTGGCAGATGATGTCTGATAATTACCCTGTTGCGTGAAACTTCAAAAAACTACTCAATTGTCTAATGACTGTCCTTGGGCGTGACACTCAGAGTCACACCTAACAACTCATTCCATCAAGTTCAAGTTGCCCACAGTGTGTGTGATCAGCTCTGCAAATGGTACATTGGGCACACTTGCATCGATAGTGTCTGCCTGCCTGCCTCTGTGTGTGTGTGGGGGGGGGGGGGGCTGCACAATGTCATTTGGTGAGCTGCTTTGCGACAAGAAGTGTCGGGCACCCTCATTCGCATTTGACTACTGATGTAACAGTTACTAAGTAAAGTATTGACTAATAACGTTCTGGACTCAGCCGGCACATGTCTTCCAACTGTATAACATGTGCGTGTAGTCATGCACTCTTCAATCCCATCATGCAGTAGTGAGTACATCCCAGGTAATATGATCAAAGTACATGTACCTATAATATATGGACAAGGAGGTACTAGTATATCACAGTGTGTATGCATGGCCTAAGTGGTCCTCCACATACACACAGTACACGTGCATTGGACACCGGGTGTGGCAAGGTCAGGGAGGTGTATCACAGACTCAGTGTACTAGTAGATGCATGCATTACCCCGTGCACAGTAGGATGGCATCAATGCTGGACTTCTCCACTTTACCGCCGACGTAGACAATGTGCCCATCAGCATTCACGTGGTCGATGCAGTCCCTCATCTCAACATTCTCCGGCAGATCACAGCAAATCCACTTGTCCAGAGAGGCTGAGAGCAGAACCCGGCCTGCTTCTGTCGCAACATCCAGAGCAATGTCAGATCCGGAGGGCCCACATCCGACGACCATCACACATTTCCCTTTGAACTGAAGCGGTCGCCGGTAGTTGTGACTGTGTATGATCTGACCGTTGAAGTGATGCATCCCAGAAATGGCCGGAATCAGTGGTACTGAAAAATGCCTGTGCGTATCAGGAACAGCACGGCAGTGTCAGAGTCAGAGAACACAGTCATCAGTGGAGCTCAGCCATACATTCTCCATGCAGTGGTAGAGATCAGCAACACATTCTCTCTCCCCCCCCCCCCCCCCCCATAAGCCTACCAATAAGCATCTCCAAGTACAGTTCAAGCGTGACTGATGATATGGGATGTCTCAATTTCCTCTGACTATAAGAGGGTGATCGCTCAATGGAACCTTAAACGCAGACATCGAAGACTACTGCATAAGGCATGCAGCACATCGTTACAGTACAAAGGTCAGCACATCATCACGCGCTTACCCATTGCATACGAGGACAGCATCGAATGTCTCCTCGTGCATGCAGCCATCCCTAGACTCAGTGGTGACACGCCATTGGGGTCCACTCTTAGCAAACACCTTGTGTGTATCATTGCCCTGCACACCAGTATGATTCATTGGCGCAGTATCCCCCAGTACGGGCTGAACAGTGACGACGTGTGTGTTTAGTGTCACGTGCGCCATCACGTCGTGTCTCCGTGCGTAATTGTGTAGATACTGGAGTATCTCCTTGTGGCCTAGGTAGGAAGGTAGGTCGCTTGGAAAGGGGAAATCTGGGAATGCCATCACCTCCTTTGGCAGGTTGGTCCTGCAGAGAGAAGCAGAGCACTGCTGAGCTGGGTAGTGGGTATGTCATTGTCTTGCAGCACGTCAAACAAGGCACTAGCTACTCTTTAAAGCAGGCCTACATTCTGTAGTCATGGTTGTTGGGACTCTTGCCGGAGTTGATAAGGACCCAATGGGCACTCTCTAGTCATGTGCAGTAGAGTCGCGCGCCCAAGAACGTAGTTATGTATTCCACAAGCGCCAGAAAACCAACACCGCCGTTCTTAGCTTTAGGCTGTGGCGTTCTTAGAATTTCAGGCTCCACGTTCTTCAGCGCGCGACTCTACTGTACATGCACTGTTAAATAGTCCCTGTCACAGATACCACTCTGATCCGATATCATTTCTACGTACTTCGAAGTAGTCATAGAACCGTGAATACGGAGACCACCTGTGAGTAAGGAAAGCATTCAGTGAGGTCCTGTGAGCAATTGGCAAATGCAGACTTCAGTGTCACTGATCATGAATGTACTTACTTGACGTTGGCATACATGCTGCTGTGAATCAGAGATCCGGTGTCCTCCGTACTGCACGTGCTGTACTGAGTTCGCCTCCTGTTGATCTCAACCGGCCCTGCCCCATTACTGCTGACCTTGTGCGACCCTGCCCCATTACTGCTGACCTTGTCCGGCCCTGCCCCATTACTGCTGACCTTGTCTGGCCCTGTGCCATTACTGCTGACCTTGTCTGGCCCTGCGCCATTACTGCTGATCTCAACCGGCCCTGCGCCATTACTGCAGACCTGGTCTGGCGGGCCAGCGCCATTACTGCCGCTACTGTGGTTGCTATGGTCCTCAGCTTGCTCTGAGCCGCTCAGTGTCGGTGGTGGCTTGACCTGGGTGTGCTGGTCTGTTGCTTCATCATAGACCCACACTCCACCGATCCCAGCACTCTGCTCGTACACGACGACATCGAAGAATTCTGGTCGGCCTGCAAGATGACGACAGCTGCAAATCCCTGCCACCCCAGCGCCAACGATTGCCACACGTTTCCTGCTCAGCTCCATTGCAGATGCACATCCAGCACTGCCGGGGTTTATGATCAGTTCATCAGTTCAGGCAAGGCACACTACCCTACTACTACTAGTGCATTACTACTACTGACTGCTGAGCTAGCAGAGCGGTATGATCAGTATCATCAAGACTACAATCATGTACTCTTGGTATCACAAGACTGAGTCCCAAGGACTTAGGTCGCTGGTGGTGGTAGTTACACAGATTTGCTGCCAGTACTACACACCTGCATCCGTGCTGCACTGAGGGTTCAAAACTGGAAATATTCGGCCAGGCATAAATTTCGGATCACCTCGTCTGCAGATCTGCCGAATTTATTCGGTCAATAGCAACTAGTCCTCTGTTTCTGGTTCATTTTCGTGATCCAGATCCTGGCGATAGAGCTGGCATCAGCAATCAATGACGGTGTACTCAGTCACTGTGTCGACCAGCAATGGGCACCAGTATGAGTGGTCAGGGATCGGGTACCGTCACCAGATCCGACTGCAGGGACCACTCAGCAGATCAGGCTCATGTCTAGACGTAGGTCTATGAGGACTGGAGTCATCTGTCCACTACTGTACACCATCGGACAGATGATAAACACAATACTCAGTAACTGTCATACACTACTACCTTACTACTACTAGTAGTAGTAGATCAACAAGCACATAATCGCAATCGGTGTAATGTTGGATTGCAGCTGCAGCTGCGTTACAATGCGGTCATCCGACTCATGGCTTGTGAAGTCCTTCTTGGCCGCCAATGGCCGGGCCGTCCCGTCTGCGCAAAGCGTCAACGCACCACCAAAACAATAAATGATCGTCGCCGCGCCAGCAGCAGCTAGCATGCAGTAGGATTAGGAATCGCTGAAGCTTCCTTGCGGATGCCATCGGCCGCATTGATGGACAAGATTTTTAGTATTGTAGAGGCGCATTGCACCTCACTGCATGCACTGACAGTCTGTACTGCTATCAGCAGATCTACGAACCCGCGTATCTACCTGCCTTGCAGTCGAACGGACAGGGTTTCTACATTTCCCCAGTGCAGTGGGAACACTATATCGAGTATCGGCACGATGGACCGTGACCGTCACGCTGGCATACGCAAGTAACAGTCAGTGAGTCGGGGATCGGATGCACAACTGGCACACACCATAGCAGGCTTCGACAGGAACCGCACAGTCGGTCACAAGACGTACAACTACTTTGAACTAGTTTGACTGCGGAACTCGTATACAGTAAGTCTCCTCCGAATAACTGGCGAGCGAATATAAACAGAAATAGGGGCAAGAGCATGCAGGCTAGGCTGGATGGCCCACAGCACTGCACGGATAGTCAGTGCAATCGACAACGTCTGGCAAGACTCTCGAGTAACGTAACCTGGTAACTGGCGCATGGCCAGCACAAGCAAGGGACGACCGCAACAGTCTACAATATGTTGACTTGGCAGCCGGTCAGTCAGTCAGTCACACATGTACACGTACATACACCGTAACCGATTGACCGCAGTGCGATGGACCATTATCATAAAACTATGGGATCCAGTGGACAATAGATGTACTAGTACTAAACAGCACTACAGCACTAGTACTCAGTATCAGGTTTTCTGTGAGTTGTGCGATGTTGGGTGGGTCCGGGTAAGTAACAACATACTGCACATATCAGTAGGAGTCCATAATCCCTATCCCTATCAGTAGTCAGGGCACTGGTGTCGTAGTGATAGAGTTACGCCGCAAAGCCATAGACCAGGGGTTTATATAACTACAAGATAATAGTTTTTATACGACTCCCTAGTATAGACTGAGCGTCGCGTGAGCGAGCTCTCCGCGTGAGTTTCAGGTGTTTCAGGTTTGATGCACTGCCACTATCCACGGGCATCACATGACGCTTGTGCTGTAAAGGTGATCGTTGTTGTCGTTGTTGTTGTTGTTGTTGTTGTCACAGTGTATTTTTCTAGGACAATCCCCAGACTGTGTATCTCCTCTCTTTAGGCCTATGTAAAAAGTGAAGAAACAGGAGGCTGGAGGCTGCATACTATCATGGCAACAAAGAATTATCCTTACTATGCCATCAATGGATCATGTGTTGCAAAGGGGCTGCGTAGAAAGCTGTAAAAAAATATGGCGAAGGCGGCTGCCTAGGCGCCTGGCACTCCGTTGGAAGAGAATTCCATCTATCAGCGGCCAGGTATGCACGGTGCCCTGCCTATTGCTAATAGTAATACTGCTCCTTTGCAGATCTGTGAGATGTTGCCCTAATTCAGTCTAAAAGGTGAGAATAATTGACTGCCCCTCGCACGGTGTCAACAAACTACTGTCACTGCTGCAAACTGCTCATTACATTAGTACACATTACTGACTTCTGCCACCGCACTACGTGACCGCGGCATGCATGAAACTGATGAAACGCCCCATGCACCTGCGCAGCTGCATGTCTTGGGGCTCTCCGTGATCTGACCACGGGCAAAACTGGCACTGAGACTGTGCCGCTGAGCTAACATTGTCAGTTCAGTGCCCGCCGGCGCCAGCTTCAAGTCCGTCTTCTCGATTTGCTGGAGTTAAGACTTTTACTAACTTTTACCAGTTTAGCTGTTAGGATGCAAAGATTTTTAAATCTTTGCAAAAGTCCCAGCTTGTCTTACCCGTTGGATTACTTGGCAGTCGAGTCGTACATGCAGCCATTTGCATCACACGTAGAATCTGCAACAGTTACTGCACTCGTTGAAGGCAGTAACTTGAGTAAGGCGCTTCGTCAAGCAAGTACATGCCGACCTCGGCCGGGAGCGGCACACTTGCAGCTACCGTCCGGTACCTTGAGCATGCATGCTGCGAGTTCTGCAGGCTAGCTACTAGTACTACCACTAGTGCACTGGAGGATAGTAATTTTAATTTAAAAGCTCCCACTTCGTGACTTATGCCAAGTTATGGCTTCTGTACAGTATCGAGAGAGAGAGAGGTACCATGGGTACAGCGGAATGAGATTCTGAGATTAATCTTCACTGGAACCTCTTCAAAGTATTGGTAAGCGTGAGTCCATACAACGTTACGTATGGATTCATGCTTTATACATGTACCAATTTAGAACGAGGTCTGTCTCGTTGTCCAGGATATGATCAGCGACGCTCCCGCCAAGGGCGAGGGCCATATCAGAGTCTCGGACTAACTAACTAACTTGTCGGGCATCAGCAAGCCACAAATTTGGCACAAGGCACTCCCTCAGTCTCCCTGCCATGCACTAACGAGTAACGTATAATTAGCGCCCATAAGCTGTTCCGATGACTCACCCACGTGAAATCATTCGCATAACCAGTATAGGGTATGCATGTCATGTATTGTTACTTGTCACACTCTAAAATGATCATCTCATGCCTCGGATGTAAACCATACTTAGAGGAGTACTAGCTGGACCATTCTTAGCGCTCATTTCTCTTTCCGCTCCTACACATCTTTCATTGCACAGGAAGGCACCACCATAGACTCCCACAGCCGTTGCCCTGCTTCGGCCGATCCTACTTCGTACTTATTAAAGCTAGCTTCCCTAGCTCTCCACTCCGCACAGTTCTGCTAGTCAGTCCGTTTTGTAGCTCAGAATGTACAGTCAACTTTGCTTACCGGTATAACGACACTCGGCGGGGCATCAGAAACGTGTTCTTATTCGCGAAGTGTCGTTATACCCGAAGTCTCATTATATGTGTCACAGTTGGATGGGACTTTGCTCTGGGTATGAAAATTATGTCGTTATTCGCGAATTGTCGTTATATCCGAAGTCGTTAGTAGTGAAGTTGACTGTATACCTTGTATCCTGCCCTACATCAGTGTAACAACACAACTTGATGTGATCACACTCAGAGTCAATCCTAGTTCCCACTAGTACTAGCACTAGGTAGCTCCATAGATCTTTGGCATGATAATGCATGCAATTTGGCGTTCATAAAATGTGTTACATCATGAAAGTAGAAGCCATTGACGACAAAATCAATTAGTCATTTTCAAGTATAGCCATGCACACATGCTATGGACATTTGTCACGATTGTGCATGCCACAAGCTAGGCATCGATCATGTTGATGCTTCAAATAATCGGAATAGAATGAACAGAGCAGTGGACTGGGATAGCAGGACTGTTCCGAGGATGACCACCAGCAGCTGAATCAATAACTGTGAGCGTGCATGCTGATAGAGAACTGCAAAGAGACCATGAATGTAATGGTGGCATATTCAGTCATGCATGCATTGCTGCCGGCATTGTTTTGCGGATAGCATATCCTGTACTGGTGTGAGCGTGCAACACTCAGTCTTGCACACCATGGCTTTGTGATGAACTCCATGCCACCACTGCTGCTGTTCATGTTACTTACCAGCGATGGCAAAATCTCAAATATCCCAGCACCAGAGCCACAGAATCTAGTGTCCGACTCACACAATCAAGTTTCGGAAGCATTGACGGACCTCGGCAGATGTACATGTATACGGCATAAAGGTCTTGGTGGTGTTCTGGGGACGAGGATAGCATGTACATACATTGCTCCTTCTCAACAGGGCGTGAGCTTGCCTCAGACAAATGGCATTATTCCATCCGGCATGATAGTGCTGTGTGTTGATCGGCTTAGCAGGAAGGGGAAAGAGCCTCAGCTGCCCAAACAGATAGCCCTTACAGGTGCCTTTGACTGCCTCTAGCTGAAGACACAGGTGTGGAAGACGATGCCCGAGAGGAAGACGACAGCCGTCGCAGGGAACCGGATGATGCTGTGGAACCACACAGTCCGTGACAAGGAGTTGTGTTAGTAAATGCTAAGATGTGTCAAGCTATGAGTAGACAAGGAAAGAACTACCTCCAAAGACCTTGCCAATACGCTGATGTACTGGTTTGAAATGGACTAGAAATCGTCCATGCGCTAAAGTACGTGCAGGCATGAAAAGACTCAGGAGAGCATGCCTGTAAGACAGCGTTGGCCTAGGCCAGGACTCTTGCTATGCAGTCATGTGACCTATGTATCTTGGCCACTCTCACACAATGCATCACATGGTATATTATGTGACCATAGTCAGCCCCCCATTATAGGCTGTAACAAAGGGCGCTGGACCTTGGTTACGCCGGAAGTACTAAGTCATCTAGCAACGCCAAACACCTCTGGCAAAGCGATACGGGAATCAAATGCAAACCCAACTGGTTTTACCCAACCCATGGAGGACACTATCTACACCCCTTATGGACTTCTGAACACATCTGGTCCAAAGTTGAGACAGGAATTGTATTCAAATACTGGTCCCACCAAGCATTTTAAGTTGAACATGGCTTGCTTGTTACCTTGCCCCGCGCTGCGAGATGCGGACTTGCTGTCGCCATTGAACGATATCTGTGTAACGCGGCCGCTTGAGGCGACACTTCCCGTGCTGCCACTGCGCGAACTGGCTAGCGATGAAACACGAGATGACCTGGCAATGCAAAGAATGCAACACAGCACATACCGCATCGCTAGTGTATATGCCAACAGTGCAACATGCTTCAAACTGCCATCAGTGAAACTACATTGTACACTTTACAGATAAACACGTTTTACAGTATAAAGAAAACAGTGAAGTCAGGAGCATCTTACAGAAACCTCACCATCGATTTCCACTGAACAGTTCTTAAAAAGTTAGTGGATGCAGGTTTCCTTAGCTCAGTGGTTCTGTAACCGACTTGCAAGGTCTATGAAGAGATAAGAGCTCCTGACACTCCCCTGCCCTGCCCCCAACTGCAGACAACGGGTTTATTCACAACGCCAATTGCGTGATACCGTACTGGCAATATATGTTGCCGCAGTGAGGCCATGAAGCGTTACATTGGCACATGTTTGCCGCACGCAGGGCGTTACATGCAAAGTCGCACAGGAGCCGTTACACAGGTTTCTATTGCCGCAGTCCTTTTTTTGCTATTGCCGCATCACTTTTTTGCTATTGCCGCATCATTTTTTTTGCTTTTGCCGCATCATTTTTTCTTTTCATCCACAGTCATGATGTTTGGGCGTGATTTTCTTCACGCCGAAGGCGAATAGAGACTTCTGCATTGTCACAAGGAAACTGGTAAACACATCGCTCTTCTTCGCAAAACGACCTCGGGAAAGAAGAAACCATTGAGATCGCCAACCACTGAATGATGCACCTTCGAGTGTCAGGACTTCCTGCTGCGTCCAGTTTTGAACTTTTCACCACGCGGTACACGTGCTTTCACAGTTTTCAGCCTTTTTTTTGCAGTGCAAACTGCAATGAAAAGATCGCCGCACCCCGCCGGACGCGCGTTACGAACTCAACGAAAATTTGTCGCACTAGCCTGGTCGCGCGTTACGCCGCACCCCCCTGCGTTACGCGTTACGCGGCAACATATATTGCCAGTACGGTATCATGAAGCAAGAACCAAAGGAAAAAGACAACCCAAATTCGGCAAGTTTAACAGCAAAATTTACACTTATCACTTCATGATCACAACTGAGGAGGGGAAAGCTTGCAGCACACAGTTATAACGCAATTGCATACTCTCCTTGCTTGTTGACTAAGTTCTGCCTCAAACATAGAGCACATGTTGAGTAATGGAGCTAAGTGATGCAAAGTGGGCATACATACATGTACCTGCGTGAATGACTACATCAAGATAGAAGAAGAACCCAACTGACCGGCCCTATTGCAGATGGGTGAAGCGGCCCACAAAGGGATGAATTATATCTGGGAGAGCCAAGGTGACACTATCATGCACGCTGGTAGATGCATCCCATGATGCTCCTGGGCAGAAATGCCAAGCATGTACCATAGAAACGTACTAACCTGTCTGAGCCTACGCTGCTTTGCCTGCTGCCAGCCAGAGAACTGCTCCTAGAACTGCCACTGGCAACAGGTGCTGGTGGAGCAGGTAGATCCATCTAGAAAGAGAGAGAGAGAGATGCATAGTCACATGACACAGCCACATACAGTGTAGGAGTGTGGCCAGTATGAAATGATTTCTGAATGATAATACAGAAAGTTCTCTTAACACCTTGGTATCACACTTGACGGTGACTTCTAATACAGATGCTACAGTACGGTAACTGGATACACTCAGGGGTTTGCCACCCATTACTCTCATGGTCCCCGTCACACCACTGTACACACACTACCATGCACACTACCATGTACACTATCCCGCATAAAGTGTTGTACATATACGAGTAGAGAAATGGCCTTGTTAGTTGTTACCTGAGAGCATAGCAGAAAGATGGTGTCCGCTGTGTCTGGTTGCTCCTTTGCAATCTTTCCAAGGGTCTCCATTATCGTCAAGTTGAAGTCACGGACCTCACGCGCCGTGATATCTTTCTGCAGCCATAAGCAATATCAATCATGAATGACAGGAACGCATGAGGGGTTCAGCATCTAGTTCGAGCAGTACATATAGCCAATGTAGTGAGTAGCCACCCTCAATATCGCCAATGTAGTGAGTAGCCACCCTCAATTGTGCATGAGAAAAGTGTCCTTATCCGCGAGTTGCTAGTATTTGTGAGGTTGAAAGTATGCATTCTAGTGATCACTACACTTGTAGGTCTGAAGATTGTGTCGTTTACTCGGGAGTTGTTGCAGGGGAGTTGTTGCAGGGGAGTTGTTGCAGGGGAGTTGTTGCAGGGGCGTCGGAACCGGTGCGGCATGTACGGTCAAAGCCGCACCAATAATTTAATCTTGTGACTGTTGAAGCAATGAAATATGGGCTATTGGGGCCCAATTTCCCTATAATTTTCCTAGGGGAGGACCCCGAACCCCCACCTACTCATGCGGCCACACCAATGTCGAATACCTTCGGACGCCCCTGTGTTGTTATACATGTACCGGCCTAGGCCATTATTCACCAGGTTGACTGCCGCGTTCGGCCTTGAACATGGTCAGTGGACAATCGGCAACGGCAGTATCACACGGAACACAGATAAACACCATGTAATTTTATATTATTTTATTTTTTACTAGAAAACACAGCCCTACTAATAATCAGGGGAAGAGGACAACTGAAATGACACTGGACAACAAGACAAAGGGGAGTAGGGGCGATGTGCCGATAGTAGGGGTATGTGAGCAGACTTTTGTCCTGCACTGCTCGTGTAAAGCACAGTCATAACGTTACTTGCTAGCAGCACATGTATCTTTAATATGTGGATGTGTTACCTCAATTTCAGCGAAGTTCTCCTTGTTCTTCTGCCTGAGGTCCTTTTTCGCTTTTGCAACCTGTTGAATGAAACATACACAGAACGCCATACAAAATCTTCTTATCCGGGAAGGGAGGATATGTTTTGAAAAGTACATCATCTACAGTGGCAGCACTCAGACGTGTAGCACACCGGTTAGAACATGTCTGTCAAATACTACAAATACGAATGCCCTTGACAACGCGGGCTACTTCTAGCTACTTGTATGCCTCCCTCACAGGCACACCACGGTTGGTTGACTGTCCAGCAAATTTGAAGCCCGACAAGCCAGACCAGCTGCTATACGCGGCCTGCCATTGCTAAGCCGGGTCACGGAGCTTTCCCACCCGGTTTCTTACCATTCTTTCTGCTCGGTCCTTCCTGTCCGCCTGGTCGTCCTTCTCTCTTTTGGCATACGTGGACTCACTCTAAACAACATGCATACGAGAGAGTGTAGAGAACGCAAACTGAATGAGTTACTACATGTACGGGTATGTATTGAAATTTAGACTACACACTGTACATAAGAGATAATTCTCTTTCATTACCTGTCCAGCTCGTTTTCACACAGACGTCGTAAAAGTATCATGGTACACTTGAAATGATGGAGTGTCTTACCTTCAGAGAGCCGACTTGTTCTATGAGCATGGCTTCACGCTTCACCAGTTCATCAGCCTGCTGTCTAGTTTTCTACAAACATCGCAAGGGAAAGCATATGCCAACATATCATTTGATCCAATGAAGCCACACTGAATGGAATAGAGACATTACTCATACAACAGGCCACACGGTCCATGCTGCACAACACGGTAGTCGCTGACTACATACTAGTCTCTGGCTAGCATCACAAGGAACCTTGGGAAGGGGTTTCGACTTGTGCCAGGCACCGCACACCCTCTAACCTCGGCATCCTCTGAGATCTCCTGCAGCTGCCGTTTCTTCAGCTTGAATTTCTCTGCAGCAGAATCTAGCTGGGCTTGGAGGCGTTCGAGCTCTTGAGCTTCTTTGTCTAGGAATGCACAGATAACAGAAAGTAGATAACAGTAATAATGGTTTTGGTCCCTCGCCTATCCGGATATTTTTTTGTGGGAAACGGATGTGTGCTTTAAACTCACCAGGTCATCATTGAGCACAACCCTGGCCGTAGCGTTGACATGGACTGTTGCATTCATATCAGCACCCTGTACTGTCTGTGCCGTTATCTGTTATCGTATATGTAGTTCACCTAGACTGCACTGTGCGCACTGGCACTGTATGTATGCATGCTGCATTTGCGCTGTATGTAGGCATCGTGTTACTGATGGAGCTTTGCAGAGCTCTAGGCGGGGGTTGCTGTTTAGAATACAGCAAGATAGAAATACTACTTCGGTTCACTGCATTGTGGGCTAATCATGTCGATAGTGCTGGTGGGTATTGATAGTGCTAATGGGTGCTAAATTGCTAATAGAGCTGATAACACTGCTAGTATTGGTGGGTGTTGTTAGCGCTGGTGGGTGCTGTCCAACTTACCGCCTGCCTGGAATGGATTCAAGCTCTTGCGGTACGCCTGGTTACTTTGACCGAGCAACGTCAGAGTATTCTCCATTGCAATGATCTCCTTCTGACCTTTGCGTAGTTTGGCATCTAGGATGTCACCGGCACGTTGGAGCTCTTCCTTTTCTTGAGCTTTCTGTGTTGCATAAGCCAGCAAACAACAGTCATATTGTTTCAAAGAGACCAGCACCAGTGCTGTACTGACAGTAACAGACAGGGCTGTTATAATCATACAGGGTTAAGAGGAAAGTAATCGGAATGATCCAGCTGTTGCGGACAATATCTGATCTTCCATGTCTGCATTGACGGTGAATAATAAGCTAGCGTATGCTGTAATCAGAGAAGTCTACAGTCATGTATGTATGGCTATGACCAGAAATGAATGAAATTCATTTGTCTGCCACCAGAACTGTGCTTACAATAATAACAGGAGTGTGTTTCGCTCTAATGTTGTATAGCACAGAAAGATTATGGGTTTGCAGTACTACGCCAAGCAGTAAAATTCAGCCTAGGCCTAAGGCGTACCTTGATAAGAAGTGTCACATGAGACTCAGCCTCTTCACCGCTGGGGCCAGACATCTGCCTCATCCGGATCTCATACCTAAGAATAACCCATAAGAACACAATAACCCATAAGCGCACTATGACCCATAAGCGCACTATGACCCATAAGCGCACTATGACCCATAAGCGCATAATGACCCGTATTAACACAATAACCCATAAGACCACTATAACCCGTAAGTACACAATAGTCCATAAGCACAGAATAACCTATAAGCACACAATATCCCATGAGCACACAATAGCCCATAAGCGCACAATAGCCCATAAGCGCACAATAGCCCATAAGCGCACAATAACCCATACGCGCACAATAACCCATAAGCACATAATACCCATGAATGCATACAGCCCATAAAAGCACTACATGTATAACCATAAGCGCACAGATGCCCATAAGCGCACTATGACCCACGAATGCACAATACATGGTCATGACTGTATGCCACAGTCTCATGTCATATGCACGCATAACACGACACGGCCTGCTATACCCTCTATCCACTCTATTCTGACCTGAAAGTACTGACTTTGCAAATATAGACATGCATACATGCCCTTCAGGGATTCGGCCATCACCACTTCCCTGTGCACTCTCCCCATGTATACACACACATACATGTGCACACATGTATACACTCGTACATACGGCTCAACCTCTCATTACGGCCCATTACCAACCTCTTCTTCAGTCGATCCATGCGAGCCTCTCGCTCATGAAGTTCCACCCTGAAGCCATTGACACAAACCATATTGAAGGCAATACAAACAGTGGAGATCAGAGCTGTGAAGATGTACATAACAACTAGGGGGGGGGGGGAGTGTAGGTGCATTACTATACAAAGGAGTCTTGTTGGTTGGCTGTATGACAATAGGGGGTTCACACGAGGGGATTGCACAAGGACATCACACGAGGGGATCGCATGAGGAGATTGCACAATGGGATCACACAAGGGCATCACACGAGGGCATCACACGAGGGCATCACACGAGGGGATCACACGAGGGGATCACACGAGGGCATCACAATGACCCTTTTAACTGAGTGCAACATACGTTAGCTTGCTCTTCTCCCCGTGGACCGATCTGAGTTTGGTGTCGAGCAGCTCCTTGTGAGCCTTGATGTTCATCTTTCGCTCAGTCATCGCCTGCAGTGCATGAGAAGAAGTAGAAGAAATGTTAGCGTCAGTGCAGAATGGAACGAGGCTAATGATGTAGCAGCTTACAGGTACTACTGATAACTCTTCCGGAAGGGGTCGTTCACAAGGAAATCCAGCAGATTCGTACTTATTTGCACTTGTTGGTGCAGTTTCTAGTGCAGATTCTGTGGATGAAGACCACACCCGTGCCGGGCAGCACAATTATTCATTCACTATAGCACGTATTAGAGCCTTAGACCAAACATCTGATTGAAAAGTGTTACGTTAAGCACCAAAAAGTACAAATCGGTGCTTGGTGATGGCCAAGGGCTTGACTGACTTGTTCAGCTTACCGTTTGCAGCTCCAGCTGCCGAGATTCCAGGCTCAACACCTCGCCAACCCGGGCATTCATGGCTTTCCTTCGACTGATGGCACAATGTGGGAGAGAGCAGAGGGCAACAGGATAAAACACACACACACACACACACACACACACACACACACACACACACACACACACACACATACATGCACACACACATACACACACACACACACACACACATGCATAGCACGGCAGTTCAAGACAACCAACACGCAGCACTCATAATCGGTAGGGAGCTACATGTACATGTAGTATTAAACTATTGAAAATTGAATTGAATTGGAGTTCCCATGCCTGTTCGGAGCTGTTCCAAATCCTGGGTTTACTATCTCAAAGATACAATAGACTAGTAGTCACTACTGTCACTCACTTTTTCAGAGACAACTTGAGTATATTGCGCTCCACTTGTTGCTCCTGTATCAGAACGAACAAAAAGAAAATGCACGGACACACACACGGAGACACACACACACGCACACACACACACGCACACACACACACGCACACAAGTCACTCGTTACAATCGGGTTAAAGGTCATAAGGAATCCTTTACATCCTGCACAGGAACATAAGCAGCCAACTCCCTGCAGCCAGAAAGGAAATTGGTGAGACAAATCGGGGTGTCCCTGCCTCTCCCCTGGTCACGCAACACACTGTGACTGTCTGTCCATATAGAACTGGACAGGGATGTGATAATGCTGATGAACTGGACAGGAATCTGATAATGCTGATGAACTGGACAGGAATCTGATAATGCTGATGAACTGGACAGGAATCTAATAATGCTGATGAACTGGACAGGAATCTGATAATGCTGATGAACTGGACAGGAATCTGATAATGCTGATGCTCGTTCTCCGATTACCTGCTTGTTGTTCACCATTTTCTTGAGTTCACGCTCCGCGTTGTCATTGTGCAGTTCGATCTCTTGAATCTTTCCCTGCAGGTCCTGCTTCTCGCTGCTGTACTTCTCCAAGTAAGTTGTCAAGCGGCGAATGTCATCCTGTAGGAAAGCAAAACAACACACGTGTCAATCTGGGAGCACCAGTGCATACTCAAACACACACCAGCTATAACAGTCATGATATAACTTACATGATGTATAGATTATAGAACTGACACTGGCATCTGTTCTAATATGCAGATGGTACTGTGTACACACTGGATGTGCAACACCGCTCAAGCGGCTAGCAATGATGAACAGTTACGTGGACATGTATCGCATCACTTGAAATGACAGCACCAATCCGACAGTCACCAGCCACTAGCAGTCAGACAGTCATTGGCCAGGAGCAGTCAGATATACATGTATACCAAGTTACCAACGTACATTGATCTTCTTTAGCTGGCCGGTCAAGACGGTCTGAACAATCTTCTGATCCTCCCAGCGTGCCTTCAGTTCCTACGCAACAAGCATTGGAGAACCACAGCAACAGCACAGGTGAGGGCAGACAGCCAGGCATCCTATTTGCGCGGGCCATGAGCGAACTCCGGCAAACGGTTCCTGACGATACACTCATCGTACAACGGCTTTCATCATGCCAAAATTAAGGACTCTAAGTCACACCATGTACAGGCATACAGCAGTGCACACGCTTCCACCTCCCATTTGCACTGTAAAAAGGAGGGTCTTACAGCATTTTAGAAAGTTTTGATTTGAAGTTTTTTGGTTTGTGTTTGAAGATCTTTACTTGTATTTTACACATGCATTTTCCTGATTTCTTCTCCAGTGTTGTATTGAATTTTAATCCATTGTGTAAATTTTCGCCCAAAAAAGAGGCTTGTGCAGGGTCCTACAGCAGTGCACGCACAGGGCTCAAATAATGTATCTTGGGGACATAAACGCCTCATCGCGTGTAGACCTACACCAAATAATTCACGTCAGGGTGGTTGGTACCCGAGCACGGCGTAATGCTGATTGAGAGCACAATACGCGTACACAGGGCTCACCTCAATCTGCTTGTTCAGCTGGACTTTTTCATCATTCGTACGATCACCTTCCAGACGTGCCGTGCGACCTTCCAGTTGCTGAATAGTGTACTCCTGCAGATCACCAGATCACCGTGGGGAAAGCAACAACTGCCAGTAGTCAATGCCTTCACTCAAACTGTCTGTCACTGTAAGTACACTGGGTATGAGGCACTTTCAGGGGTGAAGGCCGGAACCCCAGATGTGCACTGGAACCCTTCTAAATGTTCTCACCAAGCTTGTAGATTAGCACAAAATTGCTATTTATATGGATGCCGAGAGTTGACACCCCTCCTCCAGCCCCAGATGTTTGCTACAGCAAAAATCCGTGCACACACACACAGTGACACTGTGGCAACACAAACATTTCGCCTCACCTGTGTATAGATAAGTTCCGCTTGCTTACGAGTCTCCTCGTCCACCTTGCGCAGTGTACTGCCCAGATTGCGGAATGCAAACTTTGAACCCTGGACAGAAGAAGAAAAGTGAACAGCAACTCACCAAACAGGCCGGCCGGACGTGTAGAGTACAAAATACTCTAATACTGTCCATTCAGAAAGAGATCGGCTTTGGGTGTTCTTGCAGAACGATGATGACTGCGTGGGTTGACTTTTTGGTCAGGTTTCACATCACTGATTAAGGTTTTCTCCATCACGATGTACGGGGCAGCAGATGCAAAGTCACATCAATAATTCAAAATTGCACTATTGAGGCCAAGATCGGAATTGCCGAGGTGGATTTTGGAATCTCAAAGGTTCAGTCTGCATAGGCTGGCTACATGTAAATGGCCTCCAAGAATTTTCGTAACACAAGTCTCACATTTAGAGGTTTGTGCTCCTGCCAAAATCATTGTCCCATACAACATACCTGCAACTCTGCTTTGATGTTTTCTCGTCGTCCTCGCAGCTCGAACAGCTCCTGGGATCGCTTGAACTGTGAAATCAGTGCAAACCAGTGCAAACCAGTGCAAACAAGTACATGTGAGAACAGAGTGGCAGGTTACTTGAGATTATCAGACTGTGAGCCGAAATAAAGAAGGAGCTGTAAAGCGTGGTGGCCTCGGAAAACTTATGTAACTGATAATTCACTGACTACCCTGGCCAGTCGCTAGTCAGAGGAGAAGCAAGCCGGAAAATTCTACCAAAGAAGAAAATCTAAAATGTCTTGTTGTTTCTGCTTGAGAAACGAGAAACAAGCCTGAAAAAATTCTACCAGAGAAGAGAATCTAAAATGTCGCAGAGTCTACAGCCTTTCTGAAATGAAACTGGATCGCCTCAACTTTGCCCATGCTTGATAACTGGGATGGTAAATAAAATACACTGTAGATACATGCATGGTATTCACAGCTACCATGGCAAAGCCGATTTTGCCATACTTGCCATGAGCTGTATTCAAATCTGGCCTAAACACACACATGTATGCGGCTTACCTTCACTCCATGCTGCTTGTCCAGTTCCTTCTGTAGTTGCCGTAGCGACTCTTCCTTTTCCGCTATCATCATCTCCATGGTCTGGGCGGTGTTCTCCGAATCTAACGTTCTGCCTGTGCTGATCGCAAGCTGCTCTCTATTCGCATCGCACTGAGCTTGTATGACTGCCAGCCTACAGTTACCGGTATAGCAGTAGCACACAGATGGTAAAAGCCGAGTTTTAGGGATTTAGGCTCTGTATCGGTGTGTTGTCATGCAATGATATACCCTCAAATTCCGCAACGGGAACTTCTGAAGGGCATACATTAGTATTAATTTATTCCCGTAGCTATGCAGAAGACGTTACTTCAGTAGCGTCTGGCGCTAGCCAGGGTCCACACAGCTTTAATTTGGTATTTGTTTGTGTGTTTGTGTCACGCCTGGCGCTATCCGTATCTGACGGCAAAAAAGCATAGGATTTTTTTTCAGGCATATCCTGGGATTCGAACCCGCACTATCGCCCTACATGCATTCCCCCATACACTTCGCATTCATACCCATTCTTCCAAGTTGCTTCACGTTATTAGCTTGCGTTTGAAAGCCCTATTTGAATATTGCGGGCAGCTAGACGGTGTCGTATTACCCTCGATCGTACCTGTCCCGTACCTATCCCCTACCGTACCGTGCCATCAAAGACGGCTGGCCACAATGCATATTCAAATAGGGCTTTCAAATGCAAGATCACAATGTGAAACAACTTGGAAGAATTAGTATGTATGCGAAGTGTATAGGGGGATGCATGCAGGGCGCGCAATAGTGCGGGTTCGAATCCTAGGTTTAAAAAAAAGGATTTTTTTAAAGAATTTATAACATCCCTATGCTTTTTTTTTGTCTAGGTCATCAAGGCAAAAAAGCATAGCGTAGGGCCCTGAGCTTCCAAGCTCTCTCGTTATGTTCTTGTTTGACGACGGGGAATGTCCAGTTGGTGTTACGTAGTCCACAAACAGCAGCTATGGCTTTAGGCACCAGGGAGCAGTAAGCCCTACCTTTTCTTCTTCTCTGCTAGGTTCTGCTTGAGGCGTGCCACTTCAGCACGAGTCGATCTTTCATCAGAAGCAACCTTGTCAACTGTGAACTTCAGTGTCTCCAGCTACAGAAGCAAAAAAGAAACAGAAAGCCGAAAGGCATTGCAATAAGTTACTGTAGGCGTTTGTCACGGCATCAGTCCAAGTATAGCACGCTCCCAACAGATCAATCCCCAATCATCTCATCCCTGACAACCACTACCCTTACCTCATCTGCTATCTGCATTCGAGAAGTGTCGGCGTGTTGCAAATCGACGCGTGTTCTAGCGACCTGTATAACGAAGCACACAGCAGCAGCACTTGAAAAACAATAATTTCATTCATTGACTTCACAGAGTCAGAAGCCTATGCTCTTCACGTAAATCGGTGCTGGAATGCTAGTACATGTTGTTGAGTTGAGATGCACTGAAACATGTTGGATGAGGAAGTGCTACAGCAGTTATACATCACCTACCACATACAATACTGAATGCTTGTGTAATCCATGTCACAGTGTTTCATGAAGTAGTCAGGCAGACTGCTGCGTGACTGAGTATCCTGAAAGCCGCTGTGTCTAGCTCACCGTCTTCTCATGCCATTGCACTTGCCGCTCCTCCTCGCGGTTGTTCTCCAGTTCTTGCTCTAGGAACCACTGCAGCAGCACACAGCATATTGACACACCCATACCCACAGGTAGTTAGAACACAACATAAGGACACATCCGACCACTGGCAAAATTGCCGGTGACAATTGAGTGTGTATAAATCCAGAAGCTCGGTAAGATGGCTGCATGCACCTAGCTTCCGTTTGCAAAACACAGATACATAGTCGTGAAAACACACTTTGGACGTTGGGACTAAACTGACGTGTTCCGGCATTCACCCATGCGAACTGTGCACTGATCTTACTAGTACCGCATCAGTCAGCAATCACAACGTCCCTTTGAGTCAAAGTCGTCGCCATCGACTGATCATGCTGATCCAGCATGATGTCACCGCAGAGTAAATCTACAAGATCTGGGGTAAAGACCCAGGCAGTGAAAGCCCAGCTGGATACCAGTCCTGCTCTTTCTATGGGTGGTTCCTGTGCTCGACCATTCACACAAAGCACGGGAAACTATGCAACCACATGACCGTTTCATAATGATACGCTACTAATCATACCACACTAGACATTAGCCGCTACTGCAGTGCTCACCCGCTTTTCCTTCAGGCCCTCTTCCTTCTCGCTGACATCAAATTTTTTGTTGGCCACTTGCTGCAGGGACAAATACATGAACACAAGCACACAGGCTATGACTAAGACTCACGGCAGAACCACAGATAGTAGGAGTACATGATATTACCATGGGTCTTACTTACACGTCCTGACAGAAGTGAACATACAAGATGATCGTGTTCTAGTGTTCACTTCTGACATGACTTGTAAGCAACCCCCCACCCTTTGGCTGAGTCACAGTTTGGTCAGGTTTTGATGTAAATATTCACAGGAAAGCAGTACCGCTGCCATGCTGCATACGATGTGAGTGTCCATAATACTGCAGTGTATGGCAAACCTATCAGTGATACGGAGTCTATCTGATCTGAGTCTATCTGATCTGAGTCTGATCTGAGTCTATCTGATCTGAGTCTGCTCTGAGTCTATCTGATCTGAGGTCTGATCTGAGTCTATCTCATCATCTCAACCTACCAGTGATACCAAGTCTATCTGATCTGAGTCTGATCTGAGTCTATCTGATCATCTCAACCTACCAGTGATACGGAGTCTATCTGATCATCGCGCCGTTTCATCTGCTGCACGGTGGCCTCCCACTGCTTCAGCATTTCTTCTCTTTCTACCTGCGCCGCTCGGAACTGTTCTGCAGTCTTGTCCAGGGCAATCTGCAGGTAAGCAACGCAAGACGGGCAGCACAGAGTAAGCAGCAACACAGAATACATGTATGTGGAATTACGAGAAGTCTTTTGAGTTGCAGCAAATCATTGTCCATATCTGCTACGCACCGTAACCAAGTACACAATACAATTCTGGCTCTGTTCGCACAGAAGTTGGAACAAGGTCTTGATTGGTAGACATATAGCACTGATGTCCTCGTCAAATGCCCAACACCGCGGCCTTCTAAGCGCAAACAAGCTACACTCCAGAGAGAAACATGCCTGTGTTGTCAGATTTTCCGTATTCTCCTTTTCCAGCTCCTGGCGTTTCTGCACGCATGCTTCCTCGGCCCTCTCCATTCTTAGCTGCATCTCCTGCAAGATCAGAGCAAGAAAACAGTAGAATAAGTTATACGCATAATGATACTATGTCACTGTGCTGGCCTATGCACATGTGCGTGCCGCTCCAGCAAAGAAGGTCTGTACGTTCTTTCCGAATGCCGGATGACATACTATTGCAATTTCAAATTTGGACTTCACGGAGAATTTCAAAGTTTTAGGAAATTAGAGGCCACATGCCGCTCGAGTCCAGGTGGTGTGACTGGTGATTTTTTCTTTCTTTCATATCTGGCTTGCAAGTGTTGAGTTTCGGAGAGAAAAGAGCAGTACGTGGCATGTGGACTCTAATTTCTTAAAACTATGACATACTATTGTTGCTAGAAACCGCAGTTATCCCAATGCTACTTCGGGTAGCCACAAACAGTAGTTTATTTGCTCAAACCAAAGCAACACGGCCCAGGAGAGATCCCCTGCATGGTGGACGGCACTGGACTGACATTGCACACACCTGTATACTGCTTGGGGTATCGGGTACTGTGCAATGTCATTGCTAGCTTGGGGTATCGGGCGCTGTGCAAAGCCATTGCTAGCTTGGGGTATCGAGTACTGTGCAATGCCATTGCTAGTTTGGGGTATCGGGTACTGTGCGATGCCATTGCTAGCTTGGGGTATCGAGTACTGTGCAATGCCATTGCTAGTTTGGGGTATCGAGTACTGTGCAATGCCATTGCTAGCTTGGGATATCGGGTGCTGTACAATGCCCGGATTGCTAGGTTGTAGAAACCATTGGTAAGGATTGTGGATGATAATTTCAGAGTCAAGCCGGGCCACAGTCACAGCTGAACATACACCGTCGTACAGTCACTTCGCCGGTCCCAATTCTGCTCAGTTGCAGTAAGTACATTTGTCGGATTTAAACTCCAATCCCACCCCTCCTCATGTCTTCATTCAAATTAAGCAATGTCTGACAGCTCACCATAGCTCAGTGGTTCTCAAGCATCACTGGCCTCAGGCGAGGGTCCCTGGTTTGAGTCCTGGTGGTGACAGTCACTTTTTTCTTCAGAATTTCCCTTTTCCATTCCCTCACTGAACCAGTGAATAGCTTACTTTATCTCCTTCTTTCTATGGTCAGTTAAGGTTAGCCATGTTTGCCCTTGCCAGCCATACTGACGCTGTTACTATAGAATGTTTGGTGTTGGATCACTACAATTATAATTATACCGAATTCTTGCCATTCTTAAGCCATATCTTACCTTCGTTCGTGCATTATCAGCAGCAGCATATTTCTGCAACAGCTGGGCATCAGCATCACGCAGTTTTGCCTGATCTAGATACGCCTTTTGACTCTGCGAGTGCAAACCGTCATGAAACACACCATACATACGCACTGAATATACTGGAGCTGCAATGACCTCGAGGGCAACTCCTGACTCCCCTCATCAAATTCCTGGCATCTGTGGAGTTACGACCAGTCTCTGCTGGTATTATGACAAGCACACCATGGCGTATTAATGTGCAGCAGCATCTGGCCTACGGCAATGGTCCTGAGTACAGTCCCAAGTGTGCATATACATGCATGTACATAGTGTTCATAGTTTGACAGCGGCATGAAACAAGGCGGAGGACACCGTGTTCGGAAACAGATGAACACTATGTAGACAAAAACAAGGGTTATCTACTCGCCTATGCATGTACATGTATCACATTAGCAGCTACGTGTCTTGAAGATACTTGTGCCTGATGTGTGTACAGCATAGCAGTTATGGTTACAAGCACACTCATGGATGATGGATGTGTTCCCCATGTTTCAATGGCCTATTACAAATCGTGCGGATACTGGTGAGCCTTATGAGTTTATCCTGAAGCTTACCGAATCTTTCAGCACCATATCACTATGCAGTTGATCGGAGCGACTCTTCTCCTTCAGGAAGTCTCGCTGCAAAAACAACACAAAACATGCAAAAAAAAGATGTATCCACACATACATGTACATTGTACATGTGAGTAGGTGTCTAACATCGCCTGGTGTGTGTGTGTGTGTGTGTGTGTGTGTGTGTGTGTGTGTGTGTGTGTGTGTGTGTGTGTGTGTGTGTGTGTGTGTGTGTGTGTGTGGTGGATACCTGGCTAAAAATAGTGGCGGTCAATTCATCAGCCTTGCAAGCTGTGGAATGGTGTAATCCCAGCACAAGTTGCTATGTCTAAAACATAGCTGTTCGCTATCATCGCTCCCGCGATGGGCATGTCTGAGGTCTGAGGTCTGAGGTCTGAGGTCTGAGGTGTGTGTGTGTGTGTGTGTGTGTGTGTGTGTGTGTGTGTGCGTGTGTGTGTGTGCCCCTACAACCGGAACTGATCTCGAGCTACCCATATTTAACCTTTCTATTTTTTACACGCAGTAGCATTCTCTTGCCCGGGAGTAAACTTCACATCCATACTTCAAAGTACATGAACACAAAGTTAGCAATCATATCTAAATACACCTTTTAACATACACACATGCACACACACGTACACACACGTACACACATACACACACATGCACACACACACACACACACACACACACAGAATCAAAGCTCCAAGATTGCGTGTCTGCACTGCCAGTGTAGTCACCTCGTATTTCTCGGCACGGCCTTTCAAGTCATTCATCTCATCCTGCAGGCGCCTCATCTCCTTTTCCAGGCGCGCATTCTCTTGCTCAGCTACACACAGGATACAAAGTTACAAGGACATTGAGCTATCAAAGAATCAGACTCAAACTTGCCACGTGTACAAAATAACATGTATTGTCAAAATGTTTTAAAACATCTCAAGGTGCCAGAATTGTTCGGTTCAAGTGCATGTATGTACACATATCATGTTAGTATTGTTTGAGTTCACAATAAGCAGACATGCCGTACGATGTACATTACTTTGGAGAACATGGGCCAATCCAAACTTTGGTGGTCTGTCCAAATGCTTGCAATGATGTACTTCCAAGCTCTTTAGTTGGGCTCCAACTTGAAGTGTGATAACTCTAACCATTATCCACCATTTCCTTCATGCTATTTGATGGCGAAATGGCGTGACATTGTTGCCATAGCAACCCAGATGGGTTAAGGATGATGATGAAGAAGAAGACGATTTGATTCACTATAGTGGAAGCTGATAAGGTGAGGCCTCACCTATGATTTTCATGTGCTCGTCTGTTTCCAGCTCACGTTTTCGTGCATCGCAGAGTGACTGTATAAACATAGATGGCAAAACACCCACCCACATGCACAAATACATACACGCACAGACAGAAAGCAAGGATTCAGGAATCAGGATTTCAGTTTGACTAAGACATCAACTTCTGCAGCCGGAATGGACGTCACTCCAGTATAAACCTGCACATTATGGCAGATAGTCGTTCACATGCCCTGGGAAGGGCTAACTCTCCAAGGATCCTTGGGACCCGGATTGTCATTGGAATGTGGCATGCATGGACACAGGCATGGATGCAATCGACGCAGGTATCAACTGCTAATGGGAGAAAGACGCAACAGCGACCAATACGCAAACCAATCAACACCATAACCTGCACATAACTTACAAGAGTTTGACAACCAGCAATCCAATCAGTCATTGACAGCAAGCCTCAAGTATGCCACACGTTCACTATGATCATGCGGGGCTGCATCTGTTTTCCACCACTAGGTGGCTGCATGAGTTCTAGAGTTATCAATGGTTACATTTTCCGATGGAGATGGGTTTATAGCACAAAGAGTAGATGAGAATGTGAAATACTACAGGTAGTAAACATTGTCACCGCATGCCAAGCAAAGAATCGTTCAAAGTCAAAATTGCCTTTACCTCATCATGTACAATACCCCACCCACCCAAACACACACACACACACACACACACACACACACACACACATCCAAACACACACACACACACACACACACACACACACACACACATCCAAACACACACACACACACACACACACACACACACACACACACATCCAAACACACACACACACACATCCAAACACACACACACACACACACACACACACTCACACGGTCACCGCAGCCCGGCCACTACCACCGCCCTCGGTAGTATCAACAAAAGCACGCCTTACCCGTGTGTGCTGCAGTTCTTGTGTGACGTTCTTCAGGTGATCGCCCATGACACCGATACGCTCGACCACTCGGCCCTGATCTGTGTCAACACGTGCAACATCCCGCTCCAGAGAGTGCACCTACACATGGCAGCGCCACGCAGCACAAACCCAGTTACACAGCACAAACCCAGTCAGTCCAAAATGCAATACTATCCAGGGGCGTAAGAGGGGTTTTGGAAGTGGTACGACCGAAGGTCGGCGTGGCCGAAGGCCGTGTTGGAGGGGGGTCGGGGGGACTTCCCCCGGGAAAATTTTGTAAAAAAAAGACACAAAATCCTGCGTTCTGGGAACTTCTGGCACACTTCTGGCACACTTCTGGCACAGTGTGCAGTTGAGTCGAGTACAGTACAGTACTCAGTACGACTGCAGATAACAGATCTACGAGTACGAGTCTAGAAAAAGGTGTCTGATGCGCATTATGCATCGATGGATACTGATTTTTTATTACGGTTTCGCACGTTCCGGACGGACCACACTTTTCGAAAAGTGGTACGGCCATGGTCGTACCAGTCGTAGCGGGTGCTACGCCCCTGCTATCTTATCATCATGAACCAAGCTGAATACATGTACACTGCTCGGTGTCCTCGGAATCATAAGAATATATTCGAAATGTTGACCGTGAAACCGAGGCATGCCGGAAGCCAGAACAGGCACATAGGCCCGGCTGCCTCGAACCCGGTTCCTATCTATCACCGTGGAGGCTCTACGTACATACCCGGTATCAGACAGTCCACCGGTGTGCGGCACTTTTTCTGAGGATGAAATCCAAGCTGGAATTACCTGATCATGCCTACACTATAGGTATTCCATGAACTAGTCAGCCTGCGCCACTGAATGAGTGGACTACATAATCATTGCGCAGTCACTGTCTGTGCTGTGTTGAACTACAGCCATGGCATGATGCATGTTCTCAAAAGTGCTGGAGGTGGAATTACTTTATTGATGGCATGATGCAGATAAGTAAATTAATATATGTACGTGTGAGATTCTTGAGGTTCTTGTCCCATACTGTTTGAGGTAACTCCGTATTGTGAAAAGGATCCTTGGTCATGCAACAGCGCATCTAATAGTGCACCTATCTATTTACGTCCGAGTATATTTATCAGCTTCAATCATGCATGACAATCATTGTGGTCTTCTCCCACCTGCGACTGCAATCGTTGGTTGGCCTCGTTCAGACCCGGTATGAACCGGTGCTCTGGGAGCGCAGACATCTTCACCGTCGCGCAGCAAATTCCAGATTATAAATAGCACTTCTCGATGTTCCACCGCACAGCCGCGCGATGGGGGAGATGAAGAAACAACGAAGACGTTACTACCCTAGACGAAGGGACGCAGCAGAAAATGGGCGCTGCTAGCCAGCGTATTGCAAGCGAACTTGAGCGCTACTGACGAAATCGTTTCTCTACAATGACTATTGCTGACAGTGAAATTTGAAAACGGTAGTGACCCAGTCAGGGCCATGGCGCCAGTGCCATCTCTGGTTGTTAATTTTCATGTGCACCGGCACCTTATTATCGTATCTACGCAGCCATTCACACAGCCGCACTGATCCTGGACGGCTGATTGCTTGTGTTTTCTTGGTTTTGAAGGAGTGAAGTGCCTTAGCAACGACTACGTGAAGCTGGCGCTTGAGTTGGAGCTTGTCACCCAAGCAACAGCACTGGAATCACTCAGTGCCGTAGTGACTACTACTGTCTGTACTAGTACAGTGAGTAGTGGCCACAGCAAGTGAATAATTATTATTTTTGTTGATTTGTTGACAAGCACTACAATGTAGTCGTACTAGCACTAGTGACTAGGGGTAAAAACACCACCATGAATAATTTTGTCGATTCCCTGGCCTGGGTGACATGTTTCACCAAGACTCAGGCAAGAGGCAAGACTCAAGACTAGAGTACATGACCCCCCAGGGGGGAATGTACTCTTGGTTTCACATGTCTACATCTAATTCTTTTCTAGCCCCTGTTGAATAAGGGACCACCCAACGTGCACTATTTAGAGCCACATTCTGGGTTGGTGTGAGCGGTGAAGGAGAAGGACATGAGCTTCTCACATAGGCCAGCCACAAAGCATGTAACGATGTTTGACACTTCACACCTAAGGTGATCCATAGCCTAGAGGTGGCGCGAATGATGGCCTATCTGCTCTGTATGAGGGGGCAAGTAGGCCTATAGGCAACACCAATGATTATGTAATGCTCATGGTGTCACTCCATACAAAACATCCTAGGCGATGATGTAATTGCATGAGATCTGGTCTAGCCAAAGCACTCAGTCACACAGGCAAGATCGGTGCCAATAGGACTAGGTAAATGTTCAACAGTTTTTAAAAAAATCGCATGAAATTTGAGCCAACAACAGGAGCAATAGGCAAGAAGGGAGAAAAGGCGATCGATATCAGCAGCAAGCTGCAAGAGTGATACATAGCAACATATCACACTGAAGGAGTGCCAAGAGAAAGGATGGTAACATTAGCAGAATAATGATTTATTGTGTAATATAATATTATTATAGTACATTGCACAAAATACTAGTCAGAAATTAAAACAAGGAATGGTTTTATTTACCTCGATCCTCTTTATCCATCATCCAGCGCCTTGCCACAGCTTGCGGACTGTGGCGGTCAAAGTCGGTTGACACTGGAATGGTGATAGATACCTGCAGCTGTTTGCCGTTCAGCATCGCGTGTGCCGTGACCTGGATTCCCTCCAGAGCATGCTGGGGTTCCCAGGGGGCACGGATCCGCGTCCGAATGTTTCCTTCTGCGTCGACCTGCTTCAAGAAGCGATACTCCGCTTCACTGGTAGTCTGGTGTTCGGTGACTTTCACAATGGCTCTCACCAAACCATGGTAGGAGCTGCGCCAGTTGACCGTATTTGGTTCGTGGCACATTGGATCACCGTTGCCGACGCCGATGACGCGCCCCGGTCCTGAGTCCACCGTGAAGGTGACGTTGTGGCCCGATGCCATGACAACCTGCCCATTGGAATCCAAGATGGATGCCCTGACCAGCGCCATGTCATGTCCATCCAGCACAAGGGCATCGCCCATACCTGCCTGCGTGTTTGGTGCATCCAATGAGATTTGCAAGCTGGCTGCTGCACCCGGAGTCATGATTGTATGTGAGGCAACCACCTGTCCGGCTGCATTCAATCCGGTAACAGTTAGGTTGCCATCGGCATAGGTGACCTTGTCCCAGGCAGCATAGCCAATCCATGAAACACTCACACGCCCGTAGGACTTGCCATTCACAAACAGTTCGGCCATGGGAGCATTCGTGTAGGCATGCACTGAGCGCGACTGTCCGCCCATGTCCTTCTGCCAGTGCTCCACTATGTGGGTCATGAACTGCGCATCGCCGGTCTTGAGGCCATCACTCTGACTGGCCATGCGTGAGTCGGGCAGAATGGGAGCCCTGTGAACCTGGTCATGAACTGATGCTGACATGTTAGTGGAGTTCAGTAGCCACCAGGCCCGGTAGTAGCTGGCTCCCGCCTTGGCAAATCCGGCCAAGTCTAGAGATCCAAACGAGCTGGATACGTGTGGCCAGTTGTACGGCGTTGGCTCGCCATAGTAGTCGAACAGCGTCCAGACTAAGATTCCCGACACAAACTTGCGTGACATTTCTACTCCGGTCTGTGATTGCAAGCAATCCCCGTTGAAGTTGCCAAACAGTTTTCCTGAAGAGTTTGCCACGTCCTCGCCTCGCTGTGTGCGACAAGAGCAGCACTCCGAGCCTATGGTAGGGATGGACGGGTACTTAGCGTGGAAGCTGTCGAACATGCTCCCGGGTCTATGTGAGAAGCCCTGGACATCGAGAACATCACTCAAGTCACCTGGCCCATACTGCTGTGTGTTGGCGGTCACCGGCCGCATTGGGTCCTGTTCGTACGAGACCCTCTTGAAGATGGCGCCAATCGCTGCACTCTTATCGCAGCCGCCCTCGTTGCAGAATGACCAGCACATGACGCTGGGGTGGTTGCGGTCTCTCTTCACCATGTCGCGCTGTGCATCGATGTACTCGGTCTCATTACCCAGATTGCGATTCTCGTCCCAGACCATGACGCCCAGTGCGTCGAGGGTATCCAGCAGAGGAGGGGCTGGCGGATTATGACTCATTCGCCAGCTGTTCCCACCCACTGATCTGAGCGACTGGGCGCGGAACAAATGAAGACGTTCCGATAATGCCGTCCCAATGCCACTAAAGTCATTATGGTCACAGAATCCGCGCCATTTGAACGGCTGGTCGTTCAGGAAGAATCCCTCATCAGCGGTCCACTGTGCCCGACGCACACCAAACATTGTTTTGGTGATGTTGTCTATGATGATGTCGCCGTTCATCATGACCGTCTCCAGGCTGTGCATGTAAGGTCTTGCTGAGCTCCACAGTTCGACGTCCGTCAGAACGAGCTCAGGTCCACCCGCTAACAGCGTCTCGCCGGGAGCCAGCTCAAACTGATTCGTTACCGTGGATCCCAGCACTTCCCCCTCACTGTTGCGAATTCTGAAGACCACGGTGAACGGGCCTGCTTTACCTCCCGCTGCCCCGTCATGTACCACTTCAACACGGGGGTCCATGGCAGCCTCACTGGCCACCATTCCGGACGCTGGATCCGATTCCCGGTGCGCGGTGATCTTCCCTGTGACGTTACTCATTGCGTAGAGTCCGTCGGCCACGAAGTGCACCTGCGTCGGCGTTCTGCCCAGGAACGTGCGTCTGTAGATGCCACCTCCCTCGTACCACCAGCCGCTTCCACCACTGGCCGTTGCCATGACGGCCAGTACATTCTCGTTCTCCGGCCCGTCACCGTACAGCAGAGTCGAGGCGTTGTCCAAGCGTGCAACGAAGCTGGTGTAACCGCTTGCGTGCGACACCAGGGCCATTCCGTTAAGGTAGACTGTGCTGGACTTGAAGACGCCTTCAAAGTACACGCTGATCGCGCTCTGGCCCTTCCACTCGGCCGGCAAGTTGAAGTGCTTTCGGTACCAGGTGATGTTGAATGGTAAGTAGCCATGACTCCCAGACGCATCTTGGGAATACACGCCACCAATGATACCGTCGTGTGGTGCGTCCACCAGTGCCCAGGAAGAGTCGTTGTAGCCACGACTTGTTGGTCCACTGGTTGCTGGTGGTGCGGTGGGGCGAGGTCCCGGGGAGATATCCCGGCCGCCGCTCTGCCAGCGCGGACTGTTGTGGTGCATGGGGCCCATTTGACCAATCCAGCAACCCAGCTGGTGCTCGTCCGGCGTACCGGCCCATTGCCACACCTCACAGGTCGGGTCCAGGCAGCATGCACCACGGCACGTTTCCAGGGTCTGCGCATCGCTCCTGTGCAGTCCCGAGATCTCTACACCGGTGAGGTTCTTGGGAAACTCGCTGGCCGGACAGGTCGTGTTCGTACTGCCACTCGCATCACCCAGTTGAAACCTCCAGCCGTAGTCGAACGTGAACATCTGAAATCCGGGGTTGTCCTCCAGCTGCGAGTCCTTGCTGAACGTGTGGCTGTGTTCCGACTTGGCTTGCTGAACGCCAAGCACCACCAGAAGAGCGCTCGCTTCGAGAAGCAAAAGATGGCCTTTCATTTTGAAAAGCTCTGGGTGTGTTTATTCCTCCTATCTGTACCTGTATCTAGTGCAGCCAATTGCCAGCAGCGATAGTAACACAGGGCTGCCGTCTGAGGACTCGGGTATAACTATGAATTGATAACGCGGCGCTACAAACCGGATAACCGGGGCTACACGCGTTAGATTACTGTGACCTGTGACAGTGCGTATATTTGATATTGCCGCAAGTTAGTTCTTTCCAAGAAAAGAATAGAGGCCAATCCCGAAAACTGAGATTGGCTGGGTTCGCGAAAGGGGGAAAATTTACGCGGGCAAGCCATCTCGCGTCAAGTGCATCGTTTTGTATCATAATTGTGTCAGCTCATGGCGGAGGATACTCTCAGTTGACATGCCCCCTTTCGAACCCAGGTTATCTTTTCGGGATTGGTCTAACACCTACCATGTCTACTGCAAGAATAGACCAATCCCGAAAAGATTGTCTGGGTTCGAAAGGGGGCATGTCAACTGAGAGTACACTGACTGTACAACACATACATGGCACTACCTGATCAGCATGCGGCACAGGACGTGATAATAGTTCGCGTGTGAATGCGAGGGTAAGTACACGGTTTTCTCGTTAGTTGCATGCAAGACGGACGATGCGACAGAAAGCAAAGCCCTTTGTAGTTTTGTCTCTCGCACTGGTGATGGTCTGCTGTTGGAGTGGAAATGCTAAGACATAATCCTTGTTTCGCTCTTCTGTGTAGTGTGAAGAGGTCAACGAACATGTAGAGCTCACTTTGATGAAGTAGGCAAGGCTGTGAGCGCTGTGGCTCAAAGCGATAGGCCCTAAATCTCACGAGATATTTCGAGTGCTATTGTTTGTTGCGAGCGCTTCGTCTTCGATGAGTCCTGCCTCTTTCCTGGCAGCTGCCCTCCTATAGGATCAACCACGAAGTGACTGTACTCATCTGCAGCCGATCAATGTTATATTGCACAAGAAGATATCGTTTTCGCCAAGCCAGTGCCCCGCCAAAGACCATCGCCGTGTCACACCGTCGGAACGAGTTCATGATGAGAAACATCATTCGCGCGAACGTGATGAAGAACTATTTCGAAAGACAACATAGTCTTTACCCCCGGGACGACAACTATGTGCACGTCCTGCAAGGGGAGAATGTCACCAGAGACATCAACGAAGACGACGGCAGTATTTCGGAAACCTTGTCGTGATTACATCACGAAGTTGTACATAATATCACGTGTATGTTTGTGTGACGTAATCGTCCACGTAGCATTAGCCCTTTTGTTTGTTGTGATGGCTTTATGGTTTTACCTAGCTTCTTGATGATCAGAGATTAGAGTAAGTCATGTAGTACTGAATGAGAATTAATCCCAGTCCTTATGAAGTTAGTTATGTTGTGGAACTAAGAGAGTCTAGACTCTAGTCACAACATAAATTGGTGCCGAAACCATGTCCGAGTATCCAGGGAGTCTCCGAGTTTTAGCAAATAAAATTAGTGCATTGTATTCTACTGTCCACGATGACGATACGAAGTGCCAACGTTTAGTTTCAGAAAGTTGTCCATCTGACAGCAGGCCCTACTGACACAGAGACAGATGACACTGCGGGCCACATAATGCTCACAGATGCTACCACCTTGCCAGACCCAGTATTTGATCTCCAACGTTTCTGGCGACTTGAAGATATTGGTATCACCGATGACATCAGTGATCCGCAGACAGCGGACGACATTGCCCTGGAACACTTTCGCAGCTCCTTGCAACTGATCAACGGCCGATATATGGTATCTTGGCCATGGAAAGATAGCCATACTCCACAACCTAATCTACCAGAGAACTACGAGCTCGCCTTCGGCCGTCTCAAATCCTTAGTCAAACGACTCCAGCAGACACCACAAGTGCTAGAGAAGTATCATTATACCATCACAGAGCAGTTAGCCAATGGCATTATCGAGGAAGTGAACCTTGATCACCAGGATGGGCCGATTCACTACATCCCCCACCACTGTGTTGTTCGCCCCAGCAGTACCACAACAAAGGTCCGTGTGGTATATGATGCTTCCGCCAGAACTCGCGCAGAACACAACAGCCTGAACGACTGCCTGCACCGAGGTCCGATACTTCTGCCGGATCTGTGTGGTATCCTGGTGAGATTTCGGCTACACCCCATTGGCATTGTCAGCGATGTTGAGAAGGCCTTCCTTCAGCTAGGTCTATCTATGACAGATCGCAATGTAACACGGTTCCTATGGCTTCGCGATCCTACAACACCCGTCACCACAGCCAACCTAGTGATCTACCGCTTTTGCCGAGTTCCATTTGGCATTGTCGCTAGCCCGTTTCTTCTTGCCGCCACAGTCGACCACCATCTCCAACAGCAACAGACAGGGACATGCGATGATGTACGTCGCAGTATCTATGTTGACAACGTTGTCACCGGGCAGAGCAGCGTCCAGGATGCTACTGCATACTACAGAGAGGCAAAGGACGCCTTTGCCAGTGCCACCATGAACTTGCGTGAATGGGGTACCAACGATCCTGACTTCAGAGATGCTCTAGCTCCTGAAGACAAGTCTAGCTGTGATGTAATGAAGGTACTGGGTATGTCATGGGATACCAATCGCGATACTCTGTCGACGGCAAAGTCAACCACAAACCAGTACTCCGTCATTACCAAAAGAGATGTCCTCCGCAGCATAGCCCAATTCTATGATCCGATGGGCCTGTTCTCCCCGGTCATCATGCGTGCGAAGATCCTAGTACAGAGTATATGGAAGCTACATGTAGACTGGGACTCTCCGCTGCCTGACGCTCTCGTTCATGAATGGAAGGATATCCTGTCCGATCTGTCCTGCGCAAGTGACGTTGCCATTCCTCGCTTCATTGGACCAAAAATCCACGTCGACAAGGTCACCTATGAACTCCACGTCTTCTGTGATGCGTCTCAAGATGGTTACGGTGCAGCCGCGTACCTGTGTGTGAGACAAGTTGACGGTGCCTATTCGTCAGTTGACCTGATCTACAGCCGAACACGAGTCTCGCCCATCAAGGCAACAAGTATACCACGTCTAGAGCTCCTAGCAGCACTCATCGGCGCCAGGATCATCAAATTTCTAAAGAAAGAGCTTCTGGGCGCAGTTCACATCTCAGCTACCCACCTGTGGTCTGACTCACAGTGCGTGCTTGGCTGGATTAAGAATACTGAGAAATCGTACCCTGTCTTCATCGCCAATCGGTTGAAGGAAATCCGTGCAGACCAGAGTGTGTGCTTCAACTATATCCGTACAGCCGACAACCCAGCCGACCTACCATCCCGTGGAGCATCGCTAGCCACACTGACAGACAGTACAGCTTGGTGGTGTGGTCCAGAATGGCTTCGAGATCCTCCTGTACACTGGCCCAAAGACGTCATCGATGCTCCTTCCACAGTACTATTCGCGGCGGAGGGTCCTGCGGAAACCGAGACCAGCAGCAAGCCATCACCGCTGAGTATAGATGAGAGCAAGTATACTTCGTTTGAGAAGCTAGCCCGTGTAACAGCATACGGTATCAAGTTTGTCAAGAGATGCCGTCAACAGACCACATGCGGCACTCATTTGTCTGCTGCTGAAATCGACAACGCCAAACATCTGTGGATTCAACATGTTCAAGCAACACACTATACACCGGAGATTGAGGCTATCAAAAGCAACGCCAAGAACAAGCTGGTCCAAAACCTTGCGCTCTTTCTAGATGAACATAACCTCATCCGCTGCAAGGGTCGATTGGAGAATTCATCCCTACCATACTCAGCGAAGTATCCCATCCTTCTACCTCGTTCACATCCAGTAACCACAGCTATCATCAATGACTGTCACCGCATGGTGCTGCACAGTGGAACTAACCATACCCTATCGCGAGTCAGGTATGACTATTGGGTCCCCAGAGGACGACAAACCGTCAAGACTGTACTCAAGAAATGTGGTGTATGCAAGAGGTTCAATGGTCGGCCGTACTCGCTACCGAAAATGGCACCCTACCCTCCAGAGCGCGTAGCTGAGTCTAAACCGTTCACACACGTCGGCGTCGACTACTTTGGCCCAATGACAGTCAGAGAACATGGACTCATCCACAAGGTATGGGTGTGCCTATTTACGTGCATGGTCACACGTGCCATCCACCTCGAGCTTGTTGCTGACATGACCACAGAACAGTTCCTGATGGCATTGCGCAGATTTGTGGCAAGAAGAGGAGTACCGCGCAAGATCTTCTCTGACAACGCTCAGCAATTCCTGCTTTCGAAATCGACTCTACAGCTTGCTTGGGAAGCCATTGTGAAGGATGACCACACTCTTAATTATGCTGCTTCCCATGGAATCGAATGGATTTGCATTGTGCAACTCTCCCCATGGATGGGCGGGTTCTATGAACGGTTGATTGGAATCGTGAAGAAAGCCCTCCGTAAGTCTATTGGCAGACTAGTTCTCGGAACAACGGAGCTGTCAACCATTCTCGTCGAAGTTGAAGCAGTAGTAAATTCACGACCGCTGGTGTACGTAAGCGATGAGATCTATACGGTCTTGACACCTGCCCACTTCTTATCATTATCAGCCGAAATCAGTCTACCCCAAGGGCATGTAGAAGAGGACCCTGATTTCGCCCCAACAATGTCGTCAGCGGAACTGCTACTTTCTACGTGGAAGAAAGGTCAGAAGCGATTGAATGAGTTTTGGAACTGTTGGAGATCTGAATACCTAACCAGTCTACGAGAACGGCAACAATCGCAGTTGAAACAGGTTGCTCATTCTACCGTGAAGCCAAGGATTGGACATGTGTGCCTCATCAAGGATGACGCGCCCAGAGGTATGTGGAAACTGGGTATCATCAGCGAACTTCACGCTAGTCGTGATGGAGAAACGCGTTCCGCCACTGTGAGGACGCCCAATAACAAGCTCCTACGGCGCTCACTACAGCACCTATATCCGTTGGAGTGTGAGTCTGCTCGACCTGCTGACCACTCGTCGAATGAACCACAGCCTCCCGCTGTAACCAACGACGCACACGTCCCTGTAACAGCTTCTCGACCGGTAAGACGAGCTGCTATCGAAGGCTTAGGACGTGTCCTGGATTTGCACGAGGCAGACTTGGTTTAGTTCACCATGCTGGTGTCTGTCTCAATCAGCTATCATCCACTCAAGCTGTATAATTATGTTCACCCCCCTTTTTATTCGAGTTTTCTTTTCCTCTGCCAACTTGCTCTCCCACTCACTACTTTGGCACTAGGGTGTAGTATGGGCTCCATGACTTATGTGTCCTTGCTCTTCAGTACCTTCGCAATTTGGTTCACAAGATATGTCACATCATTAGCGTAGCCTGTCAGGAGACATGCGTCTGTGGGGACTGCCCTAGTTAACATTAACAATACCCAAATAATAATAATCACCTAAATACGCGGTTCTTATGCGCTATTATAATCTTTCTCCCTTTGGTCACCAGGTCTTTTGTGATTGATCTCTCCACCTGTGTGTGGCCGTGGGAATGTCGTGATTACATCACGAAGTTGTACATAATATCACGTGTATGTTTGTGTGACGTTATCGTCCACGTAGCATTAGCCCTTTTGTTTGTTGTGATGGCTTTATGGTTTTACCTAGCTTCTTGATGATCAGAGATTAGAGTAAGTCATGTAGTACTGAATGAGAATTAATCCCAGTCCTTATGAAGTTAGTTATGTTGTGGAACTAAGAGAGTCTAGACTCTAGTCACAACAAACCTGGAGTCAGCGGAGGTCGTCAAGCTCCTCCGCGACCCGGTACATGCACAGTATAGGTGACATGTCGACACGAACGTGCGGAAACACAGCATACACTGTAGTAATGTTGCGAGAGTTTGCGGAAGGAGTCCAAGTCGGGAAATCCATCAGCTCCAAAAGCTACCTGTAGGTGGGCGATGAGACTCCAGCTTCAGACTACAACAGTCAGGACTTGTAAATAGTTGAACTTTGTGAAGCAGCAGATCGAGAAGTTAGCTGAAATCGTAGCTGTTGCAGTATGTCGGCGCTATGAAGCTTGCATTTTTTACGGAGAGTCGATCGCCACGCGAATGTTTCTCTCCTCACCGAGAGCTATCTGGCCTCCAAACTCCGTCAGGGTCTCTCTGAGGTACGGTACCGAAGGTCCTTTGACTAGCTGCTGGCAGGACTCCATCAAATCCTTTAGCTTCAGCTCGGCGAGCAAAAGTCTCTCTCTCCTCCGCCATGAGCTGACACACACAAACTGAATACAAAACGATGCACTTCACACGTGCTGGCTTGCACGCGTGCCCCCTTTCACGAACCCAGACAATCTTTTCGGGATTGGTCTATTAGATAGTCTATCACTTATCAGTTCAGACTCCTGAAAATCCAGGACTCACGAGATGCGAAGACCGAAAAGGCGAAATGCCCTGGCCCGGCCCCCTGCACCTAGTACCTGACGTGTGGCATTTTCAGTCCGCTATTTTCGACGGTCGGCCTGCACCGTTTTTTGTGTGTGTAGACATGGCGTTTTACAGTTCACGCGCTACATACATTGTAGATAGATCCAACGGCACTCGTATACGCGTACCCCCCAAACCCAAAATAATACCGTCGGTTTGGTACAGTTTCGACGATAGAAAGCTCTTTTTAGCGGGAGAACGAAACGGTCAGATTCCGACTAGGTTACCTCACAGAGTCACACGTCTATCGTTAACGCGTTGCGTCAGGAGTCAGGACTCAGAAGCCGAACTGCTAACCGTGTCTCGAAAACACATCAAAAACAGTAGACTCGCCCTCTACACGCCGACCGTCGAAAATAGCGCGAACGGTAAAATGCTAACCATGTCTGTGGGCCTAGCCTGTGGCTAATTTTTGAACCGGATCGCATACTAGTTCAAACTCAAAGGTTCTTTCTAGATGGCGACGAAAGGTCTGACAAGAGATCGAATGGAACGAAGGGACGACGGTCATCCGTGACATGGTCATCGCAAGCCTCTTCATAGACTCGATCCTGGCATAGGTACATGTAGATGAGCATACTATACCGGCCATGCCAATCGGATCTGGTTTACCGGTTCAAGATGTTAGTGGCGCTCATATCCAGATATCAGTGCACACTTGCTATCTGCTCGTGGATCTACATGTAGATCTATGAGTGGTGCTGACACTTGGCGGTCCGGGACCATGTATAGTAGAGTCGGCCAGGGAGTCGGCCAAGCTAGGCTCTGGGACCGTCCTTGGTGTAGACAGTAGTGCAGGCAGCGTAGACGTGTGGTTGCCTGTGACTTAGTGTGAGTATGACTGTATGAGTATGCAATGCCGTGGCAATGCCTCACATGGGGCACGGTGAGGGTGTGGAAAACTCGCATTGGGTTGAGGAAAACACTAACGGATACTTATAGCATGTAACAAGGTGGAGGACACCGACGGACGTCCGTGGATGGTTGTAGAAAGGCCTTAGCCTGCTTAGGTCACTGTTTCCGAACACTGACCGGTGTCCTCCACCTGTCCTAACGGACCTAAGAGCATGCAGTGTTGCCAACCGCCCGTATTTGTCCGTATTTTTACGGAAAAAAGAAGTTTTGTCCGCAGTACGGATTTCAATCGGATATCACGCAAACGATCATGTATATGATCAATTGCTAAACCTTCGTAACTCCATCCTTTGTTGTGCCAATTCAACAATCGAAGGATCTACGTGGCAGCCAAAACTCCAAGCTGTCCAATGCAACACTCACGGAAGCGTTATGATATCGGATTCCAGAAATATAGACCAAAGTTATGACCTGGTGAAGTTGAAAATTGTACTGAATTCGTAGGCTTCGCAAGTGAACTCTGTGGCTGGAAAAGTAATAGTTGTACAGTATCGTTTTTTCTTCCAAATTACACTAAATCAGTCAAATTGTTGACCTGAAAAACGAGTACGGAAAACTCTGAAAAATTCTGCAAAATGGCACTGGGCAGTATGGGGGTAGAGGGCACTTGGTAACACTGTAAGAGTAAGAGGCTAAGGCTAAGTCCTTGTTACATGCTGTCAACCAACAACAGCAACAACAAAACTCAAAAGTAACGTCGTTGCATGATGTAGCTAGTACTAGTGAGTAGTGTCGTGAGAATAGGCGGCCTTCTTGGCCTAGCTCCGGCTCCGTGACAACAGGTGAACACTCTGGTTGCCTTCACGACAGAACAGCAGCAGTCTAGGACGCGACATGAAACGACCTATAATATCACTGAATATGGGCCATAGCCATTAGTGTGACCCATGGCATAAGCCATACCGGTACTGCCATAGCAGCCATAACTAAGGCATAAGCCGAACTTCGAATGTCGTAAGTCATAGCTGACATGAGAGACACCACTGCTCACGACTAGACTGACGGGAGTGACGAAGCAAGGCAGGACCCGCTAGTGCTGGCAGTGGCACTACAATTATTTGTACTTCGACTTTGTAGGCTTTCAAAATCTTTTGATCCATGCGATCAGTGGCAATGTGTGCTACTAGTGGAGTAGTGGCGCTTCGCTATGGTGTGTTTGAATCCTCGTGAAACTTTGCTCCCTATTTTTGGTTGAATGTCATCCACGAGTAGATAAAGAAAGGATTCGTATGGACAGCGGCTACAGAATCGATGCCCTGATGTGAGTCAACGCACGGAGGGTAACTGGTTGGGTCAGCGGCAAGATAGACAGAGATGCCTCGCCTGGACGAGAAGCAGGTGAAGCCGCGTCAAGGAGAGCTGCTGGGAACACTGCCACAGCATATACCATGCCTTCTCGCAGAGTACAGCACATTCGAGCCTCCGCCCAGGGTGAAGAAGAGGCTGCACCGCCACGGGGCAGATGAGCCCAGCTCCAGGACGAAGCTACCCAAGCTCAACGACGATAAACAGGTTGGTAACACTCTCTCGTACAATGCCATTGTAATGATTATGTGCGAATGTTGCGACTTGGGTTCATGTACTTGGTACCCAGTAAGACGTGTGCGAGCCTGCTAAGTACCATGTCATACTATCAAGTATCATTCATAGTAACAAAAACAATGAATACATGGTGTATTGTACATAGTCATTGACTGACACGTGCAAACGCGTTACATCTCTGTGGTAGTTATACCGGTACATTAAAATTATTTACATGATGCCATACATTACAAACAAGACTAGGGCAGTTACAGTTGCAGTATGTTTAGCTAAATAAGTAAATAAGTTGTAACCTTTTTACTGCTTGTAGGAAGTAGGTTTTAGTACATCATGGGACTAACAATGAAGTCAGTCAATCAGCTCTCAGCTCACACGAGTCGCAATGCTGCGGCAACAGTCAGCGTAGTGCAAACAGCAGGGACTAGCATTCCACTGTGGAGAGCAAATGAAACGTTTCGCAATGTGCCCCCCCCCCCCCCCGACAGGTTCTACCGTAATAGTTACACCGACTAAGCTCAATCACTGGTGACTATTAGTCTATTGCTGCTCATTGAAATCTGATCATGTCACAGACTGTCAGATTTGTGCCCTGCACTACTCCACAGCCCAATGTACCATCAACTACATGTATACCCTGTTGCATCATGTGCAGCTGCTTACAATTGTAGTGCAATGGTATAAGTCTCGTGCCAACGAAGTACGTAGTCACTGTCGACTACTTACTGCATGGCAGTGTGCTAGTGTGAATGGTACCGGAATGACACGAGGGGATGACCTTACAGCCTTACAAGCCCGGATGATAATGGTGCTCCGATCAGGAACCTGAATTGCCCGCTTTGCAGGTTCTCCTTTCATGCCGGTGGTGGAGTCTCCACTACATGTACATATACACAATGATGCAGACAGCCAGACTGTTTCGGCCAATGAGGCCTCATCAGTGCAACTCCGAGCTTGAAATAGGATTGAACCGTCAGCCATGGCTACGAGAACCACAGACATTAGGACAGCTCGGTGTACTAGCGCTGAGGGTACTCAAGCTACCAGGCGCAGCGGGCAAAGCATAAAGCTAACCAGCGCAAGTGCGTCCTATTGAGAGTACATGTAGATACAGAAGACCCAATCACTCCTGGTGTGAACCGTGGCATGCAGTATCTATGTACAGTGTCTGCTCCAGCGCCGGGTGAGCCGGGTAATCCACCTGGTTGGGCGGCGCTTGGACCCGGTTGAAAATTGAATACCGGGTCACCTGTGACCCGGTTGGTACTGTCGAACTTTGAAAGGACTTACTACATGGCTTGTATGTGTCAGATACTTCTTCTTCTTTCGTAATTTTCTAAATGCGGCTTATCCATTCTCCTTTATATCATTGGGCCTAGTTCCTGTTTATTGTCCGAATTTTAAAATAAACCAACCAACCAGCCAAAGCATGTGACTCGGCTGGTGAGACAGTGCCAGGTATGTACATGTGTACCCGGCTCCGACCCGGTTGAAATGGTTGCGCCAGGTACACGTGTACCCGGCTGTCCTACAATCCTAGAGCAGACACTGATGTACATGTATGTGAATCAAAGCCTTAGTATCTATCGACAATCGTCTTTGTTCTCCAATAGCCTTGGACTCTGTGAGTCCTGACTCATCTATCTGGAGGATGCCACTGTACTGTAACAGGTCGTGATCATACATGTACATGTACTTCGAAGTAGTAGTTGTAGAGTGCATGGGTGGGGCCTTTAATATACTTATTACTACGGTTTTAGGGGAGTGGCTTCCTTCGTTGCTCCAGTGCATGGCTGCGGAGTCAAGCCATTTCTTGCCTTAGCCCCCCCCCCCCCCCCCCCCCCGCCATCGGCCCATGTGCAATATAAACTAGAAGGCAGACCATCAGTGAATGTGGCGCCGGTTAGGCTAAGGCTATTGAGTATTGAATCTCCGCTTGGTGCACCTGGCTCAAGCGAAGCCAAGGCCTTACACTATAATGCTGGCGTGTACTAGTTTGTAGTGCTTCCCAGACCCAGATCCCATCACTACTGACTGTGTATGCATGTCACAATTGGCAAGTGCGAAAAATTCGAACATCAAGTTCTTAAAATGGTCACAGCAAATACGGTTGTGTTGTCCAGCTTCTATAAAAAATAGAAGAAAATAAAGAGACGCAAATAATGAACCATGGCCATGGATATGGTCACGTCGTAGTAAGTGAAGTAAAAGACTTCTTCAAAGCAAAGAATGAACAGGAGAATGAATCGTCCATGCCGGAAAGTGGAAGTGGGCAGACTGATTCGTCATTCCAGTGGTGGAGTGCCGTGAACTGGACGTCGACATAGGACATGTAGTATCTCTAGCTCTATCAGTATCACTGAACAGTCATCACACAACCTCCTGGTATTACTAGCTACTTGTAGTTCACATGTACATGCTAAGTGCTTCTCCCAGCAAACACTTACTTTGAAGTAGGACTACTAGACAACCCTGCTTGCAGACCGGTACAGCTTGACCTATTGCATTCATGCTCATTACATTGATTCCTGTGTAGTCTGTTCCCCCTCACTGACCCTTTTGATCACTTGCGAGATGCCTTCCCGATTGTATGCATCCAACAGGTTACAGCTTTCTTCCCCGAATCCATGTTATTGATCAGCCCTAGCTCACACACATTCAAATGCCTTTTCCTTAGATCTTCCAACAGTTGTCTTCCTAGTAATCTTTATGCCCCATTACCCGGCCTGCCATTCACATTAGTTTCCTCCATACTTTTAGATTGCATTCCTGTTGCATAAACCTTGCTCGCCACTTAGGTCCATTCATCCTCCCACACTGTTTCGAGTCCCGTTGTCCTCCTGCTTTCTTTTGCCCTCACTCCCAGCTGCTCTCTCTCCCTGGCCTATATAACCCGCTGATTCTTCTCAGTTCTTTGTGGAATTGATTTCGAGAGTAAAGAGTTGTGAAGCCTCAGAGCTTGCAAGTTCCTCCGGCTAGTGCTGTCAGCCTGTTACACTTTCTGTATAAGTCCAAAGTGCTTCAGACACGAACAGGTTGGCAGACACTACATTGGTGTCAGAAGTGGGATAGTGTAGTTCACAGACACTACATTGGTGTCAGAAGTGATTCGTACCTTACGTGCTTTGTTATATTCTCTGTATTCCGTAGTCCCCGTCCTTTCCTTTGTTTCCTGACCTCTCATCCATTACGTAGTTCTCGAGTATCATTAGTATGGCTCAGCAACAACAACAACCCGCTCAGGCTGCCCCGGCTGCTCCTGCCCCCGCTGCTCCTCGTTTCTGAACCCATGACGACCTGAGAACGATGCAGAATCCCGGTTCGTCAGTCCATCCATACAGCAGATCGACGCTGTCACGTACGCATTTCGGCAAAATGGATCACCATCATCCTTCAGCGAGTTCCCATGCCCTCCGGTATGTCCCTGGACTACAGCCACCGGTATATGTACGACCCAAGCGACGTCGGCCCTTTCGTCTTCGCCCATATTGCCGATACTGCAAGCAGATTGGCCATGCCATAGCTTATTGCTATCGTCGTCGCGATACACGGCACATCTTCCCTTCAACCCAGGTATGTCACCATTCCTGCTGTATCCCTACTCAATCATCAACCCGGTCAAATGCAACTGTTACTAGTACACATGCTACCCCTATCGTGCAAGCAACGCCGCGCATTATGCAAACTCCCCCATCCAGCAGTAGTTTTCATTCTGTTCTTATGCTCCTCGCTGCCCTATCCCTATCACTAACTCGTTCTGCTGCCAAAGTTGTTCCCCTGCTAACATCTCTCACATTTAGTTTGTTTGCTACACTACACGCTATACACAAGGCCCTCCACGTTCCTTCAGCCACTCCATCCCACAGACAATCCCACTCCCAGTCCCCGTCACACCATTCGATCAACAGCCTAGGACTCACAACCCTCCATATACCTTCCTGTCCATCCAGATACATGCAGTACACAGTTCTAGATCGCCCAACATTCCGTCCCACTGACACTCCCCTACAACCGCTTTCTCCCCGGTCTGACCACAAAGTGTCCTAGCCTTTTCGTTACCCATCCCGATCATGTCCACCCCGTTCCGACCAAGCAATCAGTTTCAGACCCCAAATACAGTATATCCCGCAAGCACGCACTCCAATAACCAGTACAAGTAACAATGATTAAACCGCCACATGGTGAGCGAGTCCTTTCCGGTTGAACCGTCCCAGAGAGACGAGAGTCAAGAAGTATTACCGTCCACAATAAGAGTGACGCGATGGAACACGTCCCTTGTACCGTCCAATACATGTATTGAGACGCGAACACATACATGTACATTTTCCAGCTTCACAGAGAGGCAAATCCTTCACACATTTTAATTTACCTTTGTCTGTCTTTTCACGTACACCCGTTCCGTAGACACGAGGACGTGTCTCAACGGAGGAGGGGCGAGTGTAGTATCTCTAGCTCTATCAGTATCACTGAACAGTCATCACACAACCTCCTGGTATTACTAGCTACTTGTAGTTCACATGTACATGCTAAGTGCTTCTCCCAGCAAACACTTACTTTGAAGTAGGACTACTAGACAACCCTGCTTGCAGACCGGTACAGCTTGACCTATTGCATTCATGCTCATTACATTGATTCCTGTGTAGTCTGTTCCCCCTCACTGACCCTTTTGATCACTTGCGAGATGCCTTCCCGATTGTATGCATCCAACAGGTTACAGCTTTCTTCCCCGAATCCATGTTATTGATCAGCCCTAGCTCACACACATTCAAATGCCTTTTCCTTAGATCTTCCAACAGTTGTCTTCCTAGTAATCTTTATGCCCCATTACCCGGCCTGCCATTCACATTAGTTTCCTCCATACTTTTAGATTGCATTCCTGTTGCATAAACCTTGCTCGCCACTTAGGTCCATTCATCCTCCCACACTGTTTCGAGTCCCGTTGTCCTCCTGCTTTCTTTTGCCCTCACTCCCAGCTGCTCTCTCTCCCTGGCCTATATAACCCGCTGATTCTTCTCAGTTCTTTGTGGAATTGATTTCGAGAGTAAAGAGTTGTGAAGCCTCAGAGCTTGCAAGTTCCTCCGGCTAGTGCTGTCAGCCTGTTACACTTTCTGTATAAGTCCAAAGTGCTTCAGACACGAACAGGTTGGCAGACACTACAGGACACAGACATGATAGCTAGCGGCGCTACATTACTACTACTGTGCTAGTAAATACTGTACAGCTGTACTAGCCGCTGCATGCTGCGCTGGCGCGATGCGCATTGCACGCACGCTACTCGCACGAGGTGAACCATACGTTGCCATGGCGAAGCTAACAACGCTTCGTACGGCTTGGACTTGGAGTTGGAGTCATGACCGGGACTTTCATCAGTTTCAAAAGCACTCGCCTCTTGTTCAAAATGCAACCGGATTCGACCAATCGAAAGGGTGAATCCAGTGGATCTGTGGCAAAGGCAGAAAAAGAAATAAAACTCTGAAAGTAAAAGCTGTAGCAAAAGGCCCGCAGCTGCATCCATGCAGCAGCCTCTTCCTCGAATTCCTTTCCGTCAATGTTATTTTGATGACTTTTAGTAGTAGTCGTGGGCTTCTACGAATCCCCTCTACCTTCTTGCTATCTGTTCGGAGAGGCATGCTTCGTGCACGGTGCTGTGAGAAATATTCGCTTGCAAGGTACTGGTACCTAGTTTACTTGCGTTGAAATTGTTTCTAGGGAAAGAAAGAGTTTCGTTGGACAGTTCAATCACGAGGTTTCTTAAAAAAAACTCCCTGGTCCGACTATTCTCAACTGTTTTTGCATATTTTCGTGTGGGCATATTTTGTTTTGTTTTTGATGTACATGACAGTATACACATGCCTTGTAGATCTAATTTGGTGAAAGTATCTACATCCACACATCATTGACGATCTGCACTGTACGTGCATTCCTACTGCCGTACCGTAATGGTACATTGTACAGTACCAGAGCACAGTGTCACTTCCAATGTATTCAAGTGAAACATTAGTGTGCAATCCTGCAGTGACCGGCTCACTATGTAGAAGAGTACTATCCCTGCTTTTCTTCGTCCTTTTTGTGCTTAGAAATCTTCCACCAGGAAAGCAGCCAGAAATGGCTCACCTTCCCCTTCCCCTTCGCATCAGCCTGCTGGTATATCCACAGGTCCACAGGACATGCAAGACTTATGGAAGCCCACGCCACCGGACAAGTGGACGCTGCCCAGCAAGGCACAACATGAGCTGTTTGCACCGGAGAGCTCACGTGTCACTCACCTGCCACCGCTGGTGCACGTGGAGAAGAAGCCGAAAGCACAGGGTGCGGCGCGGACGACACCCGTCAAGAGGAGCAGAGTAGTTCCTTCGTCATCGTTCGGGCAAACCGGAGACAGCCCAGGACAAGTGAGATCCACAGTAATTAGACCCCAGGCTGCAGTGTCAACTGAAGCAGCCAGCTCTACAGCTGTTACTGCATCAGCGGTGGTAGATAATGTTGGTGACTGTACAGATAACAGCCCTGACGCAAGGCGAGCTGCATATCCTCAGCCGCCAAGACGGCCCAAGGACAAGCCAAAGTCCGATTTTGACGTTATGAAAATGGTCAAGAAAATCCAGACGGACCCAGACTTTGAGTTCAGTTACGTTATTCCAGCTGTTGACAAAACTGCGCTGGATTATTCACCGTATAACTTGAAGTAAGGAACAGTGTATTTGAGTTATGGTCTTATCTCTGGTTCTTGGAGCAATGATTCTGAAGATATTCTTGCTTCTTTTCCAGTTGTACATGTACATGCATGTCAAACCTTTCAGATCTGGATATCAGAAAGAGAAATGAAAAGATAATTAGTGCAGATCATGAGGGATAAGACAGAAGGGAACAGACAAGGGAACAAATGGGTAATTGCATTTACGAAAGTGACAGAGTCCAGGGCGTACCAAGACATGTGTGCTTGACCACCTCACTGGCAGCACTCGCTTGTAACTAATTTACTTCATCTCGTACAGTTTGCATGACAAGTCCATCTGTCATGCATGAGACCCACTTCACATGCCCCACATACAGAGTTTGGAACTGGGAGAACGCCTGCAGAACATAATAAATATAATATGCAGAGTGCTGGTTTTGGACCAGTTTTACCTGGCTATGATGAAATGATAACTTTTGATTGACATCACTGCTGTTTCACCTGCTTATTTTCTGCAGGGAAGTGGATTTCTCTGGAGTAAAGTCTCTCAAGGAATACATGACTTTCACTGCGCAGGGTGTGATGAAGTACGGAAAGGACCCGCCTGAGTTTGAGCCGCTGGAGCAGTGGCGACGCGAGTACGACATCTACGCGGCGATGATGCAGAAGGGCACGTTCCGACAGTACAGGCTGCGCAAGTGCTTCCACGCCTGGCACAGGCACACGAGACGGATGTGAGTAGCCCGCTGTGCAACTGCTGCCAGGCTCAGAGTATGCATAGTGGCGTACGGTGCAGGGTGCTAGAAGCATAGCGTGCTGTAGCTTATCAAGTCTTGAATGATGCTTTATGTAGCTTCGTTGTAAAATGTCCCCGATGATGGTAATGACCGAAATATTGAAACATTTACCTGAAGAATGCTTTTCATGTTTGAAATGCAGCTGTTGAGTGTTTGGTCAGTGTTGATTGCAACTGTAGCTCATTCTGTATATTCTCTGTGGGATGTGCAGAGATTTTTTCAATTTGTTTGTGTTTGAAGGGTGTTGAACCCGAAGGTGTGATGTAAGAATCTGTTTTACATAATTCTATCCTAGCTGGAGCTGGCTCTTGTCTTAGATCTAGATGTCGGTGCGTGATGTCTGTGCATTTGTCGATTGGCTGTGTAGGCGCTTCGAGAAGTTGAAGGAAGAAATGAGCCCACGGCTGTTCGGGAATGATGAGGTAACTGTGTGCATTGAAATGTGGGATCTAAATTCATATCTAGGTATGCATTTTGAGGTGGTTTTACTCAGGGTTAAGTGAATTTTTGCATGGATGTGCCACTTGACCTGTTGATTACACTGAGCTCAAAATCTCCTCTCCATTTCTCATATTTGGCGCTAGTCGCATTTTGCATCTTTTAACTCTTCGTCTGCACTGTTACTTTGCTCTGTGTGTGTTTTGCTGGTGATTACGGTATTGGGGTAGCTTCTCGGACACACTCTTCTCAGGCTGCGTGGATACTGCTTTGATATCAGCCAGTTGCAGCTGATCAAGCTCAAACCAGACCACACGTACAACCTGGAGGAATTCCTAGAAGAGCAAATCAAGCAGCTGAAGAAGGTAATGCTTTTGTGATACATGCTGTGCCTGGTTTCCTGCTTTGTTGACCCGTTTTTCTGGTGATCCCGTTAACTTGTTGTCATTCCCAGTAACAAGTCTAAGAGATACAATAATAATAATACTGTAAGCTTTTCTGCAGTTCCAGGGTGTGCTAGGAACAAACCACTTTGTTGTTGTGATCGTTGCACGCAGGTGGAGGGTCGCCTGTCAGAGTTCATGCAGTACGTGCGCATTGCGGTGCGTGCCGCGTGCCAGGAGACACTGTGGAGGGACGGTTTCATGGCCGACACTTACATGGTGGAAGTCAATGGGCAGTTTGCCCTTCTAAACTGTGAGTTCACGAAGCCCGCACACTACTCTTGGGGTTCACAATGTACAGTGTATACATTAGGGGTGAAACGGTTCGGGTAAGGAACCGGTTTTGGAACCGCCAGCTGAAAAGAATCGGGTACCCGCTTCGTCAAATTTCGAACCGAAACTCGAAAAATCTCGTTCTTGTACAAATACATTGTACACGTCGTCTACTCAAGATTTTAAATGTCTTACCTTACGATCCCGACTCTTCCAAAGAGTTCTCTGGTCATTATCTTCTTCGCACTTGGACTCTCCGATGTCTCATTCTTGCTCGTAAAAATGGTTTTTTCTAAAAAATAATTGTCGCGAATGCATTTTGTCGGTCTGGAGAAAAGAGTGCATGGAACCGATACCCGAACCGTGGGAAACAATGCTGGCATTCGGGTACCCGAACATGAAAAACATGGAACCGTTTCACCCCTAGTATACATGTTCTACCGTATTATCTCTAATATAAGCACAGTCTCCAATAATAGCACGTCTCCAATAATAGAACACCTTGGGGCGGCATTCAAAAAATAAAGTGCTCAGTCTCCATTATAAGCACACTGTGTAAATTCATTATCTGTACCGGCGAAAAAACCCCTGAAATATGTGTGTCATACATGAATTTGGCATGGCAACATGCCTCTGAAATGAGGTTGAAATAATAATGGAACAGTCTCCAATAAAGGAACGTCTCCAATAATAGCACGGGGCGGAGGTACATTGAAAAAATAAAGGACCGTGCTTATATTAGAGATAATACGGTAGTTTCTGGGTATGTACTGAAGAGCAATTACCACCAACCTACTCTACTCCGCTGCAAAGCACTTTTAAAGGTTGAAAGCCACGGTACTTTAATGGTTAGTTTCACGACTTACTCGAGAGCCAGGTCGACGACTCACTAGACTGACCTTTCCACAGCTGTATATGTATATACACCATTACTACCATCAAGAATCAAGGCATCTGGTGCTATGCGTGTGTGTGTTCTATTGTGGTTTGCTCAGCCGAGGATGCAACGGAGGTCTTGGCACGGAAAGAAGGCGGCAGAAACCCTGCTGCCGGCATGACCGATGGAAGCACGGCACCTGTCCAGATTGAGCGTCCCAAAATCCAGCGTGGCGAGCCTGATGTGCCTGAAGGCGTTGACCCGATCAATGGTTCCCTTTTTCAGGAGAAGAAAAAGTATCTGTGTGCCCGATTGACAAGGTGAGCCGAAGTGATTTTCTTGACATACGTATCACTGGCCCTGCTGTTGCACTGTGATCAGAACTTCTTGTTTTCTTTGTCCATGCCTTGTTATTGGTATGTCCAGTGGTTCCAGATGGATGCTAGAAAATTTTTTTTAACCGGTGTGTTTGGTGCTTGTGTATGTGTGTGTGCGTACACAAGCGCGCGTGCGTGTGTGTGTCTGTGTGTCTGCATGTGTGTGTGCCTGTGTGTGTCTGTATGCTTGCATCCATGCACACTAGGTTCATTCAACTGTGCGACACTCACATTCTCACTACGATGCACAAGTTGGTGTACATAGCGATCGAGGACCTTTTCACGACGCTAAACAGTTTGCTGTTGGAGCCAGGCACCACCTTACCTGAGCCCGCACCTGGTGTTAGCTTTGGTGGAGATGTGAGTTATTGTTGAGCATATGTCTACTGATATGGTCCGTTCTAAAAGGATGCTTTTTCGTGCAGCACTGTTACAGTACAGTGCATTATGCTACCCAGCATTGCTGAAGGGTTTTTAAGGAGCAAAAGCTGCATAAGAACCACGGATCACCTTTAGTGCCCACTGCGTGCATGTCCGGTGTAGCTGCTGATGCTGGAGCCCATAGAGCTTGGGCACCTGCTTGGCCAAAGAGAGGCGCTTGGGTGGGGACTCATGCACTGCAATTCCAGCCAGGTGCCGGATAAGATTGGGACTGAAAGTCAGAATGCCGACTATGTCCTGGACGTTGCAGTTGACTGGGGTGTTCAGCACGCCATACCTCAAAGTAGCGAATATAATTTATTCCCGTAGCTATGCAGAAGACGTTACTTCAGTAACGTCTGGCGCTAGCCAGGGTCCACACAGCTTTAATTTGGTGTTTGTTTGTGTGTTTGTTTGTGTCACGCCTGGCGCTATCCGTATCTGACGGCAAAAAAGCATAGGATGTTATAAATTTTTCAATTCTCCTTTTTTTTTCAGGCATATCCTGGGATTCGAACCCGCACTATCGCCCTACATGCATTCCCCCATACACTTCGCATGCATACCCATTCTTCCAAGTTGCTTTACGTTATTATCTTGCGTTTGAAAGCCCTATTTGAATATTGCGGGCAGCTGTATGTGGCCAGCTGTGTTTGATGGTACGGTACGGTAGACGGTGTCGTATTACCCTCGATCGTACCTGTCCCGTCCCTATCCCCTACCGTACCGTGCCATCAAAGACGACTGGCCACAATGCATATTCAAATAGGGCTTTCAAATGCAAGATCACAATGTGAAACAACTTGGAAGAATTAGTATGTATGCGAAGTGTATCGGGGGATGCATGCAGGGCGCGATAGTGCGGGTTCGAATCCCAGGTTATGTCTTTAAAAAAAAGGAATTTTTTAAAGAATTTATAACATCCCTATGCTTTTTTTTTGTCTAGGTCATCAAGGCAAAAAAGCATAGCGTAGGGCCCTGAGCTTCCAAGCTCTCTCGTTGCAGCAACATCAATTACATCGTTACGAATCCTTTCCAAGACTTCCTGGTTCTTCGTAGCGTGCATTGTATTTCAATCAGCTGGTCGAATGTGTCGACACCGCCCATACCGCGACACACCGTGGCTGAGCAATGTCAACTTGTAGAAAGTGACCCTCTGCATCTTTTGGTTTTCCTCAAAGCCATGATGGTATCGTTTCCTCTGTGGATGGAGGAGAGAACTGAAACCCAACTTTTATCCTTCCCTTGCAGATACAACCCATCCTCATTACGAATATAGTAGATCCCTTCGCGATCGGCCTCCGTTCGAACTGCTTCGAGTCGGCTTTCATTTCCGCAGGAATTCAACGTAGATTCTGTCGTATTGTGCCGACACCGCTCACGTTCAGGGAACCTTCAGAGATGTCAGTAATGTTTCAGAAGTGTGAGAACCATCGCACTACACTACATGGTGTTAGTACTAGTAGTAGGCTAGATCTTGAACTGAACGTATGATCACATCATGCGCAAATCCACCCCCTACATTGCCCTGGCCTTCCAAGTCACATAGGATGGCACTTGCTCTGTTGCAGAGGGCAAACGCCTTGAACACCCATTTAGTCGGCTTCACTGGTATGTACTGAATAGAAGACGCTCGTCTCCGCCCTCGCAACGGATCATCCGTTAGTCTACTGCGATGTTCTGTGAATAGTCTACAGCACTATGTGCGAAAATGCTCAATCAGATGACACACTTTTCGATACTGCGGGTTTTCTGTGGTACGGTCCACGGCCTTCAAGAAGGACGTCAGAGCCATGAATCGTTTGTGAGATGGCATCATGAGCCTGGCATAGCTACCAGTGATACTAGTGGAAAGTGCCTAGGGGTATAGGAGAGAAGCAATAGGGTCTGCCGTGGCAACTGCAGCACAGCAGATAGACGAAGATAAAGGCACCGTTCCTACAACAACGTGTAGAACAATGCTAGGCTGTGCCTTGAGCCCCACCGTTCTTCGGCGGCCGATCTTACTGGAGTGCAAGAAGCTTGTAAATTTCTCAACTGGTTGTTGCCGTGCAGCTCATCTTTGTATTTGTAGGAGGGATGTTCGTCGATGTCAGCATCAGCATAGGCAATAGTAAAATTGGCGACGTTTGCCACGATTTCAGGCGCAAACAATCAACTTTCAGGAAAATCATGCCATATGGAACGATGCCCCGCAAAGGGTTAACTAACAATAACTACCTGTACAACAGTAGATTGTGAGAGTTGTGTGTTTTTGTGTCTCACCGGTATCCAGGGAGTGGAAGGAAAAGCTCCAGCCTTGCGTAGCCTCCTGTCCACAAGTTCTGCCGGTGGGCTCTCGAGGTCCTCATCACAACTTTCGGTAAGTGGCGGACGAGTGTGCGTGTGTGTGGGTGTGCGTAGGTGCGCCGTGCGCCGTGTGTGTGTGTTTGTGTCATACGTGTCGTAATCATTCCGAGCGCTTGTAGGAGACTGTGACGTTACTAGTGTGATCATGTGTGCGTACTGCACTACACCAATACACAGCTTGGAATACAAAGTAATTTCAAAAATATAACATAATATACTGACCGACCAACCCTGCTATAAAGAGAAGTGGATGATCTGAAACAGGCAATTCAATTTGAGTGGCCCCGCCGAAAAGTCTGAAGTTACTAGTTTATGGATTGTTGTCAAGTTCTTCATTGGACATGGACTGCATGTGATTGCTGTGATGGCCGAGTGGTTAAGGCGTTGGACTTGAAATCCAATGGGGTCTCCCCGCGCAGGTTCGAACCCTGCTCGCAGCGTTGATCTTCCTTTTCTTTTTTTTCTTCATTTTTAGCGGAATGTTATGATTACCAAAGAATACTCCAATGTCTGTTTTCGAAGAGTACACAACAAATTTAAAATAGCTATTAAAAAATAGGGTGTGAAAAGGGTGCTATATAATATAGCTATTGTCATATTTTGACGAAAATGAGTTTTGCTGCCTGGTTCGACAAAATCGGCTCAGTCAGTGCTCTAGGAAAAGGGGTTAAAATTAGGATATGGTGAAAAGGAGAAGGACAACATGTTACGGGTTATGACTAACTGTCCACCAACGTAACCAGATCTTATACAGTCAGCGAGTGCGACAAAATGGCACAAAACTGACAAGGAGTACTGAGACATTCGGCGACCTTGTACTCCTTGTCAGTTTTGTGCCATTTTGTCGCACTCGCTGACTGTATAAGATCTGGTTATGTTGGTGGACAGTTAGTCATAACTCGTAACATTTTGTCCTTCTCCTTTTCACCATAATTTAATTGGCTCACCATCCGAGTTGAATATTAAGTTAGTTAACTTATTATCTTTCTGTGACACACTTGGTGTTTTGCCTTGATTGTTGATTCTACAGGGAAGCAAAACGAATCTGGCTTCACCTTCGCGAAGTCGCTTGGGACCACCCGGCTCTGGTCGGAGTAGTCGTAACCAGGCCAAAGAGGAAGAGAAGGAGGAGGACAAGAAGACCCCTGTGTTTGTGACTGAGGTTCACTTGAGCGGGAACAACCTCGTATTGATTCCTAACTGCGAGCAGTTTGTACACTCGCTGTCTCAGGTCATCGCTCAGATGCGGTCCACGGTCAAGTGTGCAGATCCCTTGGTATCCAACCAGCATTTCCAGGCATTCACACAGTAAGGAGTTCGATTCTTCTGGATTGCAACATGCTTGTCGATTAGTACAGCGAGTTACAACATTCACCCTGGTAGCCGCTTGAGCCTTTCTGAGTAGATTTAGTCGCCTCTGGGAAATAGTGTAGTGTTTTGGGGACAACAGTAGGATGGAATACCCCCCCCCCCCCTCCCTCTACCCTCCCTCTGCTTACTCTGCTGATTTCATCCTCGAATTGTTCACTAGCAGTCTCCTGTACTGAGAGAGAACACAAATGCTGGACATGCTTGGGTTTCGTTTTCGTTGACATACCCATCGTCCACAGTAAGCATTGATCTCTTCCCTATTGTTACATCATCAGTGATCTGGTGATGTGCTCAAGAGGCTGACAGGGATAGGTGTGACTGGTTGCATTTTACTCTCTCTCTCTCTTGCTCTCCCTCTTGCGCTCCCTCTCCTCCTCTCCTCCTCATGATATGTGTATGCATGTTTCCTTGCAGACCTCTTATCGATAATTACCAGGAGATTGACGAGCCACCTGCTGCACCGGACTTGCAGCGCATGTTCACTGACGATGCAGGCATGAGTACCTTGGAAGAGTCGGTGTCAGTAAGTCTATGAAGGGATTGATGGTTCTATTGCTCGTCCTTGAGCGCTTTTTATCGGCCCACGTGCAGGAATTAGTTGCGCTTGGCGTTTCCGGAAGTATTTATGTCAGACTGAATTTCAATTTAGAAATCAATGACTCAATCTCCGGACAGCTAGCTGTTTCGACCTTGGTAGGTCTCCTCAGCAGAGCTCAGAGTTACTGGCCAAACCGATCGCAAAGAAGTCTAAAGAACGACAAAGCATCGAATCAGAAACCAGTGACATACTATATTCACTTGTTGGCATTCCAGAGTATAATGTACAATTCAACTTTATTATTATAATAGTAGAATTTGACGTTCTCCCAATCCTTTCAAGCATTAATAGTATATGTTGGATATTTACTGTGCATGCAAGAGGTGTGCATGCCATGCGCTAATAGGCAATGGTTTAGCCGTTGCTACTTTGCACTGTAAGTAGAATACATGATGTTGGAACATTTACCATACGTTGTCCTGTGTTGCACTGCCAGAGCTGCTTCCGAAGTGCCTTCAAAACCCTAGCTCGGTACAAGCAGAAGTTCACCCCGTTCCTCGAGTTCTATCACTTCAATCGGGGACGTGATCTTGAAGGCGAACTGAAGGAGGATGGACAAGGCAAGTGTTTGGGTTTTTGCCATGAACGTATCTATTGCTATGAATCTGCACACAGTGTCACCAGTACGTTGTCACAGAGTTGATTGATATCACAGGGGTCCAGTTTGCACAACTGTTCGCTGTCACTCTGGTATGCATGTAACATTACAGATGTGAAGTTGGGTTTGTAGCTGATATCCTGAAACCCATGCAGGAGTTTTAACCCCATGGATTTTATAAAGCAGTTCCTAACCTTGGCAGTGTATCAGGTTTTTCAGGCCTTATTTCACAGAAAGGCCACCCCGAATTCAAAATTCGGCACTTCTTGCCGGTGAGTTTATAATTCCTCTTCCTCTTTGGTATCTTTTCTATTACAGAAATCGATTTCTTCCGTGAATGCCTGAAGAGCTATGATCTGCAACATAGGCAAGCGCTTGCCCTGGAGGAGCGAGTTCCAGTCGGCATGATGTGCGTAGACAGCTCACACATGCGCGGTGCGATCGTCCCGTCGCCGAAGAAATGCCTCGACGTGAGTAGAGTAGAGCGTAGGACCGGCTTGGTAACATGTTGAGCAGCTTGAGTATCTGCAAGATGTAGTATTAGTATGCTGTGTACACCGTAGGTTAGCTACCGTATTTCCCCGATTGTAAGTCGCACCCCCATTTCCAGGTCCATGTCATATCGTTTCAGTATATTCACTTCAGTAGTAAATCATGCTCGATTGTAAGTCGCACCCCTTTGTTGGGAATGAAGTTTAGTGTAAACAATGTGCGACTTATATTCGGGGAAATACGGTACTCAGTGATCACCAGGGTAATCACACTCACTGCGTTACTGTCTTCCTTCTTCATTTGTTTCTACTTCTGTCTGTTGCTATCCACAATCCCCACACGTGCTCCACTGACAGACTATCCACTATGTGATGCCGCTGTTGGCACGGTCGCGTCTGAACGCCGTGGCCGACTTTACAGCCCGTGCCGCTACCTGGATGGAAATGAAGCCGTCCAGCACGACCGAGCTTGTTGATTTCCTCACTTACCTGGAGAAGGTGGAGGGAGATGTGAGTGACTAGTCCTGGTTTGAATTAGTGGTGTTCCAAACTTGAGAGCTGACTGATCAAAAATCTGGGTTTGGGATCTGCTTCTCCACACATTTTGCCATGGCATACCTGTCCTGATTTTGTAAAACCTGGCTGAATTTCTATTTCCCTGTTCTTGGACTTTTCTGGCCTCAAATGTGGCAAAGAGTAATTGCACGGGTCACACAATGCAGGATGCACTGTTGTTTTTTACGATATCTACAACTATGTGCGTGAGACACCAAAAAGTTAGGGTGCCAGTTTCCAATGAATGGACTGTAGTGTTGCTGGAGTAACGATGTGGCCACGGCAGCATGCGATATAGAAATATTGTCTATTCACATTCATTGTCTATAGGCTTGAGAGATGTGTTTTGTTGCAATCGTTCATGACAGGAGTGAATTGCAGTTCTGTGATAGCATGGTTTGCAGAGCAGTATGAAACTGAGTGAGAGCCACCCAAGCACAGGTGTTACGCGGAGACAGAATGTCAACTAGTATTATGCCTTGCATTATCCTTCTCCAGATCGAGTCACAAGAGACCGAGGCACGATTCATCACGGCGCTGTACGACATGATTGAAGAGTTCAGCGTACCGGCAGACCCTGAGGATGTTGCTGCGTACCAGGTGAGAGAGAGAAAGAGAAAGAGAGAAAGAGAGAGAGAGAGAGAGAGAGAGAGAGAGAGAGAGAAAGAGAGAGAGAGAGAGAGAGAGAGAGAGAGAGAGACAGACAGAGAGACAGACAGAGACAGACAGAGAGACAGACAGAGAGACAGACAGACAGACAGACAGACAGACAGACAGACAGAGAGATTAATAACATGCCATTGCCGTATTGAAAGGATCACCGCAGTGATGGGAGTATGATGTCGTTGTGTTAGGTGTATCAGATGTTTGTATGCGTGGTTCTTAGTCCTGTACATGTACATGTAGTACTGATCACCACCAGCATGTGCAGGTTATATTGGTAACTGTTTTTATAGTGTGTTGTGCAGTAGTGAGGATAGAGGCGTGTTGCTAGTGAATGAGCTGCACATCATCTTGGTACTGTTTGTGAAATTGCATTTCCTGGTGCGTGTTGTGCGTGTATGCGCGCCGCGTGTGTGTGATCTTCAGACGATGAGGCCCAATCTGCTGTCGGTGCATTCGGATATTGACAAAGCAATCGCAGAGCGTGCCGCCACGACAAGCAAGCTGAGCAACAGTCTGGATGCGGACATTGCTGAGCTTGGCAAGGAGGTGGTGGAAGTCAAGAACCAAGTCCAGGTAATTACTCTTCACGTTGTAGTATCCGGGTTCTTTAGCAATTAGGATACTATTGTATTAGTGATTGACAAGCAAGATGAAAGAGAAACATTTTGTTAAGGTAGGAACAGCAGACTCCAATCGTAAGAGGTACTGCGCAGGTTGCGTACATGTGGCGGTACACACAACTTGTGTACACATAACGTAAGGGTTACACATGCTCAAGAGTTAATGCATACTGCATTGCATGATACGATACCCGTTGCCTGTCAAACATAATTCACAGTTTGCACGAGACTCCGACTTGAGTTTTCCGCATCCGCAGCAACGCCACCACCCTCTTGGATCAAAGCGCCTATCAACTTACTGCTAAAGCCATTGTTTCCACACTTACGTTTCATACACCTTTTCTGGCCTCTTTCATTGTGAGCATACTTCAAGCACATGTACAATGTATGTGGAATAGTAAGCGGAGTGGTTGACATGGAGAACCTCCGTTCTAGTTGGCGTGTACATGTACTGGTGTTTTCTTTTTCTGTTCTCTTGTAATACAGTATGGACGTGGACATTGTTATATGCGCGGTGTGTCTGACGTTACGTGCACGTTGTTATCTGATTTTTGTTCCTGTGACTCTCATGGGATGTCCGTGCCGCATCTGTCACTCTTGTTGCTGTTGCAAACATGTGTTTCTGCCTTGGTTGTGTTCTACTTACAGAACCCAATGATCTTGGACATCACCGAGGACCAGCAGAAGGTCCAGAACTTCATCAACGAGCTGAACCAGAGAACTGAGGCACTCAATCAGAAGGCACAGTCCTTCAAGTCTCACCAGAAGAAGTTCCGAGTAAGTTATTGCAAGTGCCTGGGGCAGCATTGGGAATTCTGGTGGTTCAAAGGCCAGGAAAAAGGTTTACTGGCGTGAAATGGTGTTGGCACGTGTCAAGTAGCGATTTGCGTTCCTGTTTGTTGCGGAGAGACTGTAAACAGGTATGTTTGTCATGAGTATGGTCGGCGTAACTAACTGAAGCAGCCCAGAAATGTCAAGGTGTGTATGCAGTGTGGAGTAGTTCCTTTGCAACCTCATGCCTTGTGTGGCTAACTTACTGGTGCGTGTCGGCATGTTTGTCTGCAGCTGGAAGTGACACGCTATGAGGAGCTGGAAGACCTTGTTGCAGAGGTGAAGCTCAAGCAGACCATGTGGAATGGCCTGGATGACTGGGCCAAGATGACCAAGGACTGGTTTCAGGTGAGCGCGCGCACTCAACTCTTAGTTATCATTGTCTATAGTCTTAGAGCAGTGTGAAACAGATTTGGGCCACAGCCAGCTAAAACATTTCTTAGCGTGAAAATTTTCAAATTTTTTTATTCCAGAAATTTGTCACTTTGCTGGCCAGTTGCTTGAACTAGACCGCCAAAAAAGCGTGAGAGCGAAGTTCGACAAGATGATGTCGCCACCGGTTGATGAATGAAGCACAGCGTGAACGCGCTTGACGAAAACAATTTTCCATTCCGTCGTGTCTCAAGATAGTTACGAAACCCAAAGACATGTTTTAACTGACCTCAGCCCAATGTTGTTGTGTCTACACACACTCACATGGTGAATCACTTATACACGAGACTGTGTTCGGTGTACTGTTGCTGCTTGCAGTGCGACTTCAAGGATCTTGTTCCCGATCAGGTGTCCAACACCACGACACGCTATGCCAAGATGGTCTTCCAGCTCGAGAAAGGCTTGCCACCAAACACAGTTGTGCCCAAGCTGAAACAGGCCGTTGAAGATATGAAGGACAAGGTAAGATAGGTGATTGGTGACTGTAGATATGAAGGACAAGGTAAGATAGGTGATTGGTGACTGTACTGCTGAGTGCTGATAGTATTACTGTTCCCTGTGTGCGTGTGTATATGTATGTGTGTGCCCGTGTGTGTGTGCCCGTGTGTGTGTGCCCGTGTGTGTGTGCCCATGTGTGTGTGTGTGTGTGTGCCCGTGCGTGTGTGGTGTGCGTGCGCGTGCGTGTGTGTGTGTGTGTGTGCGTGTGTGTGTGTGTACGTGTGTGTGTGTGCGTGCGTGTGCTGCTGGGTATGCGGGTGTGCATATGTGCGTGTGTGTGTGTGTGTGTGTGCAGCCTTGCAAGCTGTTGAATGGTGTAATCCAGCACAAGTTGCTATGTCTCTCATAGCTGTTCGCTATCATCGCTTCCGCGATGGGCATGTCTGAGGTCTGAGGTGTGTGCGTGCGTGCGTGCATGCGTGCATGCACGCAGATGGCCGATCACATGTGCAAGGAGAAGCAGCTGAATTCGGAAAGCAAACTGATGCTGTCTCACCTGTGCTGTTTGGACTACGAATTGTGTTACTGCTTAGGTATCTGTCATTGGTGATCTCCGCAATCCGTCTCTGAAAGGCCGGCATTGGGATGAAATTGAAAGCATTCTTGGTCAGAAGATAGTTGGAAAGGACGTGGCTCCACTCACTCTCAATCGCCTTGAAGATCTCAACGCCTTTGAACAGACGGAGAGGATACAGGAAGTGGCTGCCAAGGCGTCCAGTGAAGCTTCATTGGAGGCCATCCTCAAGAAGGCAAGTTAGCTTGCCTTCCACTGTGAATTTGCGGCGGGTTTTGGTACCCGGTGTATTTTCCATGCTGGAATTTTGTGACCATTGGCTTGGCTGATATGAATGCGTTACATGTAACCTATGGTTATTAATATGGTAGTAAATACACACCTGCCCACACACGCTCTCTAGGCTGCAAAGTTCTGGCATGTAACCTACAGGGCTTATGACATTTGGTTCATACGGTGTTGACAGGGCAAGACTTATTGTAAGTTCCGATGTTAGCGTCGTTTGCTCATCTGTTCTTTCCTTGCTATGCATGATGTTTGAGAATTCCTTTCCGCCTTTGTCTTGTCATAGGTTGAAGAGTCCTGGAAGGAGATGGACTTTCCCGTGCTGCCATACCGCGATGAGAAGGAGGTTTACATCCTGGGTGGAATTGACGACATTCAAGTGCTGCTGGATGACAGCATTGTAAGGCTAGCTTGGTATTTGTCTTGTGCTCAATGTTTCGTTCTTCCTCCTTGTAGTTGGCTATGCCTTGGGTGAATTTTGAGTACAACAGTGCTGTGTGAATTCAACCACTTGGTGTAGATGTTGCCAAGGAAGATGTTTTGCCTGATTTCACATCGCTCAATCCTGGATCTCTTTAGAGCCACACTTCCTCTGGCTGCCATCATCCTACGAATATGTTGATATGTACATCGATGTGTGTATAATTGTGGTCCTGGCGTACAGGTGAATATCTCCACCATCGCCGGGTCACGGCACGTGGGTCCTATCCGTGGTCGTGTTGAGGAGTGGCAGCGACAGCTGAACCTGATGGCGGATACGCTGGTAAGCACTGGACAGTACTCGCAGTCTAACCAACTGTTGCGCGGAATGGCCAGTGTATTTGCTTGCATGCTTTTCATCTGAACTGTCAAGTTGAATCCAGTCGTGTATGGAGCACTATGCTCTGTGCTCTGTGCACTATGGACAGTGCTCTGGGCTCTATTCACACTGTCGGCATGCTGCATGCTGCACGCGCATGTACTCTTGTCTCATGGGCTGAACTGTAGTGCTGAAGTGGCGTCTTCGCGCTTGCCTCCCTCTTTACAAGCACCATCTCAGCAATACGATGCGACTCTGTTCTTTGCACACATCTGTTTTGTTTCGTACCCTGTTCCAATCGCAGGAGGAATGGATGACTTGTCAGCGTAACTGGCTCTACTTAGAGAGCATCTTCTCTGCGCCGGACATTCAACGTCAGCTTCCGTCGGAGGCGTCCATGTTCCAACAGGTGGACAAGACTTGGAAAGAAGTGATGAGGAAAACGCAGCGCATTCCCCACGCCGTGCGGGCAGCCACCGCTCCTGGTCAGTAACCCGAAGCGGGCACGTGCCGTGTGCGTGTGTGTGCGTGCGTGTGCATGCGGGGTGTGGTGTGGTGATAGTCATTGAGCTGTACATACATGTAACTGTTATGTGCTGCGTGTACGTACATGTATGTGCTGCATGGTGTTGTAGTCTACCGTCACTATCCCAGTTGTTCTGTACTTACAACAGCAAGTTTCTACTCGTGTGGAGGCAGTGCTGAATGCACGCCAGTAGAAACATAATATTTCCTGGCCCGGGTTATACTACTCACCCCTCGGGTGCATCACTTACTTTAGAACTATGTGCGTGTACAGAGTAGTGCATTTAGCAGAATTGCTCTAGCCTGTGGGGTGTGTGCTTTACATCATCACCTTATGAATCCCTCTTCGCCTGCTTCTCTTTCTCTGTCCAGGTTTGCATGAGGGCCTGAAGGAAAGTAATGAGCTTCTGGACAAAATCCAGAAGTGTCTGGAGGATTACCTGGAGTCGAAGCGTCTGCTATTCCCCAGGTACTGGCAGCATTGTGATGTGCGCGCGCGCGCGCGCGCGTGCGTGCGCGCGTGTTTGTGTGTGTGTTTGTGTGTGTGTTTGCCACTGTTTGGATCTGGCCTTCACACCTTGGATCTGAAGATGTTGTGCAGGAATATGTGTTCAGTGTACTCGCGATAAGTCGCTCACTTTTGATTCACGGACTCTCGATAAGCTACATACATTTGTATTCAGGACATCATGTACATGTCTATATGTACAGCATTCATAAATCGCACTCTCGCGATAAGTCCTGCAAGTTTGTCCCCAGTACTTTATAGTACGCAACTTCTCGAATGCAGTCAGTCCATGTATCAGCCTTAGAGCATCACATTGTCAGTTTACAACACACAGTCACCCAAGACATATGGTCATTATTTAATGCACAGAAAGCGGAACACGAGTGATCTATGAGACTTACCAAGAGCATCACTGTCAGCCTACTAGTGGATCCTCACTTGTCTTTTTGTATGAATTCAGATATATGGTGTATGATATATGGTGTATGATATAATTATGATGTATGATTACGTGTTGTTGCTTTCTAGGTTCTATTTCTTGTCTAACGATGAGCTGCTGGAGATTCTGTCGCAGACTCGCAACCCACTGGCCGTCCAGCCTCATCTCAGGAAGTGTTTTGACGCTATTCAGGCGTAAGTCTTGCAGCAGACATGTACATGTAGCAGCTGTTTAGAAATTGGCAGGTGACGTCAAGAGTACATGAAAACCAGAGTGTGCAGGCCTTTTCTGCTATGGGTGTCTGTCACGGCGAAATTCCGTGATTACATCATATTTGGCCCAGATCTGAGGCGGGAAATGGCGTAGTGCGTACAACTGAGCTGCAGTTGTGCAGAAAGAGACCTGCTTGAATCCTGCTTGTACGCACTACATCACTAAAATGATGTAATCACAGAATTTCGCCGTGACAGCAACCCATCCGAGCTGCACACTCTGGTTTTCATGTACTCTTGGTGACGTTTTACAGGCTTGGGTGCTCATTTTGCTTGAACTACTGGTGGATGGAACACTAAAATGAAGCTGTTTTTGTAAAGCATTTGTACACAGTGGACTGTTGGCAAGCAGATGATGCAGGATCTCTCATGAAGCTACTTTTCGTAATATATTCCCTCTCACCGTGTTTGTTTATCTATTCATCTCTTCCAACAGGTTGGAGTTTGGCACGCAGATCAACGATGAAACTGGCGAGAGTAAGTGTGGTCTGTGTGTGTGTGTGTGTGCGCGTGTGTGCGTGCGTGCGCGCGCGTGCGTATGCGTGTGTGTACGTCACGTGCATGTGTATGCGTGCGTGCGTATGTGCATGTGTGAGAACCCTGATCAAGAATCGCTTCACATTACTCGGTTGTGTTGTGATTTCTTTCGGTGGGGTACAGCAAACACCTGCAGCTGTTCACGCTTGTTTCTTCTACCGTTTTCAGCGGTGGCACGTGGAGCAAGTTTTGTAACCTGCAGTAACATATGTCTTACCTCACATGAATGCCTTGGATTCGTCATAATACTGTTATACATGTGTATGAAAAGCTGGGATACGAAGCAGAACAGGCTAGAATGCATTAGAACTCGCTGTTCCTTTGCAGGCTTTGTCTAGATATGTACGGTGTGACGTGCATTTTACCTTCCAGCAAGATCGAATTTTGTACAGTGTGATATCATTCACAGTCGTTTGGGGTGTGCTTCACCATGCTACAGTCCTCTCTCTCTATTGCATAGGTGTGTAGTGTAGTTGCCTGTCCAGCAGTTCCTCAATTATGTGACCTTCACTCACACCACACACACACACAGCCATCGCTATTCACATCATTCTGTTATGTGTGTGTGTGTGTGTGTGTGTGTGTGTGTGTGTGTGTGTGTGTGTGTGTGTGTGTGTGTGTGTGTGTTGCCAGCTAGTTCGGTTGGTGGGTGCACTTATGCCAGATAGTGTTGGGCCTGTTGCCAACGGGCTCGGCTGCTTGAAGGTGTATTGTTGTACCTACCACCTTTGTTGGTTTCAGGGTTCATATACTTTCTGTTTGAAGTATACATACCTGTTAACCATGGACTGCTTCTGGCTAGATTAACTCTTGTGTGATCAATGGTGCTAGTGAAGCTTATATCAGTTCCACTCTGATTTAGCCACCCACACTAGTACCAAGTATTACCTTCACTGGGGGCAGGGGTACCTGCAGTTGGATCCCGGGACGGATACCCTGATGCCGTCAATCCTTTTTCTGCACCTTGTCCTCACCCACTTACTGAGGTGTGGTGAGCCCATAAGTGGGATCATTTCAAGTCCACCCTAGTTTGGGGATTTCAGGGGGTGTCGGCCGTTGGGTGGTTCAATGGCCAATTGAGTCATCTTTCCAAGATTCCTTTTGAGTCTCTCTCCCCTCTCCCGGGGAGACCCACGTGACCAGTTTTGGCAGTGAGCAAGTACAAGTGTGTGTGTGTGTGTGTGTGTGTGTGTGTGTGTGTGTGTGTGTGTTCTGCTCATCAAGCTGTGGCATCGAATGACATCCTTGCCATGATCTCTCCTGAGCGGGAGAAGGTGGAGCTCACCAAGGTACGTTGCAGCAAGAATACGCGTGCACATTCGCCGGAAAATACCTATTGCACGCACTGCCGATGATCGTATTATAGTTCATGAACAACAATAATCTCACTGTTGTAAGCCTGTACGCAATGTGCTGTAATCACTATTTCCGCTTACGTGTTTCTGGATTGGCCCTTCTAGAATGGCCTTGAAAGATACTGGTGTATTCTGTATTGTGTGCATGCGCCTTGTTTGCTGTAGGGATTGAAAGCGCGTGGCAACGTAGAGACATGGTTGACCAACGTCGAGGACTCGATGAGAGTCAGCTTGCGCAAGCTGACCAAGTTTGCCATCGGCGATTACGAGAGCAAGTTGCGTCACGAGTGGGTCACGCAGCACAGCAGTCAGGTCAGTCGACAAAAAAGTCACATGGTGTTAGATCAGACAACACACGGGCAGCGCAACACGGCTCCACTGTAACATTTCGTTTTGTCTAGCTTCTTCCAAGGCATTGCTGTTCTCCGCGTGGAATATTCTGTGTGCAGTAATAGCGTTGAACACATTATCGTCATCGTCTCCTTTTTTTGTATCGTCGTTTCTCATTGGAGGATGCCTGTTACACACACGATTGGTAAATGTTGGTGTGTTTGAATGCATTGCAATGTTCTGGACAGGTTGTGCTGACAGTTTCACAGATCATGTGGTGCCGTGACCTGACTGAATGCTTGATGGCCGAAGACCACGAGGATGTGCTTAAGAATGTCAAGGAGGCCGAGCAGCGTTGCTTTCAGGTGAGTCAGCTGGTTTGTGTGTGCACTGTGTGTGTGTGTGTGTGTGTGTGTGTGTGTGTGTGTGTGTGTGTGTGTGTGTGCGCGCGCGCGCATGTGTGTGTGTACTGTGTGTGTGTGTGTGTGTGTGTGTGTGTGTGTGTGTGTGTGTGTGTGCGTGTGTGTGTGTGTGTGTACGTGTGCCAGTCCACCTTGTGAAATACTTCACAGGTACTGTATTCTCTCATTTGATCTCAAGCAGTGGGTTGTAAGCCAGCACAAAAGATTGTTTGTGGTGACAAAAGCTGACCAGAGCAGATCGGTTCTGTTATAACTTTCATTAGTGTTTGCACCTCGTGAGGCTCCGTGTCCTTGGCTCAAAATGACCAAGAAAGTGACAAACTAAAGGTGACAACTGACACACAAACCAGTGAATACTCAAGTTGTCACAAAATGGAATCGACGAATTAGTGGCTAGAACACTGTACTTTATCAAATGTGGGCGTATGTAGACAAACAAATGGTTGATAAACTAGGATGTATTAGCCATACTATTCTAGGCCTCAGAGGATAGCATTGTGTACTTCAAGCAGTAGTACTAGGATGAGAAGTAACTGCTGTTGCTCATCCTTTCTTGCCCAGAATCTGAACAAACTGGCAGGTCTGGTGCGTGGTGTGCTGCCCAAGCTTGTACGCAGTATCCTGACTGCGCTGATCACCATTGACGTGCACGCACGCGACACCGTCACCAACATGGTCAACGGCAAGGTAAGCGTGCTGACAGCATAGGTCACGATGAGAGTCCTCCGCCTCGGGAGAGTGCTCAATGTTCATGCGAACAGAGCCATCTTACACACAAGTCACAGAGCACCGCGCATCTTCATTGTAACTAATAAAGGCCCGGACTCTATGTGTATTTAGATGTGCTATCCATAGCTCAGTATTGGTGTGCAGTGTGCCCGAAGCTCATGATCCTCACACAATTTGACTGAAGCAAGATGACTCTATAACAGCTCTGCCCTGATCCAAGTTGACTAGGGTCTGCATTTAGTCCATAACCTTCTGCACTCTATGCTGTTGTACCACTCTATGCTGTTTTCTGCACTCTATGCTGTTGTACCACTCCATGCTGTTGTACCACTCCATGCTGTTGTACCACTCCATGCTGTTGTACCACTCTATGCTGTTGTACCACTCTATGCTGTTGTACCACCCACATGTAGTTGTATAATGTACCTACTTGTGACTGTTCAGGTGACTGGTGTAAATGATTTTGAGTGGGTGAAGAACCTGCGTTACTACTGGGACCTGGAGATTGACAACTGCTGCGTGCGCATGTCCAACTCCTACTACATCTACGGTTATGAGTATCTGGGTGCCTCAGCTCGACTTGTCATCACACCATTGACGGTAGGTGTTAGCGATTCACTGGTTTGATTAGAGAGCCAATGGTGCCTGTGTGTGTGTGTGTGTGTGTGTGTGTGTGTGTGTGTGTGTGTGTGTGCGTGTGTGCGTGTGTGCGTGTGTGCCTGTATGTGTGTGTGCGTGTGTGTGTGTGTGTGTGTGTGTGTGTGTGTGTGTGTGCATGTGCACACACATGCGTTTGTAACAGGAAAGCTACAACAGACTTGGGCCTAGAGCATGCCTTGCATATGCCTCTGTGCCTGTAGCAATGGACTCATTGAGCAGTACTGGATGAATAGCAGGATGAAAAAGCAACTGTGCGAGCCTGGAATATATCAGCATGGATTGACTGTGTTGCTTGCCGCTGTGTGTATGTAATTTTCTGGAGTCGTGTGTTGTGTGTGCTGTGTGCATGTATGCTCTAGGATCGTTGCTATCTGTGTTTGATGGGCGCTCTGCAATTGGATCTGGGTGGGGCGCCAGCTGGACCAGCCGGCACAGGAAAGACCGAGACCACCAAGGTATCTTCGTCTTGCGTACTCTGTATATTCCATTCTTTCTCATCCGTCCACACACCCCCCCCCCCTCCCCCGCACTTTCACTTGCTTCCATCCATCCACTTACTACCCCCCCCCCCCCCCCCAATACACACACACACACACACACACACACACACACACACACACACACACACACACACCGTCACTTGCTTTCTCATGCACTCACTTGTCAGTACTCACATGCTCCCTGCTGCTTGGTGTTCTGGCATGTGATTACTGCCCTTGTATCATCTTCTTCCTAGATATATTTGAGAACTCTGAAGCTCCACTGCTGCCTTGTCATCTTTCCGATTAGTGTCCCACCTAAAAGCACACGAACAGTGCTTGGCTACACCGCACGACTCGACCGTGTCCAAATGTTTCACCCAGGAGGGCATCATCAAGGATAGCCGCCCTAGGGGTACTTTCTGTAAACAGCAGCAGACCCTGGCTAGAAATCCACCATGATTTTACAGGGTCGTCGGAAGGTATTTTAGTGTGATACGTTCAGCCATCTGAAGTACAATTGACTCGTGGGGGAGTGGTGGCTGAGCCGAAAATTTTGGAATTTTAGATCCCAGATTAGTGTATTTTATTGATTCACGGGGTACCTGGGGCAAAAAGTGGTACGGTCAATATCGTAGTGACCGTACCGTGTCCGACGCCCCTGTTTTATTCACTACTTTGGAAGGATAGTGCAAACATGCTTGTGTTCACATTAATTTCGTGACTGTGTCAAGTGGCCACATTCTGTGTTCATGTCTGTGTTTCGTGTTGTGCTCCCCCGTGTCTCTCTTAGGATCTTGCCAAGGGCCTAGCCAAGCAGTGCGTGGTGTTCAACTGCTCTGAAGGTCTTGATTTCAAGGTCTGTTTGGCATCTTACAGAGGGAACAACTGTATAGCCTTCCAAATTTTGCATCGTAGTGAAAGCTGTTTTCTGGTCCAAGTGGCTAGTCAAGAAAACATCTGCACTACACATGTACTAGTAGCTGGGTCAATGGCTGAACTACTCATGTGCTAGTGGTCAGGTCAATGGATAGCCTGGTCATAAGAGCTATAAGAGCTATATTCTCACGCAGCTATAAGAGCTATATTCTCACATTTTTGCAACATTTGTTAATATGAATGTGAGCTGGACAGGGTGCTGAAGTGCAGGACCTGCAACTGGTTGCTACACAGTCCGTGTGTCATGCTTGTCAATATGAGTGTGTCCATGCTTTGGTGTTCGTCTGTAGATGATGGGTCGATTCTTCTCCGGACTGGCGCAATCCGGTGCCTGGTGCTGCTTTGACGAGTTCAATCGTATCGACATTGAAGTGCTGTCCGTCATTGCCCAACAGCTTTTGACCATCAGAAATGCTAAAGCAGCAAAGGTATGCTATTGTTTGGGATTTTAGCCGTTTTTTGTTGTCAACAGTGCACACAGCAGTGGTGGCTTTAAAAATGAAAGATAGGGATGTGGTTATCAACCAGCCGAAAATCAGGAAAATCGGCCGACGGAAACCAGAGTTATGATCATTTGAATACGGGTGGGTGGCCTTTATTGGCAAGTATGCAATTAGGATGGGAAGCATGGCACAAAACGGGTCTGAAGAAGGCTGTACATAGCAATACCCTAGCAACAGCAAAAGCGCTCCTTGTCGCACCAAATTTGGACGGCATGATTGGTGGAGCCCATTGGTATAAACTAGCTGATTTAAAAAAAACCCTGAACAGACATAACAACAATGGCATTCATAGGAATGGCCTTAGCAACTGGCTTGAAATCTATGAAACTGCTGCTCATTGTATCAAAATTCACCAGTTGGATTAATGGATATAGAGAGCATTCGTCTTGAGGACCCAGTTTTGACTTCAGGTAAAATTTCCTTTCGTAATGAATCCAGCAATACCGATACATGTGTCGCTCATCGTGTTCTTGGTGCTAGCAATGATGCATTGCTGCATTCTCCCACCCACTGCTACTACATGCTGCCTCTACATCTCCCAGTACCTCCTTACGTTTCTCCAGGCTATGAAAAGCAGTACCACACTTCATGTCAACAACGCCCAATGTGTACGACCGGTCAGCTGTTGAAACTTGGTATGACCGGTACTGTCTACCGAACTTTGATGTACCATCACTATGCAATGTTATGTTGTCGGCTTCCGGAATGTTCTCGGCAACATGCATACCACTTATCTGTTTTAGCTCAACTAGCATTTGTGATAGTAAGCCAACACTGGGCAGCCTCTCCACTTCCTTACCGACCATCGACTAAACACTACCAATAACAGATGCCACGTTGGGTAAGTTCAAGGCAACACTTCCGGACAGCATTAATGTACTGCTCTTCTTTCACGGCCCGAAACACTTCACCCTCATCAAGCCGCTTCAGAAGTTCCAAGACAAGGCTGTTGGTCGGCTGGCCTCAACTTTGCAGACTTGTCTTTCCCACACTCCATGGTGTTCTACAAGTATCTGAACAGTGGCTGGAGAATCAGGCCACACTTACGCACGACAATCAGGCCACACTTACGGACGACAACCAGGCATCCATTGCGCTCCATCATTTGGGAGTACGACTGGAGGGCAGTCGGCTCGTGCTTCTTCCCATGCTGTATGGCTGAAACATTGGAAAGGGACTTTGAGTCCAACAAAGACTGTACGAGAGCACCATGGTCAGCACGTCTGACTGCAATGTGCTTGAAGTTCGAGGATGTCAGCGTATACGCATGGAGATTCCGCCATTCCATGCTGTCAGATTGCTGCGCTGTCCGCCGTTCTATTGCGTAGCATTCAGCCATGGCGTGTGGCCACTCTCCAGTAGCATCATACTCCACAGGTTCGAAACTACGAATTTACTTACTTTGCTGTTGGACTCGCAAAGCTTCTCCTCTTACTTCATACAGACTACTGTCGATGGGCTTGCCCCTGCACTCGGATTCGACTTTTGACTTTTCATACATAACTGACATCAGTGCCTCTGGTGTAACATTCCTGGTGTGTATGCCCTATGAACGAAGCTTAGAAGTCACAGACTCTGGCCCAGGAAGATGATCGGCTGAGGTGCTCGGGCCATGTTGCTCAATGACCATTAGCAGTGCGAATACATACTGGCAAAGCTCCCCCCCCCCCCCATCACCAGCTGGGCAGTTGTCACACACTGAGAACGCCACTTCGCACCCAACGTACAGTGTATGTGTCACCCTTCTCTTCCTGGAGTACCAAGCACTGCACATATTTTGAGACTTTCGCTGCGTAGCCCAGTATTTAGATTTCACGAAGACTTTATCTGCAGTACACGCCCTGGACACGTCGTGCACATACCCACAGAAAAACCCGTGGCGGAGTGGCTTCTGCGACACAAGCAAGGACTCATCCTGCGCAGCAGGCGCTGATGGTTTGCCAGTCTTGGCGAGATGAGCCAGGATTGTTGTGGCTGTGACAACAGGGAGTGTAGATGGAACCGAAGTCCAGTCGGCAGTGGGGAACTCCACAGGTACAGCGTCCTTCGTGCCAGCAGGCCCGGACGCGGAATGCTTCGACCTTGGTGCATCAGGGTTCGAGCTATAGAATAGAGCCCCCCAGAAACATGGGAACAGATGATGGACAGGCATGAAGTGAAATACTGTGCGAAAGCATGATTTTCAACATAGACCAATGGCACAGAAGTCTGGTGTTTGTGTCGACATACATACAAATATCCAATGACACGAGAATCCAGTCCTCACTTGCCACATCTGTGTACCCTTGTGCCAGGCCATAAGTTCCCGCACCGCTACGGCGATGCATCTGGCGGCGGATATATTTGTGACGGTGGTGCCCCAGGCATATGACTTCGGGTTTGAGAACTAACGCTCTGCCCTTATGATAGCAAACGTTTACTCGTTTCGATACAGTTATGTACTCCATAAACCTGCGATGAACTCGGCCATTTGAAAATTTGAACTATCCACTTCTCCACACTGCGCTCTTGGCCCACATTCACAACACCATACTTCATAGCGAGGAAGTTCGTTCTTGGATAGATACTCAATATCCTCCAGACAGCTGTTTTGCTCTTTGAGAGCTCCCAGTGGAGGTAGATAACGAATGAATAGCAGTTCAAGCAATAACGCTTGCTAGTAGGTGCCAACAGCAAGCAGCGGACAACACAGACTGGAAGAAACTGTGCAGCTCGACACCCGAGGAGAAATCAGTATCAGCAGCTACTACACCTTGCTGATGATGTTCACAAGACAGAAGCGGAAAAAAACTTAAGAAAGTTTACCTGTGAAAAGGATTTCAGAATGCTGTTGAAGAGCCTGAAGTTTGTCCTACTACTACATGTTAGAGCTTCTTTCTTTCTTTCTTTTTTGTCTCCGAGGAAACTTTTTAGATAAAGGAATGAATAGAGGCAAATAGTCAGAGGGAAACATATTAGCACACGAAGAGGCGAAGCCAGTTGTAAATCTGATGAGGCCTTTCGTACCATCACACCATCATTCAGCCTGTGTACGTTTCATCACAATTTTTCCGCCGATATATTGTATAAATTTACATCGTTGTACTTCGTCACATTATCACCATGTACTGATTTGAGAAGTAATGGTACGAAGGCCTCATCAGATTTACTACTGACTTTGTCTCTTCGTGTGCTAATAAAGGAATGAATATATTTATAGGGTATGTGTGGTGCAATTGTGCACTTTCTGCATAGAAAAGTGGCATACCCAAAGAAGTTGAAGGTGACAAAAGTTCTAAAGGTGATAACGGTACGCACCGTGCTGCTGGGACATGCATACAGATGGGGCTAGAGTTTAGACAAGTGCGTGAAGCAAACAATCTATTAGAAGTTTGCACTGACGACTGAAGTAACGTTGCCACACATATATGCATAATGATAGATACACAGAGGCATAATGATAGATAGAAATTACTGGTCCCATAGAACCGCTCTCCGTTCTCTGTGTTGTGACTTGCTGCTACAAACTGGAAGATCTTCATTCTGGAGTAGGTCCTTAGTTGTCGTAATGAAAATTCCCAGTTGCCTCCTCTTCAACCTTTTTTATTGTACAATCATGTAGCACGTTACATTGATAGTGTAAGTGACGATTGCTGTTCTTCTGTGCCATCTGTCGACGTGCAGGTGGCTCGGTTTGAGTTTGAAGGGCGCGAGATCAAGCTGGAACCGACGTGCGCATGTTTCATCACCATGAACCCTGGCTATGCTGGGCGTACAGAGTTGCCCGACAATCTGAAGGCACTGTTCAGACCCTTTGCAATGATGGTGCCGGATTATGGTGAGGGAAAGCCCGGGTAGTACTTCACTGCTATCGGTAGTGGAAGGATAGGCTTGAAGGCTTTTCCTGCGTGTTGTGAGTAATCAGCGGTTACGACTCCCTGCAGCTGCGCATCATCTAGTCGTGAAGCGAGCCGAGCTGTGAAGCACTGATAGTGAGGAGCTCTCTTTGCCCTCTCCCCCCCCCCCCCCCTCCCCATCTTTCTTATGTGCTTTTGTTGACCATTCTGGCATATCTCCATATTGTGTAGAATCAGTCCACTAGTACATGGACAGTGCACTTATCTGTTCAGCTGACCCTGTGCTGTTGGTGTCACCACTTCTACACAGGCCTCATTGCGGAAGTCATTCTCTATTCAGAAGGTTTTGAGTCATCCAAGAACCTTGCCCGCAAGATGGTACAGATGTACAAGTTGTGCAGCGAGCAGCTGTCTCAGCAAGATCACTACGACTTTGGCATGCGAGCAGTCAAGTCTGTAAGTCTAAGGGGCTGTCAGAATTCAGCGGGCTATGCATGTCCTCAGCGCCTTTCTAATATGCCGGTACATGTACAGTACTGGCCAAAGAAATCAAACCTCATGAATAAAATAGCATTGCCGGGCACTACGCAGCCCTAGCACTACAAACACTGTTCTGTACACTCGAATGCGGCGCTACTTTATTCATGAGGTTGGATTTCTCTGGCCAGCACTGCACTATCACTACGTAGAAGTATGTTGTATGTGTACACATGTGCACGTGCACGTACATGCATTCACGTATCACTACACTGGATGCATCAGTGAGGGGACTTGAACCTAGAAACATCAGAAGAGGGGAAACAGAGTGCATTATTATAACTTGCTTTCGTAATCCTTTCAAAACCTCGTTTCCTGCTTGTGTGTGTGTGTGTGTGTGTGTGTGTGTGTGTGTGTGTGTGTGTGTGTGTGTGTGTGTGTGCGCGCGCGCGCGCGTGTGCATGTGTACATTCGCCCGGGTGTGTTTTGTGTTGCAGGTGTTGGTCATGGCTGGTCAGTTGAAGAGAGACAACCCTGACATTCACGAAAACCTGACTCTGATCAGAGCGTTGCGTGACAGCAACCTGCCAAAGTTTCTCTCCAACGATGCCATTCTCTTCCAGGTATGCGTACGCTGCACTCCACATCCCATTACTACTACATGTACATTCTAGTCTTTTGGTTGCTCTCCTAAGTTGGATAGGAAAACTGTTAGTGCTTCCCAGTCACATGTGTTTCTTTTAACTAAAAAAGAATAAGAAGGAAGACCGATTACATTGAGTATGGGAAATAGGAGAACGTCTTTTTCCAGTTTTGTTTTCACCTGTGTCCCTCGGATGATTGTTTGTGTGTGTGTGCCCGTTCGTGCGTGCGTGTCTTGTACAGGCTATCCTTCAAGATCTTTTCCCTGGCGTAGTATTGCCAGAGCATGACTATGGTACACTGCAGACAACCATCGAGGAAGAGATGGGCAAGGACCGGCTACAAGTGCTGCCAGCACTGGTCAAGAAGACCATCCAGCTGTATGAAACCATGGTCGTACGGCACGGGGTCATGCTGGTCGGACCCACCGGTGGTGGGAAGACAACAACCTACCAAGTACGTTACTCTGCTGCTTCGTTCCTGTTGATTTCGAGTGTAGCCGCCCTCCCCTGGGCATGTATGCATGCAGGTGTATGCATACATGTATTCTGGATGTATGGCTTGTGACAGTGTATGTCTGGATGTATGGCTTGACTGTTGTGTATGTCTGGATGTATGGCTTGTGTATGTCTGGATGTATGGCTTGACTGTTGTGTATGTCTGGATGTATGGCTTGTGACAGTGTATGTCTGGATGTATGGCTTGTGACAGTGTATGTCTGGATGTATGGCTTGTGACAGTGTATGTCTGGATGTATGGCTTGTGTGCATGTATGTCTGGATGTATGGCTTGTGTGTGTGTATGTCTGGATGTATGGCTTGTGACAGAAAGCATACAAACTATTCTAGCAATAAAAACCAGTGATTGTATTTAAAAAAAACCGAAAGGTACTCTGTCAGACAGGGATGTGGACAGATCATGGAAGATAGCTAACTACTGATCATTACATGAATTCACAGAGCAAGTCCAAAGCAGCAGTGTTCGGTGTATAATTTTCATCTTTCATGTTCTTAATGTCTGGCTTTCTGCAACGCCTGTTTGACTGTCCTGTGCAGATTCTACAGCGTACGTTGACATCGCTGCATGCCCAGGGTGAAGATAACTACTTCTACCAGAAGGTGCACACGTACGTGATGAACCCCAAGGCAGTCACTATGGGTGAGCTGTACGGAGAGGTGAACAAGGTCACCACTGAGTGGAGAGACGGTCTGATGGCCACCAGTGTTCGCCACGCTGTCAAGGTAACAGAGACTGCCGCCATGACGAATCTCGTACTGATCTGCACGCTTACTGAGTCGGTATTGATACAGTTGATGCATGACCAGAAATACAGTTTGCGGTGGAGAGTCTTGAGTAATCTGTCCAGCTAGCTCCTGAAATGTACTCCAGCTCTGTAACTTTTTCCCAGGTAGGCGCCAACTAGAGCAGGAGCCGTTGTACCCATCCACTACCGTGCTGTATGCTCATGCCGTACACCGGACAGGGCCCGCAGTGACTGTTGTTGTTGTCTGCGGTTGTGCGTTGGTGTTGATGTTGGTGTTGACAGGACGCCACGCAGGACCACAAGTGGATCGTGTGCGACGGCCCGGTGGACGCGCTGTGGATTGAAAACATGAACACAGTGCTGGACGACAACAAGATGTTGTGCTTGGCTAACAGCGAGCGCATCAAGCTGGACAACACCATACACATGCTGTTTGAAGTGCAGGACTTGGCCGTCGCTTCGCCCGCCACCGTCAGTCGGTATGTACATGTATTAGGATTCCTCGTGTAGCGATGACATAACCAAGGGTAGACTTGGGGAGATATTCCAATATTCTGGGAACCCCTTTCATGTGCACAGAATTGCATGTACTTTGTAGACCGAATGGAAGCAGTAGACTACGGGTATAATCAGAGAATAATTTACTTTCAATCTTTTGCATAGCAATTTTGCTACGCAACATCAAACTCGAATAGCAATTCAAAAATGTTGCGTAGCAATTTTCTGCTTCAACACTTGACAACCGTCCTTCTGGAGAGCTGATCAGAGTGCAAGCTCAGACCACAAGTACACTATGACACCTTAGTTGCAAACCTAACCTGGTGCCAGGATGCATAGCTCAGCACTTTCGAAATTTCGTGCATCTAATTTCATCCCTAAGACTTAGTAACAGACACACCTGGCATGTACACTGTGCATCACAGGGTACAGTGAAAAATCAATATGCATCGCAGTTTTCTGCGACACATTTCTGAAGTTGCTTCGCACCTCAGAGGATTTGTGTAGCAAACTGCGATGCGATACCCCCGGTTAAATTATTCCCTGTGTAAGTGTATAGGTTCAGCCGCTTGCATTGGTAGTGGTAAGCTGTGTACTGGCTACGGTGTATGGCTGCGTACATGTATGCAGGCCCTCGTCTCACTATCACCTCATGTGCCTTGTGGAATGATGGAGTCGCTTATCGCTCTGTGTGTGTGTGTGTGTGTGTGTGTGTGTGTGTGTGTGTGTGCGTGCGTGTGTGTGTGTGTGTGTGTGTGTGTGTGTGTGTGTGTGTGTGTGTGTGTGTGTGTGTGTGTGTGTGTACTGAGCAGTTGTGGTATGGTGTACATTGATCCATGTGAGCTGTCGTGGGAACCCTACGTCAGGACATGGATGACAAAGTCGCTCGGGAAAGCACCACAGGAAACCAAGGTCAGTACCGGTACATGTACTGAAATTATTTGTACATTATGCTTTTATTTTATTATGCATCTGCGCCTTTGATCTTTACAGGGTGGTGGCGTTCCTACGGATGCTGAAAATTCAGTCTAACTGAGTCTCAAGCGAACCGTGATTGTTTTGTATTCCTGTCATATTTATAACGGGGATTCTTTGAGGGAAAGGTGATACAGGAAGGCACGTTGTGTTATTTCTGATGTTATAAATGTATATCAATATTGATGTACATGAATCAGTATCTATGAGTACTCTTTACTGTATATGGACTGTAACGCATATGTGTGCGTGTCTGTATGTGTATGTGTGTGTGTGTGTGCGCTTGCTTGCTTGCGTCTGTGTGTTATTCTGCTGTTTCCGCTTCAAGCGTCACGACTCAATTGTGTTTTCAGATTTTTTCTGGTTTTGTACTTCCCTTGTTTTTGTTTCTGGTTGTAATGCTTTTCCTGTCTAGGACTATCTATGGCGTCTATTTGAGACGTACGTGCCCAAGGGTTTCAAGTTTGTGCAAAGGAAATGTACTCAAGCTATGGCACAGGTATGCACAACTTTCCATGAATTGGTTATCCTTTTCCTCTGTCTTTTTCCGCTGCTAGTTGGCATGTATGCATTTTAAATAACAACTGGTTTACTGCAAAGTCAAAATGTGTGTGTGTGTCACTGGCCAGAAAAAGTCACTTCAAACAGCTGTGTGGTGGATACCAGGCTAAAAATAGTGGCGGTCAATTCATCAGCCTTGCAAGCTGTTGAATGGTGTAATCCCAGCACAAGTTGCTATGTCTAACATAGCTGTTCGCTATCATCGCTTCCGCGATGGGCATGTCTGAGGTCTGAGGTCTGAGGTGTGTGTGTGTGTGTGTGTGTGAGAGAGAGAGAGAGAGTGTGTACACACATGTGTATGTGTGTGCATGGATGTGCGTTTGTGTGTGCATGTGTGACTACACATGTATTTGACAGGTTGATATCAGCAAGGCTGTGGCACTGTGCAAACTTCTGGAGAGCCACATGCTTGACCGTGCCCTCATGGACCTCTCAGAAGACACAACGAAGCTGCATCCATTGCTCTGCACACTGTTTGTTTTCTGCTACGTCTGGTGCATCGGGGGAAATCTCACAGACACGTGTTTCGAGATGTTTGATACGTTTGTCAGAGATCTCTTTGCTGAGACACGCGACGTCCGAGTAAGCACGTCTACGTAATTTGCTGCTTCGTTTCATGTGCTATGCCATCAACGTCAATTATACTGTTGCTGCATGGTTTTCCCCATTGTTGCTGCAAGGTTTTCCCCATTGTTGCTGCATGGTTTTCCCCATCGTTGCTGCATGGTTTTCCCCATTGTTGCTGCAGGGTTTTCCCCATTGTTGCTGCATGGTTTTCCCCATTGTTGCTGCAAGGTTTTCCCCATTGTTGCTGCAAGGTTTTCCCCATTGTTGCTGCATGGTTTTCCCCATTGTTGCTGCATGGTTGTCCTCATTGTTGCTGCATGGTTTTCCCCATTGTTGCTGCATGGTTTTCCCCATTGTTGCTGCATGGTTTTCCCCATTGTTGCTGCATGGTTTCCCCCATTGTTGCTGCATGGTTTTCCCCATTGTTGCAGCATGGTTTTCCCCATTGTTGCAGCCGTTGTTCTAAACTCACTGTGACTTGTTCATCATATTGTTTAGAAATACTTTGGACGCTTCGTGATGTCTCCCCAGGGAAAGTTCAGGTCCAGTCCACGATTCAAATTCAGATCTCGTGAATACTTGGTGGTGGCAGTCAGTCTATTCTTGAGACTTCTCCTGTTTCAACTCCCTCAAACTTATGATGTATTTCATGAATGTTTAGCTGCGTATGTCGTCTATGTGCTCACATTTGGGATGTATATATATGTATGTGTTGTTGTGTACCTTGATATCTTTGCGTTCTCATGCTGTTTGTAGATGCCCGGTGGTGGTGATATATACAGCTACTTTGTAGACTTTGAGTCACGTCGCCTGGAATCCTGGGAGAAGATTGTCCCGGGCTTCACATACGACCCAGAGGTACAGCCCGGCATTGATCTTTTCAACTTCTTATTTTGGGTGAATCCCCCTTTGAAGGCCAGACTCTCAGGCTTGGGATATTGGGATTTTGAATTTTGCAACTAGCACAGTCATGTAGTGACTATGTTAGTACTATGGCTGTACAATGTACTGAGTGGACACAGACACAGGCACAGGCACAGCAGGTTTGGACTGGCGGCACATAGGGCTATACATTTTTGACTATTTGTGGTGCTTGGCTAATTCTGGGCGTGACGTGCTCAAGTATGTTGCTTTGCACTGGTATGGTATATATACCTGAGCACACTAGCACTGCACTGTGGATGGATTTGCCATTGCTATCATTCTTGTTCCCTTTGCCCTGTTCCCCTTCCAGCTACCCTACTTCGATCTACTGGTCCCCACCATTGACACCGTCCGCTTTGGCTATCTGATGGAGAAGATGCTGAACGTCAACCACAGCGTTCTCTTCACTGGAACCACCGGTGTTGGAAAGGTACTACTAACTTACCTCTACTTGTGTGTTCGGCTTTACCTTGTCCTTGGGGCTAAACAACTGTGAACTGATACCCTTAACCTGTGTGTTATGGACATCAGTGCAAGGTTGTTTAGATCATTCAGCGACGTGACTACTACTAATGTTCATTCGTGTTTTTCTATTCAAGCGGAACTTTGGTGGTTTTCCACCATAAAATCTGCTCCAGTTTGTTGTTGGCTTAACTGGTCGACGTTGATTGCAAGTAAACATCTAGGTTGAATACTGCACATTGTCTGCATCGTGTCTACACGATAGGAGAGTTCTGCAGTCATGGAGTACTCGGTGTGGAACGAATGAGCTGCCTTGTCTATCTGGACCTTTCTGATTTTGCCTGTTTCTTTTTCTTCTCCACTGTGCTCCTCTAGTCTGTGATATCGAAAGGTGTGCTGGACGATCTAGCGTCGCGTGGCTTTGTGCCAATCACATTCAACTTCTCTGCGCAGACCAGTAGCGGTCGCACACAAGAGATGATCGAGTCCAAGCTGGAGAAGAAGCGCAAGACCGTCCTAGGTATGCTGTCCAGTGTGCGTGTGTGTGTTTGCATGCGTGTGTGTGTGTGTGTGTGTGTGTGTGTATGTGTGTGTGTGTGTGCACGTGTGTGTGTGTGTGTGTGTGCTTGTGTGTGTGCAAAGACTGTTCTTGGCTTCATCCTGCCCACCACCCTACACTGTTGTCCACAAGAAAGTAGGCCACTGTTGGCTGGCTAGCTTGCTTTCCGGCAGCACAGTATCACCCGCATCTACGTGTGGAAGGCCGGTGTTGGAAGCCATGCTGATGTGAAATTGGCTATAAATGATGGTGTTTTTTTCTGGTTGACAGGTGCACCCAAGGACAAGCGTATTGTCTTTTTCATCGATGACTTGAACATGCCAAAGCTAGACACCTACGGCAGTCAGCCTCCCATTGAACTGCTTCGTCAGTACCAGGTAATCGATGGAGTATGCAGTGCTGGGCTCTTATATTGATGAACTTGTCCTGATTAGCAGCTTGTTTCCGGGTAAAATTTGTTTGACCAGGTCATTACGATCAAAGATATCATTTGTATCTGAACAAACGGGGAAGAGCTGAATTGACATGTGTTTTCCGGTGCTTTATTTATGCTTCGAAGTACAGTATTAGCAGGTGCCACCGTGGAAACAATGTGCAACAGTACAGATGAATGTGTTTTTTTCACAGCATTGGGAGGGATGACAACGAGAGTTACCAATCTCCCAAGAGTGTGCACCTCCTGATACCCTTTCTATGGGGTGTGCCAACGGCGAAAACTCACATCACATGGCGTAGTGTTCCCGTTGAATGTTTCCAAGCCGTTTTTAGCGAGCAGCGGAGTAATAAGAAAAAGCACTCCCTGACAGAAACTCCTTGCACGTATGCAACTCCCCAGCATGATCATGGCAGATATTCGGACTGCGCGCGCTATCCTTCGTTATATGTAGTACGAAACGTACCTGAGACACATGATGTGAGTTTTCGCCGTCGAGAGTTGCACATTCTTTGGAGCATATACTCTTGATGGCAAGAGCACCACCCTACCCAGCTGCTCCATCAGCACCTCCGCAGTTTTGGTTTGTGTAGTTGGTCTGTTGGTCTAGGGGTATGATTCTCGCTTAGGGTGCGAGAGGTACCGGGTTCAAATCCCGGACAGACCCATTTTTTTCCTTTTCTTTTGGACTTGCTTATTAAAACTTTGGAATGCCTGCATAGAATAGGGCTTCGAAGTGTGACGTCAGGTCCTTGACAACTTCGTAGCAACTGGGTACAGGCAACCATTGTGTCCCCCAGCACGTGGTGTTTTGCACTGAAATTTCAAATTTTGCATCATGGCTTGTGCAGATTAAAGTAGATAACTCACACGAAGTATTTTAATTCGGATATACTTTTATTGTCCTTTCGGGATACGAGTCTGCTAGGTTTGTCCTTTTTCTGCAGGGCAGAGTAGAGCAATGACTTGCGTGAAATTAAAAATACAAATTGGGGTGCGAATCCTGCACTTTTTATTGCCTTTCCCCGGGGAGCTTGGGCATCGATCCGTACGTCGTGCATGCAGGTAAAGTTTCTTTCGCTGACTGTGAGAGGTGATTCTTTGCGCTGTATCCTTTCTCGTTACTTAACGTTAGTGAAAACACTCTTTTCGCTAAAATCGCTATAATATCACAAATTAGCCGTTTACAGTAAGTAAGAGAACCAGGGAAAGACCTGCCACACACTCGTGTGCGGACTGAAAATAAATTCTCTCACCGCCGAACTAAGAGGGTCACGTGAAAGCTGCCACACACTCGTGAGTAGACTGAAAAAGTGAAAATAATTTCCCTCGCTGGAAAACTGCTTAGTTTTCTAAGAGAGTCACATACAAACTGACGTCTACTGTTTCGTGTGATGTTACTGCTGCTACTGCTGCTACTGCAGGATTTCCGAGGCTTTTACGACCGTGAAAAGCTATTCTGGAAGGACATACAGGTAGGTGCACTTCTACACACACTTAGATGCTTGCTCTGTTGTAATGTGGGCCCTGTGGGCTACCAGATGAAATGTTAGAGGGTACGGGTTGCTTTTAACTGAGTGCATTAAATTTTGTTGTACATGCTTCTTGTATTCCACTGGTCCGGAAGTGGCCACCACGTTCTTACGACTCTTGCTGTACATATACTCATGAATTTGACGGTACGTTGTGATGTTGTTTGATGGTGGTGCGGCGCTTTCTTTAGGACGTGGTGCTCATTTCAGCTTGTGCACCGCCTGGAGGTGGCAGGAATCCAGTCACGGCACGTCTCGTCCGCCACTTTGCCATGCTCAGCATCCCATCACCCAATGAAGTCAGCTTGAAGCAAATCTTTAGGGTAAGAGCCGTGGCTATGGCAAGGAAGACAATGTTAACTCCACTCTCTCAAAAATAGACATGTCTTCCAGAAGTAGATGATGTACCAGATCCGAGCATGGTGCTGGAATTTGAACAGCATTCAGAGGCATTCCATCATAATATTATTAGGTCCTTGGTGGAGTGTTGATAACGAGCTCGTGTGTGATACTGAATGGTTACACCAAGAGGACATACTGTTCATCAACATAATATTCGGCGCATATTTATTTTCGGCTATTTTCGGCCTGGTTATGTTTGGCCGAAAATTTGTTGCGGCCGAAAATTTGTTTTCCAAGGTTCAGTATGACAGTGTATACATGCGGCAGCAGTACAGGCCGAAAATTTGATGCGGCCGAAATGGGTTTAAGCCCTGGGAGGCCGGAATTTGAATGCGCCGAAAATTTGTCGACTTACAGTAAGCACCTAGAATGCTCAGCTCCGATGCGTAGCAGGGGATAGAGTCTGCACTGGCAATTCGGCATGTCTCAAGGAGATGGAGCATTGTTGTTGCTACTTGTGTTGTATATGCCTGCTGTTTCCCAAGGGAGGGCCTGTGTGAGCACACGTCAGCCCTTCATGTCGTAAATGTCCACAGCCTGAGTTGAATGTATGAATGTATGAGTTTCCTTTACGATTTGACATTTGGCTCTTGCTAGCTTCACCCTTGTTCTCTACTCTCAATGCTTATGTTGATTTTGGTTTCGCCGTTATGCACATGTTCACGTATTCCAGTGTGGGAATTCCCCTACCCCGGTATCCCCTCTGGAGCGCTCCAGCAAGAGTGTTCTTCTCTCTCACATGGCGATAATGCAGGTTCCTGGTGTTGTTGTTGCTATGATTGCTTTGCTGTTTCTCTTGGTTCCCTTGTGTGCATTGATGCTCACAGTCCATTCTGAATGGCTTCTTGGCAGACTTCCCGGCGCCAGTCAAGGAATGTGCCGATGCTATGGTCAACGCCAGGTACTGTGAATGTGTATAATATCATCATTCTGTTGGTCTGCGGAGTGATTTCTATACAGTTGCTGAGTACTATGGCTGTGGTTGTTGCTCTCCTGTGCCATTCCCCGATATCTCGTGTCACTTTCCTGTCAGTAGCGGGTCCAATGATCTTTTCTTTTCCTTTCCGTAAGATATCTTTCTCTCTTCCACTCCTCCTCTTTCCCATTGTTGTCTTCGCTGTTGGCTGTCACTCTAGTTATGTGCTCTGTTTTCCTGCTATTTGTACAGCGTGGAGATTTTTGGTCGCATGAGCGTGGAGCTCTTGCCCACTCCTGCTAAGTCTCACTATGTCTTCAACCTGAGAGATCTGTCCAAGTGCATTCAAGGTACTACTGATTATTGGACTCCAGTGAACAAAAATTCCGTAGACCAACACTTCCATACCCTATCTCTGAGCTTGTAGTAACGATTGTGAGTGTGTGTCTTTACCAGGGCACGCAGCAGTGTAACAACAATAAGTTTCAACGTTAGGTGGTTGGCAGTGCACCGTCGTGGCGTGACATGTCTCTTGCAGACTGCACCAAATTGCTGATAATCAAATTGGTTTACATTTTTTTAATTTTGTTTACATTATTTTCATCCAATCTGCAGGTATCCTACAGGCCGACTCCGGCGTGATTCGAGAGCGTGTGCAGATCTTCCGCTTGTTCTGTCATGAAGCCCAGCGTGTGTTCCATGACCGTCTGATCAATGCCGAGGACAAGCTCTATTTCAACACCATGCTCTCTGAGATGGCATCAAAGCACTTTTCTATTGTAAGTAACTTGGATCTGATGAGTCATGATGCTTCTCGCGTGCGTTTATGCAGTCCCACATGCTGCTCTTTGATTCTTCTGCTGTGGTTGGTCGGCAGTGCCCATGGTTTTGATGCCTGGTTTTACCATGCGTGTTCCACGCATTTATGTACATACCCTATTTTCGGTAATACTGGCCGAGGCGCTTAGAAGTTTGCGAGCCCAAGTATTTCACCCAATTTGAAAAAATCCACACGAACTCCCTGAAATTATGCGGCGCTTATTTCAGACAGGCGGTAATACAAGAACAGGCCCAATTTCAGAAAGTACGGTATTAGTACTTCTGGGCAATGGATATGTGTTACAACTTACAAGTCATGGGCATGCTGGCAAAAGAGCTACCTCAGGAGGTCTGTGCAAGCATTCATGCAGTATCCTGGCTATGACTGCTTCTTTTCGCTTTGCTCTTCTTTCCTTGTCTTGCTTCATGACCGGCCTGTGCAGGATCATGCAGCGGAGAAGTTTGAGACGCAGCCTATTATCTTCGGAGACTTCTTGAAGGTCGGTGCGCCGGCTGCAGATCGCCTATACGAGGATCTAATCGACATGAAAAAGCTGGAAACCGTTCTCAATGATGTGAGTAGTGGTGTGACCGGAAACTGTCTGTCTGTCCGTCCGTCTGTCCGTCCGTCCGTCTGCCTGTCTGTCTGTCTGCCTGAAAGCAACTGTTTGCACGTCTAGTCAACTAATTGTACCTTGTTCTGGAAGATATGTATTTGTATTCTATCTGACTCTCTGTGTTTCCTGTTTGTACACATGCTCTCTTACCAGTACCTGGACGACTTCAATATGAATTCATCAAAGGAAATGAAGTTGGTGTTTTTCCTTGACGCCATCGAGCACGTATCAAGGTACGGAATGGCACTGTACTGCATCATGCCAGCAACAGTGTCCAGTCATAACTGCAGAGTACTGAAATCCAGTCTAGTGCCCTTTTTTGATCTCCCATAGGAGTGCCATTATATCCAATCTCCACTGTACATACCGGTAATGAACCTCAGATACAATCATGTATTCTGACACCTCATGAATAACAACCTTTTTCTAGTATCCAGGTGAGCACCCTTCCTCGCCAAGTTGGCCGACTCTACATGTATATAAGTCTGCCCTCTTCTTTTTTTAATAATTACTTGTGCTACATGGTGTGTATGTGTGTGCCCATGTGCGCGTGTGCGTACAGGATTGCTAGAATGGTGCGACAGCCGCGTGGAAATGCTCTGCTAGTGGGAGTAGGTGGCACAGGCAAACAGAGTCTAACTCGGTGAGTTTCCCCGGCAGCCTCCGCATGCACAGGTAGCACAGGTAGCTTGGTTTCTCCTTTTTGGGACACCTTCATGGCCTCGTTTGGCCCCAGCAGGGACACACTCTCCTAGCATTCCACTCATATCTCAAAATAGTCCCTGCCTGGTACAGTACGTACGTATGTTGCATTGAGTGCACTGGGTCAAGCCTGCCTGCCAACCGATGCTGCAGTAGACTTCGTCATCATATTTTTGCGCCATTTGTAGACTTTCCGTGTGTAGTTGCGTGAATAGTGTTACCTATGCCTATCCATTCAAGCGCAAACCGTGCTCCGTTTATTCTGTGGCATGATTGCGTTGGGTATGTTTGCATATGCTGCTGTGTTGTGTTTGTACAGGTTGGCATGCCATATGGCTGGATTCAAGTGTTTCCAGATCGAGCTCTCTCGTGGCTACGGCTATGCCGAATTCCACGACGATCTGAAGAAGCTCTATGATATGGCGGGTGTGGCTGGTGCCAACACGGTCTTCCTCTTTGCAGATACACAGGTAGGACTTGAGTACTGGTCTGCGTGCATGCATGTTGTAGTTTCTCATCGATCTCTGTCATATGTTCAATACATCCATCACATAGGGTTAGCACTGTTGGTCAATTTATCATGAGAGGGGTCTTTCCTCTTGCAGTCACCTCACTTGTGAAGTTGTGATGTTTGGCACATCTGTTCTACTGCCTTGTGCTTGTGCTATCTTCCTCGTATGTGTGGTAGATTGTGGTTGAAGAGTTCTTGGAAGACATCAACAACATCCTCAACTCTGGAGAAGTAAGTATGCTAGTGGCCAATATGTTTGGTGTTGTGAGCCTTCTCTCAATCTCGGCCTTGTGCTGTATCCTTTGTGCCAAATACCAATGTACACCCAATACTAATGTATTTTCATTTGTCCTATTCAACATTGTTTCTGGAGGTGTCTAACACCCCGGCCCTACAGTCAGAATTGACTATGGTCTACCTTTACTGTAAGAGTTGACAAAGACTGGCGTGTGATGGCAGAGATCACTGTACCCGCTTAGTTCAAACTTGTTTGACTTTCAACTCCTACAGTATATTGTTCCGGCTGTTGCTTTCGTTCCAGGTTCCTAATTTGTTTGAAGCTGATGAGTACGAGAAGATCATCTCAAGTGTCCGACCTTTTGCTAAAGAGGCTGGCATTGGCGAGCAGGACAGGTACGTGTGTGATCATGATTATGGTCATTTACTGGTGCTGTCAAACAGCACGAGTAGTGAGTAGTGTGTCCTGAGGCTGGTAGTAATCACCAAGCAAGTATTCTCCCTTACAGCTTGTCATCCCTTCAGCAGGCTCTTGCCTGGCTGGTCATGGCTCCCATTGGTTGTCCCTTGCATAGGTAGACACTAGCGGGTGTTAACTTGGTGACAAGTATGCCATATGCGCATGGACGTATCGTCAAAGCCGGTTACTCTACTAATATCATATTTCTTGCCTGCATGCTAAGCGGGTTTTATTTCCTGTTGTCTGCTCGCCTGTTTGCAGAGACGGCATTTTCAATCATTTTATCGGCCGGGTACGCAATAACCTACACGTCGTGCTGTGCATGTCGCCTGTTGGCGATGCATTCCGCGCACGTTGTCGCATGTTCCCATCTCTGGTCAATTGCTGCACGATAGACTGGTTCACGGAGTGGCCTAAGTGAGTGAACACATCTCTATTCGTGATTGCCTGCTGCTGTTCTTGTTTGTAAATTGTGTGGTGCACTGGCCCAGGGAAATGGGTGTGTATGCTGTGATCATTGTGTCTATAGGAGCACTGACCCAGATATCTGTGTATGCTGTGATAATTGTATGAGCCTATGCTGAGTTGTGACTGAAAGTTTGTTCATCGGCCCTCATTGGCCTGGTAGCTGTTTCTTTGGAGAGGTGGTGGACTCCGCCAAGGTCAAGCCAATAGCCGTGGCATAGCCCTGCGAAACGTCCATGGGTCACAGTTAGTAAAAAGAAGGCATATGGGACTTACTACAGGAGTGAGAGTTTGAGCACCCAATAATTGTTTCACGGGAGGAATTTGGAAAGTCTGAACCCTCTCTCTCTCTCTCTCTCTCTCTCTCTCTCTCTCTCTCTCTCTCTCTCTCTCTCTCTCTCTCTCTCTCTCTCTCTCTCTCTCTCTCTCTCTCTCTCTCTCTCTCTCTCTCTCTCTCTCTCTCTCTCTCTCTCTCTCTCTCTCTCTCTCTTTCTCTCTCTCTCTCTCTCTCTCTCTCTCTCTCTCTCTCTTTCTCTCTCTCTCTCTCTCTCTCTCTCTCTCTCTCTCTCTCTCTCTCTCTCTCTCTCTCTCTCTCTCTCTCTCTCTCTCTCTCTCTCTCTCTCTCTCTCTCTCTCTCTCTCTCTCTCTCTCTCTCTCTCTCTCCCTGCCGTTGCTGCTACTGCTGTTGCTGCTGTTGCTGCTGTTGCTGCTGTTGCTGCTGCTGCTGATGATGATCGTGATAGATATAGGTTGCTTATTTTTCGACGCATAATATTAGTCCTCCCTACTGCTGTCTACTGATGCATCTAGTACTCCCGCGACCAGAATGCTTATGGGAAATGCATGTATCATAGCACTTGCATGGGGACCTACCCAGGTAACGGTGGGTGTGCATGTGCAGTGGTCATTGTGTGTTCTTGGTTTTAATCACACAAACCAGACGCATGCGAGGTCTGTCAGTTCTAGACTTGGTGAAGATCTGCCGCAACCCCCGTGAAAACATGTTTTTTCTGATGCGTTGTTTAATGCTCGGCAGGGAGGCTCTGCTTTCTGTGGCTACAACGTTCTTCGAGCAAGTTGACCTTGGCGACGAGCAGTTAAAACCAAAGATCTGTGAGATGTGCGTAGAGGTGCACACAAGTACTGTTGACATGGCCGAGCGTTTCTTCAACGAGCTGCGCCGTCGCTACTACACAACACCAACCAGCTACCTGGAGCTGATCAATCTCTACTTGGACATGCTGAAAGACAAGCGCAAGTGAGTATGCTTGCAATCCAGCTATGCTCTGTGAAGCTCTTGTTGCACGTGCACTAGTGTTGAACTTGCTCGTATGTATGCAGTCTGACTAGCTAATCTTCGGCATATTCTCATTGAAGTATACTGTCCAGGGCAGTGGCAATAACTTTAGCTGGTGTCTGTGTGCTCCTACTGTGAAGGAGAGCAAGGATGAGCAAGAATCGCAGTGATATTGGCACACATGACATGGCTGGATTGGCTCTAATGACTATGTAATGTATGTAGTCAGTTGTTCCGCTGGCGCATAACTTACTTGTGTGTTGTTTGATTGGTTGTGTGATCTGTACAGGCAACTGGTAGCAGCACGTGACAGAGTAGCCAATGGCCTGAAGAAGCTACTGGAAACCAATGACCTGGTTTCCACAATGAAGGTAGGTTGCAGGTCAGCCCCTCCATTGCTCCAAGGTCTTATCTCTGTCCAAGACTGCCTGCCCGGTGTTAATACCTGCAAAGAAGTGTTGTTGTGTACTTTATTTCTAGTGGAAATCAAAACAGGCATATGCCTACTAACAATGGACCCACTGTGTGAATGGTCAATCCTGTATGGTGAAGCATGCCTATGCGGTCTGACACATTGATTTCTCTGAGAATGCAATGGTCCATGGTGAACGTTATTGCCCATGTCAATGCACTGGGCCAAGCACAATGTAGGTGATCAAAAAGATTTTTCCGGCTCGGAGTCAGTGGATGGTGCGCTCTTTGCTTTCCATGTTGTAACCATTGCGATAAACCTTTCTTTCTACTTTGTCCATGTAGGTTGAGCTTACTGCTCTGGAGCCAGTCCTCAAGGAGAAATCTGAGCAGACAGAGGTGCTTATGGGCCGCCTGCAGGTGGATCAAGGCAAGGCTGACGAAGTACGAAAGGTGGTGATGGCAGATGAAGCCGTGGCCAAGGAGAAGGCTGCCGAAACGGAGGCCATCGCAAACGATGCGCAGCGAGACCTGGATGAGGCATTGCCTGCACTTCAAGCTGCCAACAAGGTAAGTCATTCTCAAAAAGAAGACCCGCTCTTGGTTGGTTGGAGTTGAGCTTTGACTGGATTCATCATCGGTACATCTATTGCTCGCCATGATAATTGTGAGCATCACTAAATGCGGTGTTTAGTAGTGGGTGGCTAGAGAGCAAGGTTGAACCACAAGTTACTTTGAAGTGCTACTGGTATAGTAACAACATTACCAGGTGTGTGTGTGTGTGTGTGTGTGTGTGTGTGTGTGTGTGTGTGTGTGTGTGTGTGTGTGTGTGTGTGTGTGTGTGTGTGTGTGTGTGTGTGTGTGTGTGTGTGTGTGTGTGTGTGTGTGCCTGGTGTGTGTGCCTGGTGTGTGTGCCTGGTGTGTGTGCCTGGTGTGTGTGCCTGGTGTGTCTTTCCCCTTGGTTGAGATTGAGACAGAGAAGCTGTTTGGAATGCCAAGTGTCTACTGCAGTTTGAAGAGCAGTATGGTATCGGGTGTGACCCTTTTGTTCTGTTGTTTACTGTATCTGTGCACAGGCTTTGGACGCACTGGACAAGAGCGACATTTCCGAAATCCGTGTCTTCAACAAGCCACCAGAGATGGTGGCCACTGTCTTGGAGGCTGTCATGATTCTGCTGCTCAAGAAGCCTGACTGGGCAACTGCCAAATCTGCACTGGGTGAAGGTGGATTCCTACAGTCCCTGATTACCTTTGATAAGGTCAGCAGCAGCTTGTAATCAACTCTCTCAGTGCTGTAGCTGGACCACCTTTTAAGTATGAGTGGATCTTGCACACTGGCACTTGATTCTGGCTTCACAGCAGGAACTGAATCGCAAATCCTAGGCCATTATGTCTGAACACTCACATCCTGAACCGAAGGTTGAACGGTTTTTTTGGGGGGGGGGGGGGGCACATGCCCCTGTGCCCCTCACGGGTTTCGTGCCTACTTCTTATATTGGACACAGCACTACCTGGTCAGGCCAATACACCCGGCAGACCAGACAGGTTGCTACAGCCCCTGTGTATTCAATGATAACTTACATTGGGGCATGGTAACCAGTCAGGCTGGTCAAGCTATGGAGAAACCACTTTTCCGTCAAGACTCAACCATCCAGGGTTTGATGCTAAAGAAGGCATATATTAAGCTGACCGATTATCTTCAGGGGATGCAACGCACCTGCACATATCAATTCCGTTGTTTCAGTTCATGCTTTCAGTCAATCCTCGGTAGTATAGTGGTAAGCAGGGAGTAGTAAAATACAGGGAGGTGACACGCCACTAATCGTGATTTTTGATGGGTGCCTCGCGCTTGTTTTTTTTTCTTTCGCAAAAAAAGATGATCTGCTGAATCAATCTTGAGTATTTGTCGAAGAACTAATTCCGTGAAAAGGTCTATCCATCTCATGGAACAGCATTTGTTTTGCTCTTGTGATACACCTGTGGCATCGTCATATGGAAAGGTACCACCCTTCCGAAATTCGTCCCGATCGACGGCATGGAGCAATCGAACGAAGGTGATTTCCTTGAGAACAATACGTGTACGATTGGAGATGAAAAGCGAGTGCACCGATTTCGAAGTCGAAAAAATCTCTAGGACACCACACGATCGGCACTAATTTCTCCTCAGTTGTGATCAACCAGTACTTCTCTACCTTCTTTGTGATGATGAGCATTTCATATTATGGTATGCTACAGATTCGGGAGTTCACTTTTCGGAATGAAATTTTCCTAAGTTTGTCAAGGATTGAAATGCGGGCTACGTCGTCGTAAACAGCTTGTATCGACACAGGAAAAATCTACGGCACGCAGGGATATCTCCCAAAGTGATACCACTCTTGCTGGACTTCTATCCTGACATAGTGGTAGTTTGGTCGACTACCAAACTTTGTGAAGGCAAACAATTGTTGGAAATTCTCAGCGCTGAGTTTCTACGGGCTGCAGTAGGAGTCTCTTTGGCGGTAGGTATTTTACTACTCCCTGATCGAGAGAATCCTGATCCGCGCGCGTGTCTACACACTTCGGTACCCATAGTACCCCAATCTCACCCGCCGGGTGAAAACGGTGCTGAGGCAATCGTCAAACTGGCCGTACATGCTCGTGTCACCTCCCTGTATTTTACTACTCCCTGGTGGTAAGTATCTCCGCCTGTCACGCGGAAGACCCGGGTTCGATTCCCGGCCGGGGAGGACATTTCATTTTGTGAATCTTTTTTTTTAAGTCTGGATCATGAAACCTAGTCGGTTGACTGAAGGGTGATTTGACCAGAGCCTGGCCAGCCAGACTGGTTTCTACCGGACTCTTCATCATTGATTGTGCAGTGGTACTTTGCCTTAGCATGTCTGCACAAGATGTCCGTGTCCATCGTTCAGCCACTCATGTTTCTGGTGACTGAGAGACGTCAAGAAGAACATGCAATTTGCCTAGTCTCTTTCCTGTACGTCTGAAACCTTGACGTCTTTGCATTTATGCATGTGAATTTCTTTCCAGGATAACATTGCCGAAGCTACAACTAAGAAGCTGAAGAAGTACATTGACAATCCCAAGTTTACGCCTGAAATAGTGGCGAGAACATCGCTGGTATGCTAGGTTACTTTACTGTTTCTTGTCTTCAGTTTCTTTCATGATGGGTTGTAGTCTATAAACCAATTTACTGTGGTTCAGTTTCGCATTTCTTTACACCCCACCACCCACACCACCACCCCCACCACCTTTATACTGAACTTCCAGTAATGGTGAGTGAGTTCTGATGTGTTGGTGCTGCTCCCCGTGCATATTACCCTAGCATCATCTGTAATTCAGTTATGTCTACTGTGTACTGTAACTTAAATTTCCACATGCACTTGCTTTCATTTTCGTCAAGACTCGTGCACCATAGTAAGATGGTGAGGGTTGCTCTCTGACATGATTGTGTAGCATTTTGCCAAACTTGCAGCCTATTTGTGTGTGCCTGTGCCGGCTCTGTTGCGCATACATGATGCTTGTTGGTGTGTTGTGTGTTGTTTTAGGCTTGCAAGTCACTGTGCATGTGGGTGAGCGCCTGTGATCTGTACAGCAAGGTCTACAGGACAGTGGAGCCGAAGCGGCAAAGGTACATGCTCTGGAAAACTCATTCTGTGCGGTCTGATTCAAAGTGCACAAGTTCTCCAACACCTAGGACTCTGAGTCCGTCCTTTACTTTATCTATGTAGTATGCCGTATCACATTGGAGCACATTGCTGTGCTGCGTAAAGCTGTACTTGTGTCGTGACACTTTTGTGGACCCCCCCCCCCCCCCTCACACACGTGTACACACGCACACACGCGCACGCACGCACACACACACGCACACACTCTCTCTTTCTCTCACTTACTTACCCACTTGTTCTTTTTCTTTCTCTCTGCTTCCCGGTTTCAGGCTGAAAGGTGCCAAAGACGAACTGGAGAAAACCCAAACAGCGCTGCGTGAGAAGCAGGCAGCACTGGCAGAAGTAGAAGGGAAGGTAAGCCAATCCTTCATAGTGGTACAGTGGGGTATGGCGGTACTTTGCCTTCCCAGGGGCTTAGCTGGTCCCCCGTTTAGGCGGTGCGCGGCCGCATATGTGTAGGATGGCTGGTGCATGTCATTCATGGTCATTATGTGCATGCTGAACCTAGGGAGGGAGGGTGCACGTGCCCCCCCCCCCCCCCCCCCCGTGCGGGTTACGCGCCTGGTTCCCTTGATTTCCAGCACATTCCTATGGTCAGAAACAAGCATGGTGATCACATACCGTGTATGTAGTGCAGCTCTGATACTTCATTGCATGGTGATCACATACCGTGTATGTAGTGCAGCTCTGCTACTTCATTGCCTTGGTGTTGTTGATGTCTCTCTTTTCCCGGTGTCCAGATTCAACACTTGCAGAACATGTACGAGAAATCCGTGAACGAGAAAGAGTCACTTGCGCACAACATGGCGCAGACTTCTGCCCGCCTGACCCGAGCTGGAAAGCTGATGTCCGCTCTCGGCGATGAACAAGTGCGCTGGGAGGAGAGCGTGAAGAGCTTCCAGTCCGAGATAGGCAATGTGGTGGGCGATGTGTTGGTGGCGGCTGCTTGCGTGGCGTACTACGGTGCCTTCACCAGTAACTATCGTGCTGAGGTAAGCCGTGTGTCGATTTCCTCCTGCAAGTTACTACAGTCCATTCATCGGAAACTGTCCCGCTGGCTTTTGAAAGTCCGATTTGGGCCGAATTGAGGATCAAAAACCCACTTTAAATCTCAAAAATCTGGGTTTTGGATCTGCTTCTCCATACATTTTGCCATGGCATACCTGTCCCAATTTTGTAAAACCTGGCCGAATTAGTAGTCACATTCAGTATCCTGTCGAATGTGCATACCGTCACCCACGGATGGCACATGTATTGTAAACCCGAAAAACCTTTGCGATCCGGACTACTTCGCGGTTTTCGCTATGGGTGTAAAATCGTAAAAGTAAGCCGGCCCGAAACATAGAACAGTAGTGAAGAAACTGAGGAAATTGACCCCAATCGCAAACACCTCCAGGTGCTGAATTTGTCTGTGCTTGCAAATCGCAAACTGAAACCCATCGCAAACTGAAACCCAGCGCAAACTGAAACCCAGCGCAAACTGAAACCCAGCGCAAACTGAAACCCAGCGCAAACTGAAACCCAGCGCAAACTGAAACCCAGCGCAAACTGAAACCCAGCGCAAACGTCTACCGGTTTACGGTAACACGGTAAAACCTGTGAAGACGACCATTCGGATAAGGCCATAACCTGTCCCAGAAGACCACTGCAACCAGGACCAATGATGCTATTTCCTGGTAAAATGACCCTGGATAAGGAGACCACCCTTTGAAAGTTCCTTGAGCGGTTGTCTTAGACGGGTTTCACTGCATGCAGGTTGAAACCAACGTTGAGAACCTACAGGTCATCAGGTGGTCTTTAAGCCGGAGAGTGTGACAGGCAGGATGCGCATGGGCGTATACTATATTGTAGCATGACATCACAATCAGAGAATGCATGACCAGCAGACTGCCTATGTGTGGTAAATGTTCTGTGTTCATTAGCAAGGCCTAGCGTGTATGCTAAACCACCATTATAATTTATATACCATCTGAATCTCCATCTCTAGGTGGAGATAGACGAAAAATACCAGGAATCCTCAGCGTTTCCCTTTGTTGCAGTAGCCAGCCAAATCCATCATGAAACTCCTTTTGACTACTGTCCAACTTTCTTGTGTGTTGTGTGTTGTGTTTTGTGTGCGTGTGTGTGTCTGTGTGTCTGTGTGTCTGTGTGTCTGTGTGTGTGACAGCTGGTGGCACGGTGGATTGACCGCTGCCGAGAGCTAGGTATCCCTGTTTCCGATGACCTATCGCTGATCAAGATTCTTGCTGACGCGTATGAGATTCGGCAATGGAACACCGATGGATTGCCTCGTGATACTGTGAGTGATTCTCTTGTGTTCATGGTACTGGTATTCTTGTCATTGTCCTATTCTCCACTTCTAGTTATTTGCCTGTGCATGAATACGACCCCCCCCCCCCCCCCCCCCACACACACACACACACCATGTACACACACGCATGCACGCGTCCAGCAATCTCCGCCACCACTCACTCAGAACAGCTACTCGGACATGCAGTGTGTGAAGGCCTGGTGCACAGGACGTCTCACTGACACTGTAGTCGGATACCGGTCTCAGTAATCCTCAGCAAAAATTATAATTTTGGAGAAATGCAGAGTTAGCTCTAGATATTCCCAATCTTTGAACGTGTGGCGTTATCATTATGACGATGCTGGTGTCGCTGCTCTGCCTCTTGCTGTTGCCTCTGCTCGACTAAAGGTATCAACAGAGAATGCTGTGTTGGTGACACGTGGCAGACGCTGGCCACTAATGATAGATCCACAGGACCAGGTCAGTACAGTACTGGCAGTTACCGAGGATGTCACCATGCTCCCCTTGCAACACCACAGCAAGTGTGCTCTTGATCACAGTGGTGCCTGGCTGCCAGTGGGCTTTTCATGTCCATACATTGGACATGCTGCCATGGTGGAGCCTCACTCACATACAATGGAACCTGTCTTAAGACGACCGCTCATGGGACCTTCAAAACGTGGTCTCTGGTACCAGGTGGTCTCTTTATACATGGTCAATTGACTGGAAACAGCATCCCTTGGTCCTGGTTTCAGTGGTCTATTAGGACAGGTGGTCGCCTTATTCCGAGTGGTCGCCTTGACAGGTTTTACTGTATTGTCATGTAGAAGTAATCAGGACCGCATTGCCATGCTGAATGCGGTGTATTCCCTATTCCTGTACTCACGGAATGTGGCCTTTGGGATTGCAACATGTGCTTTGAAGTCATCGCCATCACCACTGTTCTCCGCAACATTTATTTTTTTCCCCAGGCTAATCGCTGGATTCGACAGAAGGAGAGTGCGAATGGCTTGAAAGTCATCAAGCTCACTGATCCCAACTACTTGAGAACACTGGAGAATGCCATTCGTATTGGCATGCCTGTGTTACTGGAAGAAGTAAGTAAAGCAGAGGCACCCTGTTGCTAATCTTGGTGTGCGCGTGTGGGTACGTGCGTGCGTGCGTATGTGTGCATGTGCGAATGCATGTGTGTTGGGCGAGGCTGTAATGAATCCGTAGTTCTTGGTTGCAACTCTAGTCCATCTGCATTTCAGCAATCATGGTCTACACTAGTCTGGGGAAACTGCGGCTCTCTTCTAGATTTGGTTTGCCATGTGATGCTCTACTAGTATTGGATTTTTTTGTAGAATTGACTCTTCTAGGCTTTCACACTGCTGCTGTGACAATTTGTGCCTTACGTGTGTGCATGTGTGCACGTGTACATGTACATATAATTTATGTGTGTGTGCATGCACGTGTGTGTGTGTGCACGTGTGTGTGTGTGTGCACGTGTGTGTGTGTGTGCACGTGTGTGTGTGTGTGTGTGTGTGTGTGTGTGTGTGTGTGTGTGCGTGTGTGTGTGTGTGTTATCTCAGGTGGGCGAGTCGCTTGACCCTTCTCTGGAACCTGTCTTGCTGCGGCAGACATTCATGCAAGTACGTAAACTGGCTTTATTGAGTTTGTTCAGTGAATATTGTTGCTACTATGTACATGTATGTGTCAGATTAAAAGTAAATCTGTTTTGTCATGTCGGTGTGCTACTTGGATCACCATTCATTCCATCTACATGTTGTCTTTCAATTTCTCTCCTTCTCTGGAATATTCAGCTTTTCTGGCTAAAACTTCGGTGGGCTCATTCCCACAACATGGTAAACCAAATGTTTGATAGTAGATGGGTTGATTTCTTTGGATACTATTCTTTCTGTGTAATTAGGGTGGGCGTCTATTGATTCGACTCGGCGACAGCGATATTGACTATGACAAGAATTTCAAGTTCTATATGACCACCAAGCTGTCTAATCCGCACTACCTGCCCGAGGTGTGCATCAAGGTCACCATCATCAACTTCACGGTCACCAAGTCTGGACTCGAAGATCAGCTGCTCAGGTACGCTGAGGAATTGAGCACTCACGGTGCATGTCCGTGGAGGCAGTATCTACAGACCATGCCTTCTTCTCAGATACACCGCTGCCTGACTGATCCTGAATGCGCCATGCCTGTGGATGTGGTTTGCATGCAGGGGGTGGGGGTGGGGGGTCATACAAGCTGCCTGGGGGTTCCTAAATCTAATCTAGTCATGTTCTGTGTGTCTATGTGCTGTGTGCTGTGTGCTGTGTGCTGTCTATGTGTGTGTTAACAGTGATGTTGTACGACTGGAACGTCCAGACTTGGAAGCACAGCGTAACGAGCTCATCACCAGTATCAATGCTGACAAAAACCAGCTGAAGGTAACCGCCGTACATTGTGCTGCCTACTAAATTTCAGGTTGCACAGCCACACATCTGCCACCATGGTATAATCAGGCATGGTGGCGGCCTGGCACAAGCGAATCTTCTTAAGCTGTTTGTGTTTCTCAACACGATTGTATAGCCGGTGGTAACACGGACGTGCATTCCTCTACTTACTTCACTATACAGCCCCACATGAACACATGAACACGTGAACACATGAACACATGAACACATGAACACATGAACACGTGAACACATGAACACGTGAACACATGAACACATGAACACGTGAACACGTGAACACATGAACACGTGGGTGTTATTTTGATTCAACTGACCAGACCTTGAATGACTGGTGCAGCGTGGCCGACTGGAGGTACTGACTTTGAAGAGGCAGACGGTAGCTCCATGATTGTATAGCTACGAGGCCAGGATTTGGCACAGCGATTTGGCACAGCGGTCGAACGATATAAAGACACTAGTAATGGATTCACCAAAGGAATCACCCAGGGCTGGAGCAGTTGCAATGGGTGACCAGTTCTGCGAGCATTTGCTTCCGCCACAATGTGGGATGATGCTGTCTTTGTTTTTGTGGCGACTTTTAACAGCCAAAATCAACAAGAGCAGTGAAAATAGTCCGCATCTCAGGACACTCTGGAGAAACGTTTCGACTTTTGAAATGCTTTTTAAAAGCACTCGATTCTGATCTGAGGGATGATACGAGTATGTGTGCATTTATGTCTATATGTGTCCAGTCCATTGAAGACAAGATACTCAGGTTACTTTTCAACTCTGAGGGAAACATCTTGGACGACGAAGTTCTTATAGAAACGCTCAACTCCTCTAAGGTAAGTTTGGACGGTGCGTCCCTATAATTTGTTGTGCAAGGAATGGCCTTGCTTGCCTCCTGGATTCAGACCCTATCAATAGGCGTGTCTATCCCCCCCCCCCCCTGATCTGCATTTTTGGTGGTAATAATTACCGAGTGAATTATATTCTCGTTGCGCAAGAAAGTAACTAGATGCTTATTGAATGCATGCATCTTATGCATTTTATCTCCACCCAATTCTTCTTCCAGGTGCATGTAAGTTATTCCGAATAATCATTATAGTGAATCTTCGCCTGTACATTTGGCTTGTTCTTTCTCCGTGTGTCTCTGTTCAGGTGACGTCATCTGAGATCAGTCGACGTGTGGAGCAGGCAGAAGTGACGGAGGCGAAAATCTCCACAGCCCGTGAGAGGTACCGACCAGTAGCAACCAGAGGTGAGTAGCACTGTAGATTCTTCTTCTCTTCCAGTAATGCCAAACTCCGGGTTTGCTGGGACAATGAAAGCCCCCCTCCCCCCCCTCTGTGCAAAAAAAGAGTAAATAAAATGTCACGCAATGCAAACGTGGGAAAGATTGCTAAATGTGACCTGGTTCGAGTCCTGGTGGTGACAGTCAATTTTTTCTTCAGACTTTTCCCATTTGCATCTTCCCTCAAACCAATGAATAAATATGATCGATTGCGCTGTATTTAATTCATCATACAGAGCTCAGGGTTGCTTGAGCCGACAGCTGAGAGTGTCCGTTGCCTAATATGTGTATTGTTTGTTGAATTTGGTTGGGAATCGACTGAGTTACCATCGACCGGGTACTCATGTATCGTGTGTATGCATATTGCTGTATGGCACATTCAGCGCCAAAGAGTTGAATTGTATGTTGTTGTGTGAGTGTGTGTGTACACGTGCGTGTACATGTATGCCCGTCTGTGTGTATGTATGCATGTGTGCCTGTGTGCGTGTGGATTATCATACTCGTCTGTGTGTTGTCACAGGCTCTCTGATGTACTTTGTCGTGGCTAACCTAGCTGAGATCGACCCCATGTATCAGTACTCACTCAAGTACTTCACACAGGTTAGTGATGGCATCAGATACAACCCCTGTGCCCTTCTTTGCTGCTTTCTCTTTGATTGGGTTTTTTACTAGCCAACATGGGTTGGGTGTTGGTGAGTTTGTACTGGATTGGAATCAGCATGTCACGCAGGGATATTTTGAGGATAGCGGGGGATGTAGAGTGGCATATACATGTACTACTGGTTCACTATTGGCATTCCTGTGCATGCCTATTGCTTAGCACCTCAGTCACTGACAGAATGCTCACACTTGGGATTGCTATGTATGTGGCAGTCGAGCTCGTATGTTTACTCTGTGTGTGTGTGTGTGTGTGTGTGTGTGTGTGTGTGCGTGCGTGCGTGTGTGTTTGTATGTGTGTGTGTGTGTGTGTGTGTGTGTGTGTGTGTGTGCACTTGCATGTGTGCGTGTTTGAAGCTGTTCAATACTTGCATTGAGAGCAGCGAGAAGTCAACGGATCTCAACAAGCGTCTTCAGATATTACTGGACAGCACAACTCGTCTTGTCTACACCAACGTGTCCAGGTCAGCGGCAGTTAGCACATGTGCCTGTTCTCTTTTTCTCTGCTTGTCCTGCTTTGCTCTCTGATTCTTCTGTCAGCTGTCCTGTTGGTGACCAAGACTCTGTACAGCGGGAGGAGCAGGGACTGGGTTTGTTGCGTTAACACTGTGAATTTTGGCCCAAAATACCAGGCTGATTTCAGTAAAAATTGTAAGGGAGCATGTCTGAGAAATCCAGACAATGTGTGCAAGTCAATCTCTATGATTTCGCTCAAATTTTGCGGGTAGGTTTCCTTTGGGGTGTAGATTGACTGTGCAAAGCCCTTGAAAAGGTTTCTGAAGGGAACCTTGAAATTGGCATACCCCTCGAAAATGGTCGAAAAATCACATGATTTATGGGTCTACAGACAAACCACGCCACAGCGTACACGAACAAGCTATGAACAAAATTCCATCAAATCAACACTGCCTCACCTTAGAAGAGTTCCTGGGGCATCAACTGCCCATGTGTGTGGGTAGTAATCAACATGACACACGGCAGAATTCCGCCCCTCGCTTCGTGCTCCCAAAAGGTTGCATGAAATCGACCGGGTCAACTGCAAACGTTTTTTTTTCTCAGTTTTGACTGCACTGCACATAGCGTACCCTTGCGTACACTGGCTCGAATTCAGAAGTAGAAATTGCTGTTGGTGCTTCTCTGCCAGAGGGTGCCTAAACCTAGTGTGCGTTTTAAGAGCAATGCTGTCAGTGAATGTGAGGCTGGGCGAAAGAAAGAGAAATATGACCGAGTCACAGATTGAAGCAAGGTGCTTGTGGGTGGTGGATGACTCACTCTCATCTACAATGTTTTCTGGTGTTGCTGCTGCTGCTGCTGCGTACCTCTGCCACTGCCACTGCTGTTTCTCACATGAATGTGTTTGCAGAGGTCTGTTTGAAGTTCACAAGCTAGTGTTCTCCTTCATGTTGTGCGTGGATGTGCTGAGGCAAGGCGGTGTGGTGCTAGAGGACGAATGGAACTTCTTCTTGCGTGGCAGTGCCGGTGTGGACAAGGTGAGTTTGCTAGAGTCATACGAGCACCCCTCATATTGTGCATGTTACTTCAAATTACATCAACTTGTACGCTGAGATTGGAGTTGCTTTCACAATATCGGCTGACCCCACTGTGCACTGGGCAGGCCAGAAACTTCTTCCTTTTTGCACTATCCACCTCTTGAACAGGCATTCCCAGGATGGGCACAATCAGGGAGCCGTATCCGTACTTGTAGTATCCGGAGAGGCGACATGGACGACTGGAACGTGGAACAATGTGGATTTTGCTCCAGGGGCAGCCTTGGTTTGCGTACGCTCTCTTGTGGCATCATTGGTCTGGCCAGCATTTGGGGTGAGCAGATCAAGGCCACGAGACCGCTCGCAAGTTGCATAGACCATAGACCACATATCACATCAAACTCCAGTGTCAAAACGCGTCTTGTTTCAGCTGCTATGGTCTGGCGTCCTCTCCCAAGATGCTATGACTCCCTGGGTGCTGTGTGTTAGTTGCAGCGCATGAGACTTGCAAGTCATGATGACTGTGTGTAAATTAGTCCTGGTGGTTATTCCTGTGTGCTGGCCTATAGGAGCGTGCAGCCAAACCCGACATACCATGGCTGAATGAGACACTGTGGAATGCCTGCTGTGACTTAGAGGTGAGTTACCATGGTTTCATGATATGGACTAGTACTTGCGTCTTGGAGAGGGGTTTTACTATTGTGTGCCATGGGAATGTATGATTTCACCGTACTGGAGTGCATACGAGCCGCGTGTTTGCATGCGTATGCTTGGAGCTATTGTTGGTATAAGCGTACTTGATGTTGAATAGATCTCGTGGAGACTAAAATGAAATCAACGCAATAAATAAGCAAGTTGCGCATTCCATACACACACTCAGACCCAGACCCAGACATGCCCATCGTGGAAGCGATGATAGCGAACAGCTATGTTAGACATAACAACTTGTGCTGGGAATACACTGTTCAACAGCTTACAAGGCTGATGAATTGACTGCCACTAATTTTAGCCTGGTATCCACCACACAGCTGTTTGAAGTGGCTTTTTCTGGCCAATGAATCCCTATTTTTCATTTTTCATTTTTTTCCATTTTTTCAACTTATTTTTTGACACACACACACACGCCACACCACATACTCCGGCATATACTGGCTGTTGGTAACCACCCAGGAGAATGAAAGAAGAGCACGCGCACGTACACATGCATGCTCGCACGCACACCAGGCCATGCGATAAGAAATCATGGTGGTTCTGACATAATGTCCTGACACTTCTTCAATTGTTCGGACATGCCCGGACATACTAGTTTGTCCCACGTGTCTTTGAAAGCCGACGTTTTCAAATTTCTCGACCCAGCGATGGACTCAGAGAAATATTTGGACAAACAAATTTCTTGGCGAACCGCACACACACCTTGCATCTAAGCACTTCACCACTCCGCGATCGTCTTGCATCTCTCATACCCCAACCAAATGGATGTCGAAAGGTCTTTGTCGTGCTCAGCAGTCCACTTGTCACAAGTGGCCACACGCACGGCGCGGAACTTCTTGCCAGGAGGAGCACCATCGTGGCTCCCTTTTCTCTTCACCAAACTCGCCATTTCTGATTGCAGCACAAGCGCTTGCGCACATGCCACAGCTATACAGGGAGTCGTTTTTATGATTATTATTTTGGCCTCGGGTCGAGCGGACACATTGTCCGTCGCATGGTTATTTCGCTCGGACAATGACAA